ATTGGTGAAACGCAACCGTCGGAACTTCTCCGCCGCCTGGATAGACTACAGAAAGACATTCGACTCGGTGCTCCATACATGGCTAAAGAGAGTCCTCGAGCTGTACAAGATAGACTGTACAGTCAGAGACTTCCTCGAGCAGTGTATGGGGCAGTGGAGTACGATCCTTTGTCATCTGGGCGAGCGGATGATGGCTGCGGAGAACCACATAAGGATAAGAAGGGGTATCTTCCTGGGCTATTATCTGAGTCCAATCTGGTTCTGCCTCTCTCTGAACCCTCTCAGTAGCTTACTGGAGGGCTCCGGGAGGGGGATTTCAGCTACGGAAAGGAGGGACAAAAGTGACCCACCTTTTTCTATATGGATGACCTCAAGTTATTCGCCTCCAGTCGCTCCCATCTTATGGAATTGCTAAACATCACTTGTGAATTTAGCAATTCCATTGGAATGGAGCTTGGGACGGATAAGTGTGCGGTCCTCCATGTTGAAAGGGGAAGGGTTGCTAACTCTGAGGGCGTAGACTTATCTATGCCCGTCAACTTAATAACCTTTTCCGAGGCTGAAACATACCGATACCTGGGTATGTCACAAAACATCGGTATCGATGAGACTGGTATGAAACAGTCAGTTTGCGGCGTGTTTTATGCACGCTTGACCAAAGTGCTTAACAGCCTTTTGTCCGGTGTGAATAAGGCACACGCATATAACGGCTGGGTCATGCCTGTCCTCATGTATACCTTTTACATACTCAGGTGGACTCAGACTGAACTTAACGCCCTGGATAAAAAAGTCCGCACTACCATGACGTCCCATAGGATGCATCATCCGAGATCGTCGGTAATGAGGCGGTACTTGCCGCGGAAGCATGGTGGTCGTGACTTCTTGAGCGCGCTCACCATGCATAATCGCGAAGTGTGCAGCCTCCGTGATTACTTCCTGGCGAGATCGGATGATCCATTCTATAAGGACGTCATTTCTTGTGATAAAGGACTTACCCCTCTATCCTTAGCCAACGAGCAATGGCAAGACCCGGCAGTACAGAGCATTTCCGACCGGGAGACTCTATGGAAGGAGAAGGAGCTCCACGGGAGGTACTACAGGGCTCTACATGAGCCTCACGTAGATACAGCCGCCTCTCTCAACTGGCTACGTTTCGGTGACCTCGTCGGGGAAACCTAGGGTTTTGTCACACAAGAACGTTTTGTTTGTTCAATGACCCGGTCCATAGGCAGTAGTATAATATAACTATGGGTGCATCTCTGATTTTATTTTTCAGTTTTTCGATATATGTCACTAATTATCTAAAGTAAACATTACATATCTAAAGTAGTAATTAGTTAACTACTATAAATTTATTTATTCCTGATTTAATTAAATACAAGCACTGAAAAATAAACTTTAGTGTTTTTAAATCAATAATAAATTTAATTATTATACATATAAATGTAAGTTATTTATATTATTTAACTTATTAGGAGGATTATTTGGAGGCAAAATGTCATTACTTACTGTATTTTACGTAAGATGGCACTGTTTTGAAAAAATGAAAAAGTGTAGATTGTCAGCGTAGTTCGATTTATTAGGTACATAACGGTTAAAACTAATTTTAGGCTTTGTTTAACAATATTTTATTTTTAATACTTCAATCATAAAGAATAGAAATTAACATCTAAAGGAAGGAAAATACTTAACCCTCCTTTTATGAAGTTCCGTAATCGTAAAATAGTGGCCTATAAGTTGCCCCAAGTCCCTACCTACGTACACAAAAAATTCATGGAAATCTCATCACGTTCGGGGACAGTAAGTGACACCTATTTGACACTACTTTTTCTGTGGAATGCTATAGCAGTTCTGCTGCACTCCATACAAAGAAATTGTTGTAAAGGACAGTAAATGCTTGAGCAGTCGCAGGACATAGCAGCTCTGTCACATTTTTACATAATTTAAAAATTCAATACAACACAACTGCTTTACCAGTTATCGAAATCGTAAATGCTAAAGCAGTTCTGTCATGTAGCTTATTAAAAAGGGTTGAATGTACGACACAGATGCTTTAGCAGATTGCAAGAAAAATTTCTTTACGTTAGCTGCAGGACTAAATAATCACGCAAAACTTTAATTTAAACGTAATTAAAGAAAATAAATATTCATAAAACAATTTTTTAATTTTTGCTTTAGTTTACAACCATCTCACTACAATAGGTACTTAGCAACAAGACAGTGAGATCAAAACTTATAATTAGTTATTTCTCTAAAATATACTATCGCAAACAAAGATTTAAATTTTAAATAGTAAATCTTTGATTACAAAGGTTTAGTTATTTTTCTTAAATATAATCAGTTTTAAAATAAGAAACATAAAAAAAATACGTGTGGGACTCGGTGACAGCCGCGGTAAAGCTATTGCATAGCATTTTTTATCAACTTATTCAATTATAATTATTTATTTATTCTATCTATGCAGTTAAGTCTTTGATATTAAAACAAGTTACACTTTTTGAGCGTGGTGACCGATAAGAAAACAATTTTTTTTTCTCTTGTTGAATAAATGAGAAGTTAATATTGTTTAAAATATTTTAATATTTTACAATACATGTAGTCGCACGTACACAAACACCGTGCCGAAGTCTGCCGAGTGCCGAAGTCTGCCGAACTGAAACGACGTTAGACGATGCACGGCTTTCAACGCCACACCTCCGCGCCCGTCTGAGTGGGGAGCGTGAGGTTTTTTTTCGTTACGGAATTTCTGGATTCGGTCCCCGCCACAGAGTACCTTTGGTCCCCGCGCTCAAGGCCCGCGATAGAAGCTTTGCAATAGCTTAACAATCAAAACTATTATTCTCATTGCTGCAAGCTAAAAATATATATATATATATATATATATATATATATATATATATATATAGGAAATAAAACCGTTTCTTTTTCCGCGCAACCAGACATGGAGAGTCAGTATAATAAAGGCTATGAAACATTTCATCTTATTCTGCGGAGGTGACAACGATCGGTAGCCTTCTTTATTTTATTTGGTTGCAGATGTCCAGGGAGTACAGAAGGCTATTTACTATCAGATGAACAACTAACTTACAGTTTCTTTTGTCAGCTCGGGTTTGTAAGATTAAATTAAATCGTGAAATCAAAGGATACGCTTTCAACATAAAAATTCATAGTACACGAGCAAACCGAGCTTAATCCAATAAAAGGTAACAATTAAATTGTAAATTAATAATTTTTAAGCCATACTAGATCTGGGGCTAATCGCTCGCTATAAATTTTACAGTACGTGAGCATCCCGGTGTAGCCTTGTCAGCACCAATGAAATTGTTAATTGCAACTGTAAGTGCTGCTTCACAATGTACACGACTTGTCTCGACTCGAGAAAATCCACGTTTTAGAAAAAAATATTTCGAAGACATGTGACGTCCGCCAATACGTATTGGTGGATACTTCCTCGCCCTGAAAACCCTCTCATTTCATTGACACGGTAGCAAGGTATTTCATGTCAGAATTCAGAGGTAAAAACGCAGTTGCACTCTAATTTTGAATTAATTAGATACGTGTCAAAATTAATTATGTAAAATTATGAATAGCGATTTCGTTTGCCCATCATCACCATTCCAGGCGCAAGGTGCTCATCTCCCCACCCCGCACCCTAGGGCACCATCAGGTGAGCCGCTACTCATTTGCCCCCTCTTCTATAAAAAAAGGGGGAGCCCCCTTTAATTTTTATTTATTTTTTGTTATAGCGGCAACAAAAATACACATTATGTGAAAATTTCAACTGTCTACAATTTACGGATCGTAAGATACAGCCCGACAAACAGACGGAAGGACTGACAGCGGAGGCTTAGTAATAGGGTCCCGTTGCTTAGGTACGCTTCGGGTACGGAACCCTAAAAACAGTGGTTACAAAACCGCCTACCAGGCATGGCAACTATAACAAATCCCTCCTATGAACGAGGCCAATTTTTAGTAATGGTCTTTTGATAGGCTTTAACGGTTAATACTTTTACTTTTAACAAAATAACGAAATAAAACACTAAGGAATGACATACAACGGATGGTGTGGGATAACGCTGCGTAGGCTTACATAGTTGATGTAATTTCCTATTAAGTAATATAATCACTCATTTATTTTAAACTAATTCTTGAAAACGATACCTTTAGAATTGAATATTTTATGCATTTATCAAAATGGCCTTCATTTTTTTTAAACTATTAGCGATTCGCCATTCAGGGAACGATTCAAAGACACGCAAAAAAATTCATTTTAACAGTGGTAGAGCCACGCGGAAGCTTTTGCTGTCGCACGGATGGGCTGGCTCAAGCCGGGGTGGTACCACGACCTCACAGAATACCAGTGTAAAGAGACCTCAAAAGAAGGAAAAGAGAATCAGAGACCAAGAGGTTTCTTCGATAGTCGTCACTGACGACACTTACATTACCCATTCTTCGCTAGGTATTTGTGTGTAAATTAGGACGACATATAAATTACTTAAAATACATGGAAGAAGCTTTTCTTCTATTTCTCCTTTAAAAACTAAAAGCTCCCGCAATGATAAGACTTAACTTTTCACGTTAACAAGCTTTTTTAAACTTTTCTTCTCTAGCAGCCCATATAAATCTTTTAGAGGACACGGGCCACCCTTGTTACAGGGACGCTAAGCCAAAATCACCAAGCTTCAAGATCACAATCCCGACACTCCAAATATTTGACGCTGCTATACGTCACTGTTCTGAATTTTTACGCCTGGCGGAAACTAGACGACTTTACCGCCATCTATCGGAAACATTGGAATCTCTCTGTCTTTTATTATAGTCGCCACATACAACGTCCATGAAATGGAATGAATAATTACCACATATTATTTAGTAAAAACAAATTTTTTGTTATCATGTCATATAAGCTATTCATGAAGAAGTATATTTATATACTAAACAAAAAAAGATTGTGTTAAGTGCCATCTATGGAAACCCTTAGGAACTTTGTTTTTAAGTAACTAAGTAAAATTTTTAGAGGCGTCATCTAGCGCCAGTTTTACAAAACTTTCTCCGAGACAGTCAACATGACAAACTATGAAACCGTTCGATGCCGGTTTAAAGGTTTCTTGAAAATATGAAATTTCATCAAACAAGTTATAAACCCGTGACTGTATGACAAACCTTTCAAACTAGCAGTGTAAACGAACAAACAAACAAACAAACGGTTTGAGTCAAACCAAAATCTACGTGTTTATATGAAAATGATTAACCGTCCGAGGGCGCTTTACGTTTGTATCATTTCAATACATAGGCAGGGGTGTCTTAAAATACCAAGCAGAAGATTGGTATACCTACATTGAGGGTGTATAATATCAGTCTACGATTCTGTCTAAGATCAAAATTCAATATCTATATCTATTAAAGAGGGTGTATTCTAATTTTTATGGAAATAAATAACACATTAAATAGCACAGTTTAAGAGAAACTAACATTAAGCTGTGTTCATAGCCAGTTCGCCAGGCTAAGTTAGTTGCGTGATTGAAAGCAAGGTTTTTTATTAAATTTTCTCGTTAGTTAATACTAAAATCATTTCAATTTACTAATTGTTGGTTGTTGTTAATTGTTTTACTAAACATTTTTTATAGCATAAGTTTACCAAGCGAGCACTCAGCCTACATGTTGGCCTATAGACATCTACATTTATCCTCGAATAAGAATCAAAATTCTGATGCGTCATTACCTGTGATAGAATGCCTCGTATCCAGTAAAATGGGCCTCCGGTTCTCTACACACTGCAGCATTTAGCTGCTATTTTACGCTGGTATTCTGTGAGAGCCTGGTTCTTCCCCGGTCGAAGCTGCGACATATTTTAAATGGCTTTAAACTGTGGCTCCTACCTACTGCCGTTCATTTGTTTTATTATTTGTTTTATTATTTAATGTGAACCATTGATTTAACACGAGGACAACTACCTCAGTAGTTACTCCAATAATTTTAAAATTCAAATTTATTTTTGTTGAAATAAGTGTTGGTAAATTGTCAAGATGTTGGTGAAGATGGGCAAACGAAATCGCTATTCATAATTTTACATAATTAATTTCGACACGTATCTAATTAATTAAAAATTAGAGTGCAGCTGCGTTTTTACCTCTGAATTCTGACATGAAATACCTTGCTACCGTGTCAATGAAATGAGAGGGTTTTCAGGGCGAGGAAGTATCCACCAATACGTATTGGCGGACGTCACATGTCTTCGAAATATTTTTTTCTAAAAACGTGGATTTTCTCGAGTCGAGACAAGTCGTGTACATTGTGAAGCAGCACTTACAGTTGCAATTAACAATTTCATTGGTGCTGACAAGGCTACACCGGGATGCTCACGTACTGTAAAATTTATAGCGAGCGATTAGCCTCAGATCTAGTATGGCTTAAAAATTATTAATTTACAATTTAATTGTTACCTTTTATTGGATTAAGCTCGGTTTGCTCGTGTACTATGAATTTTTATGTTGAAAGCGTATCCTTTGATTTCACGATTTAATTTAATCTTACAAACCCGAGCTGACAAAAGAAACTGTAAGTTCGTTGTTCATCTGATAGTAAATAGCCTTCTGTGCTCCCTGGACATCTACAACCAAATAAAAAAAGAAGGCTACCGATCGTTGTCACCTCCGCAGAATAAGATGAAATGTTTCATAGCCTATATTGTACTGACTCTCCATGTCTGGTTGCGCGGAAAAAGAAACGGTTTTATTTCTATATATATATATATATATATATATATATATATATATATATATATATATATATATATATATATATATATATTTTAGCTTGCAGCAATGAGAATAATAGTTTTGATTGTTAAGCTATTGCAAAGCTTCTATCGCGGGCCTTGAGCGCGGGGACCAAAGGTACTCTGTGGCGGGGACCGAATCCAGAAATTCCGTAACGAAAAAAAACCTCACGCTCCCCACTCAGACGGGCGCGGAGGTGTGGCGTTGAAAGCCGTGCATCGTCTAACGTCGTTTCAGTTCGGCAGACTTCGGCACTCGGCAGACTTCGGCACGGTGTTTGTGTACGTGCGACTACATGTATTGTAAAATATTAAAATATTTTAAACAATATTAACTTCTCATTTATTCAACAAGAGAAAAAAAATTGTTTTCTTATCGGTCACCACGCTCAAAAAGTGTAACTTGTTTTAATATCAAAGACTTAACTGCATAGATAGAATAAATAAATAATTATAATTGAATAAGTTGATAAAAAATGCTATGCAATAGCTTTACCGCGGCTGTCACCGAGTCCCACACGTATTTTTTTTATGTTTCTTATTTTAAAACTGATTATATTTAAGAAAAATAACTAAACCTTTGTAATCAAAGATTTACTATTTAAAATTTAAATCTTTGTTTGCGATAGTATATTTTAGAGAAATAACTAATTATAAGTTTTGATCTCACTGTCTTGTTGCTAAGTACCTATTGTAGTGAGATGGTTGTAAACTAAAGCAAAAATTAAAAAATTGTTTTATGAATATTTATTTTCTTTAATTACGTTTAAATTAAAGTTTTGCGTGATTATTTAGTCCTGCAGCTAACGTAAAGAAATTTTTCTTGCAATCTGCTAAAGCATCTGTGTCGTACATTCAACCCTTTTTAATAAGCTACATGACAGAACTGCTTTAGCATTTACGATTTCGATAACTGGTAAAGCAGTTGTGTTGTATTGAATTTTTAAATTATGTAAAAATGTGACAGAGCTGCTATGTCCTGCGACTGCTCAAGCATTTACTGTCCTTTACAACAATTTCTTTGTATGGAGTGCAGCAGAACTGCTATAGCATTCCACAGAAAAAGTAGTGTCAAATAGGTGTCACTTACTGTCCCCGAACGTGATGAGATTTCCATGAATTTTTTGTGTACGTAGGTAGGGACTTGGGGCAACTTATAGGCCACTATTTTACGATTACGGAACTTCATAAAAGGAGGGTTAAGTATTTTCCTTCCTTTAGATGTTAATTTCTATTCTTTATGATTGAAGTATTAAAAATAAAATATTGTTAAACAAAGCCTAAAATTAGTTTTAACCGTTATGTACCTAATAAATCGAACTACGCTGACAATCTACACTTTTTCATTTTTTTCAAAACAGTGCCATCTTACGTAAAATACAGTAAGTAATGACATTTTGCCTCCAAATAATCCTCCTAATAAGTTAAATAATATAAATAACTTACATTTATATGTATAATAATTAAATTTATTATTGATTTAAAAACACTAAAGTTTATTTTTCAGTGCTTGTATTTAATTAAATCAGGAATAAATAAATTTATAGTAGTTAACTAATTACTACTTTAGATATGTAATGTTTACTTTAGATAATTAGTGACATATATCGAAAAACTGAAAAATAAAATCAGAGATGCACCCATAGTTATATTATACTACTGCCTATGGACCGGGTCACTGAACAAACAAAACGTTCTTGTGTGACAAAACCCTAGGTTTCCCCGACGAGGTCACCGAAACGTAGCCAGTTGAGAGAGGCGGCTGTATCTACGTGAGGCTCATGTAGAGCCCTGTAGTACCTCCCGTGGAGCTCCTTCTCCTTCCATACAGTCTCCCGGTCGGAAATGCTCTGTACTGCCGGGTCTTGCCATTGCTCGTTGGCTAAGGATAGAGGGGTAAGTCCTTTATCACAAGAAATGACGTCCTTATAGAATGGATCATCCGATCTCGCCAGGAAGTAATCACGGAGGCTGCACACTTCGCGATTATGCATGGTGAGCGCGCTCAAGAAGTCACGACCACCATGCTTCCGCGGCAAGTACAGCCTCATTACCGACGATCTCGGATGATGCATCCTATGGGACGTCATGGTAGTGCGGACTTTTTTATCCAGGGCGTTAAGTTCAGTCTGAGTCCACCTGAGTATGTAAAAGGTATACATGAGGACAGGCATGACCCAGCCGTTATATGCGTGTGCCTTATTCACACCGGACAAAAGGCTGTTAAGCACTTTGGTCAAGCGTGCATAAAACACGCCGCAAACTGACTGTTTCATACCAGTCTCATCGATACCGATGTTTTGTGACATACCCAGGTATCGGTATGTTTCAGCCTCGGAAAAGGTTATTAAGTTGACGGGCATAGATAAGTCTACGCCCTCAGAGTTAGCAACCCTTCCCCTTTCAACATGGAGGACCGCACACTTATCCGTCCCAAGCTCCATTCCAATGGAATTGCTAAATTCACAAGTGATGTTTAGCAATTCCATAAGATGGGAGCGACTGGAGGCGAATAACTTGAGGTCATCCATATAGAAAAGGTGGGTCACTTTTGTCCCTCCTTTCCGTAGCTGAAATCCCCTCCCGGAGCCCTCCAGTAAGCTACTGAGAGGGTTCAGAGAGAGGCAGAACCAGATTGGACTCAGATAATAGCCCAGGAAGATACCCCTTCTTATCCTTATGTGGTTCTCCGCAGCCATCATCCGCTCGCCCAGATGACAAAGGATCGTACTCCACTGCCCCATACACTGCTCGAGGAAGTCTCTGACTGTACAGTCTATCTTGTACAGCTCGAGGACTCTCTTTAGCCATGTATGGAGCACCGAGTCGAATGTCTTTCTGTAGTCTATCCAGGCGGCGGAGAAGTTCCGACGGTTGCGTTTCACCAATTTGCCAATGACCGCGTCAATAAGGTGTGGTTCCTTGGTTCCACGACCACCGCCCCGACATCCATGCGACATCACCTGATTTGAGTCCAGGTGACAAGTGATTCTCGCGCTCAAAATGGATGTTAGTGTCTTGTATATGGTCGGTAGAAACGTGATGGGGCGGTATTTGCTCGGGTCTGTGGTACCCTGGTCTTTAGGAACCAAATGAGTGATCCCAGTAGTGAAGAGGCTTGGGAGCGACTTCTGGTTGAGAGCCTCTTGAAACTGTCGGGAGAGCACAGAGTGACACACCATGAACCCCTTCAGCCAGTAGTGATGCAGCCCGTCAAGCCCCGGACTTTTCCAGTTCGGGGCCCTACGGACCGCCTCAGCTACGTCATCCGGCGTTATGATGACGGGGTCCATGGGCGTAATACCCGCACACTGACTCGCCACAACTTCCGTCCAAGGGCTCTCGCTGTGGTTTACGGGCTCTGACCACAGGCCGCGCCAGAATGCTACAGTGTCGGCCTGATTCGGTGCTGAACCCGTTCCACTTACCATTGGTCGCTCCAATGATTCATAGAGCCTCTTCTGATCTCTCTGGAAGAGACGATTCTGATTGAACCGTGTTGACCTCTCGGTATATCGCCGAATCCGCTTTCCCCAAGCAGCGATTCTCTGCTTCAGATCATCTATTCTTCTTCTCCATGCTGGGATAGCGCTACTATGGCCAGTAGAGCGTCCAGCCGTGGAAACCTTGGCGCCTATGATACGGCAGACTGCCAGCGTGGCGCCAAAAGAATTTGAGTCCGTCTCGCAAAGGTCCCGGCTGGCTTCCAAATAGGTCACCAGCATTGGGTTCAGAGCCCTCACGACAGCCCGATTCCGCTTGCTTAGGGCTATGCGGGGAAGTCGCGGTCGATTTTCGAGAGGTGTACTGCGCGTTTCCACAATCGCCTCTTCCAATGTACTCCTCATATGCTCTAATTCCAGTTCCTGGGCGACTGTTCCATCATCGTTTGAATCAACCACAACTGGGGTATTCACGGCGGCATCCACATTTGCGGGTTGCTCTACCATTTGTGCCGCACCTCAGCCGTAGCATTCTCATCCGACGAGGGAACAGCCTCACGTCGTAGCCGTTCGAGTTCGGCGACATCAAATATATTTGAGCGCAAGATATACCGAACTCGGTCTGCCAGGTTTTGCTCTGTGACGGTTAAAGATGGCTCCAGCTCAGCAAAAAGACGATGCATCCCAGCCCGATACGCGAAACATCCAGTTTCTTCCCCTTTTGCTCTAAAGTACGCCCGCAGTGCGTTTGCATTCATTGCTTGTGACCAACACATGCGATGTGCTCCACCAGCGGCGGGTGCCGCTTGCTGAGTCCGAGAAGACCCAGCCGACACCAAGCCTTCTGGTGGGGATGATGGATGCGGAGGGCTGCTAGGTGACCGTGCAGCTCCTCGCACTCGGCTGGCGGCCCGCATGCTGCCGCGTCCAGCGCCAGCTCCAGACGCGCCCCGGCGACCCCCAGGCAGCGGCCCTTTGCGCACTATCTTCTTATCCATCATCCATTATTTGGGCGTCCATTAACGGGAGACGCCCAGGCCCGGCACCGTTTCGTGTGTAGCCATAAGCACAAACGGGCCTCTGCACCCTAAATTCTGCCGAGGCACGGCGCTCACACCTCTCGCAATGCGCTAACTGACTGCGTTGACGTAGCAGTTTTGTCACTTAACTGTTACGTCAGCGGGTGATGGGGTCGTCAATTCCCTACGCCTTTTTATTATTATTATTATTATTAGTATTCGTTAAAAATTTAGGCTGGCTAAATAAAACCATCCTTACTGTTTAGCCTATTGGAAGCCTAGCGAAACGACAGGATAGGAAGAGAAGGTGGAGGTGTCGCAATATATCTGCGAGCAAAAAATACCTCGTAAGATTGTTTTGGCTTCTCCATCCCTCCATTCTGCCTCTGCAGAGTTCTTATTTCTAAATCAGTAAATCCCTGAATTTTTCCGTTAAAGGAAACCCACCACAGTGATAATTCATGGATTGACCATATTATTACTTCTTCTACCGATAGCGTGGCTAACCATGGACAATTTTCTGCCCCGTGTTCTTCACGTCATTACTTAATTTACTTTTCCTATAAATTAAAGCCTCTAAAACACAAACTCTCTATTTTACATTTACGCAATTTTTCCAAATTGGATATTGATCAACTTAAGTATGACGCTGCCCGTATTGATTTAGAACCTCTTTGTTTAGCATGTACAATAGATAACAAATCTCTGTTCATAACAGTATTGATCTCAATTTATATAACGATCATGATCCTGTTCGTCAAACAAGAGTAAAGCATGCTCCTGCATCTTTGATCAATAGGGGCATAAGGGTGGTAATAGCGAGACGGAACCGAGCATTTCACAAGTTTAAGAAATAACGCATTGTGGAAAATTGGACTGGTTTTAAGATTTTAAGAAATAGATGTAATCAGATGGTATGAAACGATAAGCGCAGCTACATTCATGATAATATCTTTAATATTTAGACCGCAGTTGTATATATGGAAAATCCTTGGTTCTCTAGGTATTACTAGTACTTTTAGTACTTAGGCCCTTCACTAAATTTAGATGACATTCATCGTCATTTTCTATCATTGTTCCTGTTGGCCATAGATTTAGTATAAACTAAGGATAGTTGATCCTTACGTTAAATTACAAACGATACATTCTATCGCTTCTATGGAACCACTTCCCATTCCCCTTTTTAAAATTCTCTCCCGTAACCCAAAAGGATATTGCTGAGAAGTTATTGCATATTAACTCCAATATTATGGGTTGAGATGAATAAGATGCTTATGTAAATGATAACACATATTGTAAACTTCTCCTTGGACTCAGATCAATATCCAACTTTGCGGAAACAAGCTTAATTTCGACCTCTGTCTCCCTCTGTAGGATTCTATGCTATCGACCAGTTTCTACTCTTCCATTCCAGTATAAAATTCTTTAGACATGTGTATATAATCAAATCTCTGCTTTCATAAAAGAACATAACCTATTGAACGTTTTTCGACCAGGATTTCAGTCTGGTCACACTATCCACCATCACTGTACTAATTAAGATCACTGATGACTACAACAAAAAAGAATGAACAGAAAGTTATAGTGTGGAGTTTGTTAAAAAGTGATTAAAAATTAACTAGCGTCAGCAGTTATTTAAGTAGGTACCCACGTAATAACCTGTGTTTGTTCACAATTTTTTCAAAACTTAGGGATGTCATTAAAAATATTGATATTAGAATGAAATGTCTTGTACGTATAATTGTGATCAAGCAAACGAAAAAACAATTATGTAGTAATTTTTTTGTGTTTGATTAATAAACATCGTTTTATAAATTCGTACCTGTGTTTAATTGATCTGAAACCTACCTTATTATTACCTAACAACTTATTATTTACTAAATACTTACCCAATTTAAACTAATAACTTTTGTACAATAAAGCATAGACGCAAACCATTTTGCATCACTATTCAACCATTTTATGTATGTATCAATATCTATTAAAACACCTGCAGCTGGTGTTGACGCTTGGTATAATAGGCAATGATCGAAACGCGCGCTCTATGACTTGCTTATTTATACTCTAAGGGCATCAAAGAGGCAGGTTCAAGTAACATGAACCGTTCGTATAGTTTCATAATTAATATACAATTGAATGGTCACCCTGGAAAGTTAACTCAAAAGAATTAGGTAATATTCCCGTGATCTGTCAGTTCTTTAAATATACCGTGTACCACTTTACTGCCTGTTTGATTTTTTTATACGATAGGGTGACAAACGAGCACACAGTCCACCTGATGGTAAATGGTTGCTGTGGCCCATTGACATCTACATCTATCCTCGATTACGAAACAAAATGCAGTTGCGTTGTCACCCGTGAGGACTAAGATGAAATGCCTTGTTTCCAGTAAAAAGGGTCTCCGGTTCTCTACGCTCACCATACGAAACACGGCAGCATTAAGCTACTTTTTTACGCTGGTATTCTGTGAGGGCGTGGTCCTTCCCCGGTCGAGCCGACCTATTCGTTCTACAACCATACTACTAATATACCTACTGCACCATGGTTTTACCACGGTTAAAATTGAATGTTTAAATTACCAAAAAATCTAATTAAAATTCGAACAGTTTATTGTGTGAGTTTATTGTGAGGTTGATACAGTTGGTGTTTACATAGTTTATCTGTTATGGAACAAACATTTAGTATAGATATATTTCGCCATTCGGCATACAATATTAATCACATTTTATAATCTTATATATGTTTATTTTACATAAATTACTTAAACATGCTCTAGTTACAATTGGAGTTCCCATGGTATATAATCAACAATAATACAGATAATTTATTAAGTCAAATTAGATAATATTATGTAAGTTAATTTAGTTATTCTGGGTCTTATAACAGCCAATTATTGTATTTCATAATTATCTTTGAGCTACTTTTTCACATTGTAGAATATCCTATTATTACATATAAAAACAATTATAAATCGATATATACAAATATTTAAAATCAATTTAGCCGCCAGTCTTATCATTTCATAAGAGAAAATACGATTTAAATATATCAGTAACTTTTGTTAACATCACACTACAAGTACTGCTATGTATCATTAAAAGACGATTAGGATTTGTTAATTAATAATAGCGTGATCGTGAAAAAAAGAGATATAAAAAGAAATTATAATTTTAATCTAGACTTAATCGACGGCTTCAAATTTTTGATTAAATACACGCTAGACGTGTAAATCGTGAATGTTTCGTTCATTTAACCGGGGTCGCATCGAGTTATTGATAATTGCTACAATTACATTTTTTGAACGATTTCTTCGATTCGATTCGATTGGCAGTACCTACGACCAAAGAATGTAGTAACGTCCGAAGACAGTCATTTTTGAGCGGGTCACATAGATCACAGAGTAAAACGAATCAATACGTGAAGAGTTTTGAAAGTTCTGACGTGTACTGCTTGTAATTTCATACAATGAAATAAGGTCGTAATACCGTAGTTTCTTTCTTTTTCTTTCTTTTTTTTTTAAAGAATATTAACAATGCTATAAACATTACTAATATTTCCTTTAACCACTCATGGTAAGCTTAAATTGCTTGTGTTACGAGTGGTTCACGCCAGTAGTCGAATGGTGGATTCGAACCCACGATCTTTTTGAGTTCGCGGTCCGTGTCCTGCCATTAGGCTACTGTCGCTTGTTACCGTTGTTTACATGTAGTTTTTTGTAATTTGTTATAGGTAGGACTCCTCGAGGAGTTCGAATTTCTATAATCTCTACTTACAAGCAAATTAGGCTCATAGTCGTGCAGTTCAGAACCCGACTGTGATAAACTAAACTAAATAATTATTAATTTTTCATGTACGTAGTAGAGCCATGCTGTAGCTACATTATGGCTGTAGCACGAATGGATCGGCTCGATCGGAGAAGACCGCGCTCTTACATATTACCAGCTTAACGCTGTATTTCGTATGGTGAATGTAGAAAACCGAAGACCATTTTTACTCGAAACGAGGCATTTCAATATATTCCTCATAGCTCCTGCATTTTGATTCTTGTAGATAGACTGATATCATCAGATTAACTATGTGTTAATTCTATAAAAATAATATACAGTGTGACAAATGGAAATAAATGCACTTGGTAGCAATTTTAACTAAAACACTTATCTATATTTAAATAAAGTTATTGTCTATCTTTCCGATCGAATTCAAGTATGGAAATAACTATTTGACGTATTATATTGTTATAGCTAACCTTATGATTAATTTAAAGCTAAATATTTAAAACCAATTCATGTGCAAACAAATATAAATGTTCGATCCACCTGAAGCACATTCTGGGCCCTGTTTTATAGACGGATGCATCAAACAAAAGTCATTACTAGGTTGAGAAATAAAGATTAACAAATAATTTATTTTAAAAACAAATCATCTTAAATGTCAACAGCAATTAAGATAACGGGGTGAAAATAAATGACTACTCCGTTTTAAACACATTTAAAAAAGGTTATTTAAGAAGAAGCGAACCTGTTGTTTTAGTCATTGAATCAACAACTGAGCAAGATGAGGCGCCTTATTCTCCTTTTAGTAGGTAAGTAGATTTTTCATATGTGCAATGTAAATTGACACGTAATAATGTGTTAAGGAGAAATATAACCACAAATGGCTTAGCAAGATCCTCCGTTATGCCGAAAGTATTGCAGCATTAATTTTGAAATAAATATATGGTAAAGTTGAGGATTAATGTTAAGGACTATGTTAGACGAAAACACGATTCCGTAAAATTTTCTCGATAGTAGATAAAAAAATCCAAAGTTGTTGTCGCTGTTATTCCTAAAATACTTTAAATAAGATCATGAAACTTTGCATACTAACTGAACTAACTATAAAGCAGTGCTTATGTTATTTACTTTTTTTATACCATTATTTTCACTGTAAAAAGAAATTATCTAAACTATAGGGGTCTTGAAGCTTGATTCCTGTCGCCCCGTTAGTATCGCTTAGGCTTTTGAAGGGAGAAGTTGTGTCGCTTACGATCAGAATACACATTACGCAACAGGACGACGTAAAATTAAAATGGGAAATAACCGTGATAAAAATAAGAAGCGACTGGGTTGGCATTAAGAAACAGGCATAAATATGATAAACCTAATGAAATAAGTATCTAACGACATATCTTCTTACAGTATTAGTGATTACAAATGAGTGAGGGCGAAATTAGAATTTGAGCTGACTTCCTATATACCCTTAATATAGTATTATTAGTGTTCAATAAAACGCATTATACCGATTTTATCGTATTTAATTTAACTTATTTTTAAATCTCGACGTTTCATGTGCTTTACTTCACCCAGGGTAACGACGAGGACTGAACTGTTAAACGTCAGGAATTCAAAATATTTAAAATTAAGGGCGATAAAATATGTAAAATTAGTTTTAATTAATGTCCTGTATAATATGTGTAAATACAACAAATCATTAGTATCAGTGTGTTATCAATTTTATTGCTGAATTTAAAATATAACGATTATCGTGTAACTGATTAGTGATAAGTGTTGGAGCTGTCTCTCCGTAAATTTCATACTTTTTGAAGTAAAACTTTTTTACGCACGCTTGACATGGGGAGTAAGCTGCCCAACGCGTGACGAAATCATTACGATAAGTGTGATCGGGCGAGGCGAACGGGAGTTTAGTGGGGCATATAAGCAAAACAGAGCAGTACGCGCGCACATTTTCTTTCTCTCTTTCTCTTATTGCCAGTTATTTTTTCTAATTTTATTTCATTTTGAACAATTTTATGAATTAATATATAAAATATTCGACGTTTAAATTGAATAAAATTGTAAATTCATTTTAAAGTTTAAGTGTTTTGAGAATATTCGGATGAATAATATTATGGAAGGAAGCCGATAATAAATTTAAATATTTGTAGAAAATTAACAAAATATATATATATATATATATATATATATATATATATATATGTGTGTATATATATATACATGTATATATTATACTTATATGTTTTTTATAGTTTCTGAAGTTGGTATGGTTGACTAAAATAATACTTGTATGAATCCTAATGATTCTAACCGAGAGAAATATAACAGGGCACGAAATCGCTGCAATATGGTGTGTAGAGATAGTCAACGACGCCATATCCATAAATCTGTTGTTGAGGAAGATAACTCAACTAAAGTTTGGAACTTTCTCAAATCTTTAGGGGTTGGAAAAGCAAAGCGTAATGTAGAATCTCTTAATTTGAATTTAAATAAGCTTAATGCTCATTTCCTCTCTAGCGCCACTATAGACAGTGCTACGAAGAAAAATACACTTGCTCAACTTTCTGCTATATCAACTCCCAATTTTTCCTCTTTTGTCTTTAGCCAAGTTACTGTCAGTGATGTTAAGAAGAATATATTAGCCATTACTTCCGACGCAGTTGGTTCTGACAGCATTAGTCGTAAGATGATTATCCCAATACTCGATCTTTTAGCTCCTATACTTACACTTATTTTAAACCGTTCCCTTGACACCAGTGTTTTTCCTTCATCCTGGAAAGACGGCCTAGTAACTCCACTCCCTAAAAAATCTAATCCGACATATGAGGATTACCGTCCTATATCCATCCTTTCCTTTCTCTCTAAAGTACTCGAGCGCCTAATATACCAACAGCTGAGCAAATTCCTGTCCAATCATAACCTTTTGAATTCATTCCAATCTGGTTTCCGTCCCGGTCATAGTACGACTACGGCTTTGGTTAGAATCACTGATGATATTCGCCTGGGCATGGATAGTCAGCAGGTTACAGTATTGACATTGCTTGACTTTAGTAATGCCTTCAATACTGTAGACTTTGATGTTTTACTCGCTGTCCTAAGTTCTCTTAACATATCTCCTGAAGTAATTGGTTGGTTTCATAGTTACTTGCAAGGGCGCCGGCAACGTGTACAAATTCAAGACACGTTTTCTGACTGGTCTGCTGTCAAAGCTGGCGTCCCACAAGGTGGCGTGTTGTCTCCTCTATTGTTCTCTATCTTCATCAATTCGATCTGTTCCCACATAACTTCTCTTTACCACCTATATGCAGACGATTTACAAATCTACTCTCAATGTAAGATTGCGGATCTCCCCAATACAATTAGATTAATTAATGAAGATCTTATTCGTATTTCTCATTGGTGTAATTCATTTGGGCTTAAAGTTAATCCATTGAAGACTCAAGCCATTATTATTGGGAGTTCGAAATTAATCTCTCGGTTAACTTTGTCGCTGCTCCCGCCAATCATATTCGATGGGACACTTATCCCATACAGTGACAAAGTTAAGAATTTAGGTATTATGTTCGATCAGACTTTGTCTTGGGGACCGCAAGTTAGTGAAATAAGTAAAAAAATGTTTGCCGCAGTTGGTTCACTTCGAAGATTACGCAATGTTCTCCCCATTCCTACTAAAGTTGCGCTGGCTCAGTCTCTTCTTTTACCGATCCTTGACTACGCGGACACTTGTTATCTTGACCTAACATACGAGCAACTTAATAAACTTGAGCGGCTTCAAAATTATTGCATAAGGTTTATATTTGGGTTACGAAAGTATGACCACATATCCGAATTCCGCCATAAGCTCAAGTGGCTCCCGATTCGTCTTCGCAGGAATACTCACATTCTTCATCTTCTTTACTGCATTCTGTTCAATCCGACCACTCCTTCTTATTTGAAAGACCGATTTATATATTTAAGTAGTTTACGATCTCAAAATAATCTCCTTCTAAGTACCCCTAGACATTCCTCTTCCTTCTATTCTAATTCTTTTACGGTTACCGCTATACGACTATGGAATTCTCTCCCCTTACATATCAAAAAATCTAAATCTCTTCCTATATTTAAAAATAAATTAAAACTTTATTACCTTTCCTCTTAAGTTACTACCTGTCGTCATTCATTTTTTTTTCTTTTTTTTTCTTTAATCATTTATGTTCTTCTATTTATCTTTCTTTATCATATTCTGTACACCCCTTCCGCTATCTTTTAAAATAGTATCCTCTGCCCTAAGGTTGCCTGGAAGAGATCGCTGTTTTAGCGATAAGGCCGCCTGTTGTACCAATGTCCCTTTAAATATATAAATAATGTAATATGTTCCTTGGTGTACAATAAAGTATATTTTACTTTACTTTTACTTTACTTGTTTAGCTATATATGTTTTCGTGGCAACCAAAATAGATACTAACCGGTTGAAATTTTTCATTAACGTACTTGTGACTTTTTTTTAAATATTTAGATACTTTGATATTTTTGATTTGAAATTAAAATCATTAATTTTAAAATGAAAACGTTCATGAAGTTTAAATACATTATCATTACAGCCCACCACATGTTCACTAATCTAGGCTAATCATAGGCCTCCCCCAAGGAATGCCACAAAGCACGGTCCCGAGCCACCTTCATGTCTTACTAGGTCGTCACTCCATCTAGTGGGGGGTCGTCCTACACTTCACCTACCAGTACGAGGCTGCCACTCGAGAACCTTTTCTTCTCAAATTTTGTCAGTTTCTCAAGCTATATAGCCAGCCCATTGCCACTTCAGCTTACCAACGGATTGGTAAGCTATATCGATCACTGTGGTTCTAGTGTTAGTAATCCTTATTTATAAGTTTATCATGCAGAGAAATTCCAAGCATAGCCCTCTGAGCTTGCTGAGCGATCTTGTGGCGACCATAAGTAATCACTGCCGACACACAATGGTTGTACAAGACACTGGCTGGACAAGACTGGTTGTACAAGTTTTAAGATATACGTAACAATTAAATTTTTGTCGTAATTTCACTAACGCTGCACAGCTAAGTTGAATCCGTCGATTGACCTCTCTTTGGAGGCACTATTGTGGACATTGAGCATAGCGCTTAGGTCCACCTGCAATTCTGCCATAGAATTCGAAGGTGCACTCGCTATTACCGTACCTATACCTGATACCGTAGCCTTTCCAGCCCAGTAGCTTGAAAAATCTTTTCAATGCAGCAGTGAAGAGCTTCGGGGCTATTACGTCACCCTGTCTTACACCTCACTGCAGCTGGATGAGTTTTTTACACTGGTTCTGTGGTTAGGGCTACGAGTTCATACTCGGATAGCCATCGTAGCCCTACTGTACAAACACTTCAGCACTTTGATATACCGACAGTCAACTTGGCACCACTGAAAGGATTGTAGACCGCGCAATTTTCTACGGAATCAAAGGCTTTCTCATAGTCTACATACGCCAGGAAAAGCTCCAGATTGTACTCTTCAGTCTTCTGTACAATTTGCCGAAGAATATGTATGTGGTCTGCGGTACTAAAGCCTTTTGGGAAACCGGCTTGTTCAGGAGGCTAGAAGTCGTCGGCGCTGCGTGCGAGACAATCCGTAATGACTCTCAAAAACAACACGTAGACGCGGCTCAGAAGGAAAATCGATCTGTAGTTCTTCAAGAAAATATTGTCCAATTTTTTGGAAACAAGATAACCGTACTTTTGAATAAAACTATTATTTACGGATTTTATCGCGCTTAATTACCTACTACTTTAACTTATTTTTATTATCCCGACGTTTCGGGTGCTTTATGGGACTGAGATGTTTGACGTCCCAATGCCATAATTTTTGGTCCTATATATTCATAAACTGAAGGTAGCGGGACTAACTATAACATTGGGACGTCAAACATCTCAGTCCTCCCCGTGACGATAGGTGCTGTAAAGCATCTGAAACGTCGGAATAATAAAAATAAATTAAAGTAGTAATTAAACGCGATAAAATCCGTAAATAATAGTTTTATATAATGTGTTCGCGTAAATTTAAGAAATCACCGTACTTTTGCGACACGCCTCAAAAGTAGTCCCACCATGGAGGACGGAAATAAAGAGCTTCTGAAGGACTTTAAGTACCGGTTTTCCACCCGCTTTCAGGAGCTCCATTGTAATTCCATCTTCGCCCCAGGTTTTGCCGTTTTTTAAGGTGCTGGAGAATCATTCTACTCTCGCTCAGACTGTCATCCAGGACATCATCAAAATAGTGTCGGATAAGACTTGCTCTAGGATTGTTACTTACAGTTGGATGTGATTTCAACGATGACGTGTACAGTACAGTTCCTGGAACGATTCTGTCACACTCGGTCTCAGCTCCGACAGTTGGCTCTTTCTGGCAGACAGATCTGTGGCAAAGACTTTGGAACCCTGGTTCCGCTCGATCGCTTCTTTAATACGAGTTGTATTGAAGTTGAGTAAGGTCCGTCGCATACGTTTGGAGATCTGTCTGTTCAGTTACCTAGTCTAGGCACTAAAAACAATTTTGTAAATCGAGATAAAAGTTTGAGGGAAATTGGATTATTGTACGAGGGTGACGGAGCGTTGACTTCATTAGACGTGACATCTCCTTCTCCTACCTGATGTTTGAGTTCAGTGTGCCTTTGATTATTTGGTGAACGTTGCCAGTATTAATACATTTATTTTTATTTTTTGAAGTGCCAAATGAACTTATAGTCTACCTACTGGTAAGCTGCTACCGTGCTCCATGGACACATGCAGACTACTTCAAACAAAGAAGGCTAAAGATTCGTTGTCACTTCTGAGGACTTAGACGGAATGCTTCACCCCCTCAGAAACTTAAACTGCCGCTCTATGCAGACCACAACTTACCGCATTAAAAGCTAACATTGTTCCAAAAAATTAAATGTTTTAAAGAAAATTTATACACCTATCAGAAGTTTGTTATAACTTTTTACAATTATTAAAGTAAGTACGTTATAAATTGTTATCATTTTTTTGCTAGCCAAGAACATAAATAGCGACAATCCATCAACCGTATATTTGTTTACATATTATTTGAAATAACGTTATTTACATTCAGTAAGAGAAAAGTGAAGGTCAATCGTAAGTCTTTGATACGAAGAGCATATTATAATCGCTGTTTGGATCTTGTTTATATGATGATTTTAAACAAAGACAAATATTACTCGAAGATACGCTTTATGATGTCCTTAGCGATTCATTTCAAAATATTAGTACCTACTTACTATAGACTAGACCTTCATACCTAGGTGGATTGAAAAGTACTCGGCCTAACACAGATCCATTCAATTCTAAAAATCAAATCTACCCAAATTATTTAGTTCAGTTCAGACTAGTTCATTGTGTGAAGTTCGAAACGTGTGCGATAATTAGTTGTGATTTTATAAATTTATTAACAAAGTAATCGGACATAATTTCCGCGAATGGAGCAAATCGAGCAGCGTGCCGTCATTAAGTACCTCCATAAGAAGGGGCTATCATCAAAAACCATCCATGATGACATGGTCAGTACATTAGGCGATTGTGCACTGTCATATTCATCCGTCAAAAAATGGATAGCAGAATTTAAGCGTGGTAGAGAGAGTGTGAAAGATGAACCCCGCTCTGGAAGGCCTTCGACGTCAACTACTGACGAAAATATTAAAAAAGTACTTGATTTAATAATGGGAGACCGCAGATTAAAAATTAGAGAGATAGCCGAGATTATAGGCATCTCTTATGAACGAACTCAAAACATCATTGTCAACGAGTTGGGTTTCCACAAGGTGTCTGCGAGGTGGGTTCCGCGACTGCTTTCAGTTGAACAAAAAAGGACGCGATTGACTATTTCACGCGACTGTTTCGAGTTATTTGAAGCCGATGCAGATGATTTTTTGAATCGTTTTGTTACCATGGACGAAAAATGGGTTCATTACTGTACACCGGATACGAAACAACAATCAAAACAGTGGAGAAGACCTGGTTCACCTCCCCCTAAAAAGGCTAAGTCGATTTTGTCGGCAAATAAGGTGATGGCTTCAGTATTCTGGGACTCGAAAGGTGTGATTATGATTGATTATCTTGAAAGGGGTCAGACTATAAACTCTGATTACTATTGCACCTTACAACGTCGTTTACGAGAGGAAATAAAAGAAAAACGTCGAGGAATGCTCAGAAGAAAAGTCCTGTTTCATCAAGATAACGCCCGTGTTCACACGTCAGTACAGTCAATGGCTGAAATTCACAACTGTGGCTTTGAACTGTTACCGCATCCGCCGTATTCACCTGATCTGGCACCATCAGACTTTTTTCTGTTACCTAACCTAAAAAAGCACTTGGGAGGTCAAAGATTTTCGACAAACGACGAGGTCAAAGCAGCTGTAGACGCATATTTTGACTCTAAGGAAGAATCATTTTTTTTCAACGGTCTAAATGCTTGGAAGGGGAGGTGGCAAAAGTGTATTGAACTTGATGGTGATTATGTAGAAAAATAAAAATGTAACTGATTTAGTATGTGTTCATTTTCTTGGTTAGGCCGAGTACTTTTCAATCCACCCTCGTAAACAAATAGTTAGACAGATCCAATTCTAAAAATGATAGAAATGTGTCTAATTAATAAATTTTATTTCTTCTCAATCATTTCTTCAAGCTTGTAATTTAAATATTTATTTGTTTATATATATATATATACATTTGTATACTACAGCGCCATCTAGAGCGTACTTTATATGTAAACTGCCAAAGCAAACGAGAAAACACAGGCCACCGATGGATCGGGAGGGAGTAGCCATAGCGGCCAGTGTTGATAAACTAATCTAAAACATCACGATCTAAAACGACACGACAAACATTGTTTGTTTTAGGTTTAAAAAGATGTAAATAGCAATAATGTAATTAAAAATTACTTATATGTATATGAAAGGTACACGTCACCACGTTTTTGAAAATTTGACATGGTAGATTTCTTTTACTTTAAAAGAAAATAAACAATTCAACATTTTTGTAGGATGTCGATTCACCGCAACTATACTTAAGTTATGATTACTGCCTGTATACGTTCCACTGCTGGGCACAGGTCTCCTCTCATTTCTGAGAGAGTTTTAGGGCAAGGAGTTGTCCACCGGACTGCCCAAATGCGTGTTGCCGAACTTCACATGTTTACGAAATATTATTCTATCTTATTTCTCGGACATGCAGCTTCCCTCACTATGTTTTCCTTCACTACCGAACACGTGGTAAATCAGTACTTAAAATTGCAATTAACAATTTCATTCGGGTCGGCGGGGATCGAACCCGGGTTGCTCGCGTACTGCGAAATTTGCAACGCGCGCTAACCTTCTGAGCTACAACTGTTCGTTTACATTAGTATAGTTTAGTAGAGTTGAACATTAGCACATGACTACCTACTCTCTTCCGACTCGCCGGTGGATGAAATTTAAAGAAATATCTTAGCAATCATGCGAGATAGCATTTCAGGCGGGCTTTGTTTGACTTACAGATATTAGTAATTATATTATATAAATAGACTAGTTTGCCAGGCACACGTTTTTCTGCACTTTTTGACGACGCTTTGTCATGTCCTATTAAAAATACCTTTAAATTTGTAAAAAATATTCACTCATGGGCAAAAAACTATCCTATCTCTCAAGTTGGGCCAAACTGCACACTTTGTGTGCAAACTTGATTTAAATCGGTTAAGTAGTGTAGTAGTCCATCGCGGACAAACAGCGTGTAATTTATATATATTAAGATGATGACATTAATAAAGTTGCGCAACACTGTAATGTCAGATCATAACTCTTGCAGGGCAACAAATATCACTTGCCACCTATAAAAGTTGTTTGAATATAGTAACCAGCCATAAATGTACAACATATTATAATAATATAGCAAATAAAAAGTCAGGCGAGACGTATCGATCGTGAGCTGAGATGATGCTAGTGAGAATAGGGCAACACATAAAATTATTGTATTGTTGTCGGTTCTGAATACGTGGACAAAATTTCAGATTATTCCGACGTCTGGAAGTAGGAGAAAACTGCACTATGAAATTCCATTACATTCGTACTCATACATCATAAATAATTTATATGTCCAGTGTTTCTTTTTTCGAATTAGGAATTGAAGGTATAAATGACATTCAATAAGCTTTCTTTACATCGATATTAAACTAAGATAATTATATTTGTATAACCACGTATATTTTTTTGTAGTCGCAATGGCAAGTTCAGAAGAATTCTTTTTCCTCGGACATGAATTTTCCAGAACTCCACTGGGCGATCGGATAGACAAAGCGTCTGTAAAAATGCTCAAGGTAAGTTATTAGATAGTTCTTTTCGTTAATGTTAGGTTTCGTCGGTTCTGTGTTTACTTCTTCCGTTTAAACAGCACGAAGAGAACGACATTAGTTCTTTGAACAACCCATCTACATATTATATAATCTATTGTGAGATTTGTGAGAATGGCCACGATATGCTTGTATTTTGAATTTCCGTGAGCAATTGTATTGTGTTTTTCATTAAAAGTTTTTTTTTTACTGTTTTGTCTGAACGGTTACCTCTGAAGTATTCGCTATTCCCCTATATACCTATTTCATAAAAAAAGAATAATTAAAATCGGTTCAGTCATGCCCGAAAAGAACATACAGAAAAAAGAAATTATTTTATTCTTTTTAGTTTTATTTTTAACATTTCGATTGGTCTGAGGAATGTCACAAGTACGAATATAAAACTGGAATGTCTTCTAAATAGATTAAAATATATGATATACATTAAAAACATATGAGTAAATTATAGAACTAAATTGTTTTTTGAATTTTTTTTAAAAACTAACACATTAAAAGTAATACACTATAGATATAGTTATAGTGACGAAAGACCAAAAAATGTCGTAAATTTAAAATAAGTCTATCGTGATAAAATCAGTTCAATTAGTTTAAAAGCAATAAAGCACTATGTACGTCTCACCGATGGCCGCAAGTCCAGCCTCATTTGTTTCGGGACATTATTTAAATTCGCTATATTCGAATGTATTCTCGTGAAATGACTGTGGTTCAATTCTTACAGGAGACCTATCTATCAGCCACGGACTCTAATGTAGTCACGTCGCCACTAGGAGCATTACTACTTTTGTCGCTGTATTCTTCTGGTGTACAGGGTAAGAGCAGAGAGGAAATCATACAGTTTCTTGGTTCAACTGAATACAAGGATGTAAGTCTCATTTTCGTATTTTGTATTTATATTTATGAATACTCAGAAAACGCGTACATATACATTATATTCCAATTTATTATCTTTTAACTAACCGGGTGAATTTGTTACCTTAATTAAAAAATAATTTTATTAGCCTAATAGGTGTACCCAACGTGTAATAGCGATGTAAGAATATCCGCTACTCCATATTGTCTCGTGGGTTTCGCAAAAGGCGGCAGAATTAAAATGAAACAGTAATTAAGCAGCAGAATTACTTGATAATAATTCAAAATAAATAATAAAAACCGCGGTTGCAAATCCACCTAGCTTAGCCTAGTACATATGGTAAAATCTCCCTCTCCTCTCCTGAGATATCTAATTTAAGATTATGACGATTTTTAGGCAGTTAATACGTGAACTAATGAACTAAATAGAAGCTTTACATTAAAAAAATATTGTTTAAGTTGACATATTACTAAATCAAATCTATCAAAAAATACCACCAATTTGAAGCAAAGTCAAGGGCGTAACAATTTCAGCGGTACCTGCCATGCGTAAAGCAGGCTGCACATGATTTAAATTTAGATGTTTCCAATCGCTTTTTTGTAACTTAAAAATTAAAGTTTCTTATAATAAAATTGATAAATATCTATGCTTACACTTCGTTCACCGATTGCACCCTATTATTTTATTTACGGTATAAAGTCAGCCGGTATGAAATTCTATCAATCCTTCTTCATCATCAGCTCCACAAAGTACACAGCTGGACATGGGTATCTCCTATGGTAGAAAAAGTATGCCGTACTCAATACGCTTGGCAAACGAATTGTCGATTGCAATCTACCAGGTGTCTTGCACCTTGGAAAACGCACCCCGTCGCTGGTCTTGGTATTTTATACGCACGTTGCATTAGAGGCCGTTAGACCTTTTTGGAATTTCGAGTAGTCGCCTCTCACTACATCCACGAGACGAAATGAGGCGGTGAATAATCAATACAATAGTCACTGATACAAACGTAATTATGTAGTACCTTGTAGAACTAGCTCTGATCGGCGTTACAAATATCTACGGATGAATTCTATGTAGATAAACATGAAGAGTTAAACTTTCTCTAAATATCAAATTTCATCGAAATTCTGAAACAAATTTGATTAGATTTCATTCTGTAGAAATAAGGGTTTCAAATGAGCACACAGTCCACCTGATGGTAAGTATATGCTATGGCATACAGTCACTTACTTATTCAGAATCAAAATGCAGATTAAAGTAATGGATCAACATGATTGCTAACGTGTGTTGTCAAAACATACTTAATAATAATCAAACATAGAGCAACAGCGGCCATCGGTGGATCGGATGGGATACGCAGGTGTCCCTCTGTTACACTGTCTGTCTGTTTTACTTTGCTTACAATAAAATTAGTTATAACCGCACTGCTCACTAGACCTACAGGTATATTAATCTGTGCACTAGACTTGATCTAGGTGCGCGGCTAAATAGACGTCCCGTCGGGACTTGTTCCATTTTTTGATGCAAATGGAGATCTGCCAATTTTACAAAAAGATGGCGTTACCTTTCATACATAAGTAGTTTTTAATCAAATTAATGCTTTTTATTTATTTTTATAATAAATTTAAAAGTACAGTAATAACTGACATCTTATTTCGGATTTGTTTACCAACACTGGCTGCTCTCCATTTGCCATTGCTTTTGTGTGCCCAGATTTCTCAGCGCAGAAAATGACAGAGAGTTCTGTATCAGGTAATAACGCAACTCCCCTCCGATCCGATATTGCTTTGTCACATCAAACTAAATGGATAAATGATTGATTTTGATAATGATTCACAAGAATTTACTTCAAGGATATAATATTTTTAGCTATTCGATTCGTATAGCCACCTAAGCAGCAGATTTGCTTCAATGGATCCGAGTTACCTCACTCTCGCCAACAAAGTGTACGTGGCTAAAGGATACACGCTGGCCGACGAGTTCACTAACACAGCCCGTTCATACAACAGCGAAGTAGATGCAATCGACTTTCACGATTTGAAGACAGCCGCACAAATTATTAATCGATGGGTAAGGTTATTCGTATTTAATAAATATTATTAAATTATAGTTGTTGGTAGGTAGGTAAAGATAAAAGTATATGTTGTTTCATAACCAAACGTATAATTTTACACAATTAAAAAGTATGATTAAATTAGTATCCACACATAAAAGGCAATAATTACCAAGCGACATGTTGGCAACTTTACACGGGAGTATTTTAAAGTTTTTTTTTTTTTTAATTCGTAACAAGTTGCCTATAATCATAACTACTCAATTTCAATGAATTTGAGACGCAGATTAAAGGCTTACTAAACTGGCATTTAAAGATTATTTCAAAATTTTATGAAATAGTGTCGGTAAGTAACAATTTCATCAAAATCAAAAACAGGTAAAAGTTACTTACCGACATCAATATTTTATTATAAAACAAGTAAAATTGAGTTCACCGCATTATTTGATAATGTGTTTGAAGAAAATTTACACACTCAGAGGTAACGCAAATTTGACATATAGGTAAATAGAAACAAAAAGCTTTTCTGCCAGCCAATTTTATTCATAGTACAAATTAAATAAGGTTAGTAATAGCTACTCAAAATCAAAAACTTTCGGACAAAGGTTGTCGACGGATATGGTCGTCATTACCATCATCATCATCATCAATATCAAACTACTACTAAACGACAAAATATATTATTTTAAGGCAACAAAAATACTACTATATTATGTCTTTTAGTCTATTTTCCGAAAGTTGCCCAGCCGCGTTGAATCCGTCGATTGACCTCTCGGTCGAAGTTGGACTTACCTAGTCGGACCATTTGTCCTAGGTAAACATACTCGTCAACAACTTCGAGCTTAGTGCTCCCAACAACTACTGGTATAGGTGTGACATGGACATTACACATGATCTTTGTTTTGTTCATCTTAAGACCTATCCGTTGGGAATATTAAGGTCATTGAGCATATTGCTTAGGTCTTCCAGCGATTCTGCCATAAGGACTATATCATCGCCAAATTGAAGGTGAGTAATGATATTCTCGCCATTAAAGTTGATACCATATCTTTCCAGTCCAGTAGTCTGAAAACGTCTTCCATTGCAGCGGTGAAGAATTTCTGGGATATAACGTTACCCCATTTTACACCTCTCTGCAGTAGGATAGGTTTCATAATCTGGTTCTATACTCGGATAGCCATCGTATCCCTACTGTACAAACATTTCAGTACTTTCATATACCGACTGTTAACTTGGCACCGCTGAAGGGACTGCAGCATCGCTTATTGTCAACATACGCAAGGCATGTGGCAGATTGTACTCTTCGGGTCTTCATGTATTTACACATACACACACACACACACACACATAAGAACAGGCTTTAATACCACAGATGAATGTATATGATCTGAGGTATTAAAGCCTGTTCGGAAACCAGCTTGTTTGGGAACCGGATGGAAGTCATCGAGTCTGCGTGCGAGACAATTCGTAATAACTCTCGTAAACAGCACGTAGACGCGGCTCAGAATGGAAATCGGTTTGTAGTTGCTCAAGAGAGCGTTGTCGCCTTTCTTGAAAAACAAGACCGTCGCACTTCTGCTCTACGTCTCTGGAGTAGTTGCACCATGGAGGACGGAATTAAAGAGCCTCTGAATAACTTTAAGTACCGGTTTTCCCTCTCCTCGATTTTGTCTCTAACCTCTAACTCACGACATCACTTAAAAGATGCCGTCTAGTCGGCATAATGAAATCAATCTCATTTTTTATCGAGCCGTCGTGGTTCGACAAGGTCCACTTTCTTGGGGCCGCTTCTGTAAGAAAGAGTTCATCATAAAGATTCATTCTATTTCCATGAAGTTGGTCAGCTGCCGACCCCTTGGGTTCCGTTGCACTATCCCAAATTTCCCTACGTTTATCAGCTCTCCGTTCTCCTTTGTGCCTAGTTTTGAGTTGAAGTCTTCCCTTTATTTCGTATAGTGGGTTTTGTAGGAATGCATGGCTCTAGATATATCCTCCTACATTTTCGGTTTCGTTGCCCTCCTCCAAATTTCCCTAACTTCAGCTCACCGTTTTCTCTTGTGCCTAGTTTTGCGTTGAAGTCTCCCATCAACACCGTATAGTGGGTTTTGGAGGAATGCATGGCTTTGGAAATATCCTCATACATTTCCTCCACCTCCTCATCGGGATGTGCCGAGGTTGGGGCGTAAACCTGTTTGACCTTCAGCTAATACCGTTTGGTAATCCTGAGTATAAGGTACACAACCCACGTCAACACACTTCCAATCTCTACAACGTTGTTAACGAAAGACTTGTGGACGATAAATCCGACACCTCCTTAGGACAGATGGTTGTCCTACCTTTGATAGAACAAAATTTTGGATTTCAGAAGTTCGAGCCTCCACCGGAGATTTTTAGGATTCATTTTTTTTCACTTTCCATGATCACTACCGTAGCTAGAAATAGCGTGGCCACCAGGGACTGGGTCCCGTCTCTTCGTAACTCTCAGTGTGTGTGTGTGTGGGGGGGGGGGTATATTGCCATAGTTGCCATGCTTGGCGAGCGAGTTGACTATGGTTCAGTGGATATATTTTACTGCCACTACACGACATATTTTATCTATATGTAAATGTAAATGTGTAAGCCCGTAAAGCCGTTAATCGCTCTCTGATCGTGTCAAACTGCCGTCACATCGGACTATGTGAGTTAGTAAAATTGAATGTGCACCTGTGCTTATGGACGCACTCGTGCTCTATAATCCTGACTTGCGCAGATGGCTAGTGTCAATTGAGACTAACCGTGGTATGGAGGACATTTAAAAAATTGTTAATATATGTTTGTTTTCAAATCCCAGACTGTTTTGAAATTTTACACAGCATTACATTCCAATACGTGCGAATTTTGTATACTTTTTGATTTTTGGACGAACTTTTTGAGCTGTAGCAAGGTGTATATATATATTAGGCCATAAGGAACATTGGCCTGAGGGCATATTTTTCACGTGCTAGATGAAACGATTACGATCTCTTCTGACTCCAATAATGTCAAAATACTCGTCAAATTTACTTTTTGAGAACATTAAAAAGCTCTTGGTGAGAGGTCTGAACTGCATATGAATGGGTCTCAAGCTCTACCTCTTCAGAAACCAAAAAATGACTATGTCTAGTACGCGATGTGCGCTGAAACTGGTGCAATAATATGCAATTTCTTGGTCATTTTTCCCTAACTTATTCAAAAAAATCAGGCAAATGAATGATGGTGTACCACTCAGCATTGTCTGTCTTTTGCTCATCAAGCGAGATCGTACAGACAAAATAGAAAATTTTGCTTACGGTTGTTGCCTGCCTTAATTTTGTTAGCTTGCTGTGGCCTTAGAATAAAAAAAGACTGTTGCTTTTTTCCGAATATATTCCACGTTTCATCTCTTATTACAAGCACACAGCACTTAAATGTCCGTAATGGTACTATTCGATTTATTAATTTACAAATTGCTCATACCAATACCCAAATATCCCCAAATCTCCTCAATGCGTCGATTATCTTCAAGTAGTCGCATGATAGTAGTCATATTTTCTCATTGATTGCATTTGAGGGCCGACCTTCACGAGTTTCATCATGAAGAGCTACGTGGCCACGACTAAACTCTAACACGAGCGCTTAACGGTGCTCAAATGAGGTGCTTTCCTTCTTAAAGCATTACAAAGACGTGAAATTGGTAGAGCAAAACTGCATCTATATTATGATTTCAGTACGAATGGGTCGTCTCGACCGGGGAAGGACTACGCTCTCACAGAATATCAGCGTAAAATAACAGCTTAATACTACTGTGTTTCTGTAGAGATCCGTAGACCCTTTTTTACTGGAAACGAGGCATTCCATCGTAGACCTCAGGGGTGACAATGCATCTGCGTTTTGATTATTAATCGAGGATATATGAAGATATCTATGGGCCATAGCATCCACTTCCTATCAGGGGGACTGTGTGATCATTTGTCACCCTACATTACATAAGAAAAAGAATAAATTGTTTTACTTTATACAAAATCATCTTATAATTTTTTATGCTTTAATTTGATTATTGCTACGAATGACTAACTTCAAAATATGATAAAAAAGTATGGCACGTGACTTCCTGCCAAAAATTATTTTAATTTAAGTGTTTCATAAGTTCAAACGTTTATGGGCGACCAGAAGCGCAGAATTTTCAGTAGGGTCTAGTGATTAAGTAAGAAAACCGGTTTAAGAAACTGTTATCCTTAAAAATTATTAACTACAATTTATGACTAATTATAAATTTGAGAACTTTGAAGGCACAATGAATTCTTAAATTTATTTATTTTCCACAGGCCGATGAAAAGTCAAAGGGCCATATTAAAGATCCCGTATCAGAAAGTCTTTTGGACCAATCAGCAGCGGCCGCACTCTTCAACGTCATATTCTTTCAGGTATCAAATCAATCGTTATCGAATCTAAACACCTGTAAAGGGTAACCACTAAAGTCATATGCGGTTTTCACTGCAATGATCTTTCCAGGACGACGTGTGTATTAAAAATTGTCCTAGCTCTTAGAGTCGAGCCTTAACGGTATACTGTTAATGTAATAAAAATCAATCAAGTCGGGAAATAGTTTTCCTTAGTAGGTAAGTTCATATGCATCAAAATAGTTTGCAACCAACAACGAGGTTTTAGGTGCATATGTGTCCAGCAGATAACTTTTACGGGCTGTTAAAGAAAAAACTATTTATTTATATATTTTTACAGTCTTAATATATATATATAAAATAAAAAAAAAAAAAAAAAAAAAAAATATATATATCATAACCGACCGTTTCGACTATGAAACCACCACCTCAAACATAACCATTTTCAATATATTTAAGTTTTTTTTATAAAACTTGTCTATTATACTAATGATTTTTGTAATTTGTGCATCTTGTTTATTTTTTTTATAATTTCGTATAGTAGATAAGTTGCTTAATTATTTTAACACCAATATTTTAGGTAAATAAACAATCTGGGCCGTAGAAGCCGATTGATAGTTTAAAAAGAAATACATTTGTACAAAGTATTTTTATTTAAGGAATATTTATTGAAAATCTATGGTATTCCAAGTACATCTATAACATCAGGTATGTTATAGATTTACTTAGAAATACCTATGTTTTAATTCCTGGAAAAACTTAGATGAAACACTCACGCGTGGTATTAAAAATTACAATGCTCATGCGTCAAATTTATCACTCGGCCTATATTATGATATGATGTCTATGTTATATATATGTATAAATAAAATATAAATATAAAATAAAAAATGTCGAGTTGTCTGGTAAAAACTTCGACTTTTGCCCGTGTTGAAAATAATATGCAAAATGAGCACTGGTGGAGTTTTCAAAATCCAATTTGTCCACATTATTTATTTTGAACCTTCTCTGCAAATTTATTATATTAAGCTTCTTTTACGATCTAATATTTTGAATATTTCATAGGGTCACTGGCATGTTCCTTTCCAAGCGGCAGAGACTGAGGAGAAGGACTTCCACGTGAATAAGTCACTGGTCGTCAAGAAACCTATGATGCACTTACAGGATTCCCTCTTCTACAATGAGGACAGCGCAATAGGTGCTAAGGTACGTTTCACAATTGTCGATTAATACACAAAATATTATTAGTATCCAAAGAGCACTAGTATATTTACTTTATATTATATGTACATCACGAGGAGGTAAGGTGTATAGAGCACCATCTGTGCTTAGAATTATAGTATATAGAATTATGTAATTAAAATCGCAACAGTGTCATTGTGGGTAAGGCGAATAAATAAATAACTGTTTAAAATTATAATCTATGTCATTAGTCAAGACAAAGTTATTTATAAATAATGCATGTCACAAACAATAATTTAGTTTAATTAATCCTTACGTAATTACAACCTACCTGTTACCTATGGTGTACCGCAGGGAAGTATTATAGGTCCGACAATCTTCCTCATTTACATAAATAACCAATGTTAATTACAGATACCACATGGTACTACTAATTACTTTTCGTTCCTAACTAAGAATGAAAACTGTAGTTGTCTAGAACTGAAGTCTGTTAATACTATCAAATATTTAAGAATTCACTTAGATCATAATCTAAACTTTAACAGTCACATACTCGTAGATATGCTTCCGTAATGCAGCTGATTCGAACATTATGATGAAAAATGATGAGAATTTTATATCTCACACTATGTGAATCTATATTAATTTACGGAATTACAGTTTGGGAAGGAACATTCTTATTTATTCCCATAAAAGTGGAAAGAGATCAACGAGATATACTCGAAAGATTACGTTCCCTCCCGTACAAATTTCCAAAAATACCTAATTAACTGTAAATAAGTAACCTTCTCTATTACCTTATGATGCATCAGTACTAAAAGGAAAAAGATGTAATGATGCTCTATGTAAAATTGAATCTCATTAAAGCTGCGCAAATAATCTTTTACATTCTCGGAAAGTTAATACAATTTTCAATTTCTTTCCACAAGCAAAAAACTTCTGTAAAGAAAATATCTCCAAATTTTTTAAGACGTTTGATTATGATAGGACAGAAAACTTGCTAAGTTGCTAAGTGTCGTTGTTTAATCATATAATCTTTAAAATGTCATGCATTTTGAGCCAGCAGTTCGTTTAGTCTATCTGATAACTACTCTATGCGGAGAATATAAAAGCGTTTATAAAAGCGATTATAAAAGCGTTACATGTTTATATAGGGGAATATATAAGCGTTATTAGTTCTATTCGAGAATCAGTTATTAAGTTATGAAGCTGAAAAAGATTTCTGTAAACCAAAAGAGCAAGTTGAATGCAGTGGAGATGCGATCTCTTCGTAAAATGTGCGGCGTTACCATAGCCGACAGAAAGCGAAACAAAGAGATTCGCAATATGGCAGGATTGAAAGATGACCTTATCAAAAAAACTGATAGGGGCGTACTCCGATGCTTTGGGTACGTTGAGCGAATGAGTGAAGACCGAATGGTGAAGTAAATATATAGCGCGAAAGTAAATATTAAAAGGTGTCGAGGTAGACCGAGACTAACTTTCGAAGACCATGTGAGCAAATTACTCGAAGAGGGGAAGGTCAAGAGTACTCGGATACCTAGACGTGCATGTATGAAGAAGATAATGAACCTGAAAGAAGCGAAAGAGGTATGTAAGGATCGTGCCACTTGGCGATCTGTTCTCTCTGGCTACCCCGTTAGGGATTGTGCGTGAAGATAAAAAACAATACAAATTTTTTTTTAAGTACAAGGACGCAACAAAATGTTATCAATCGACCAAACTTTGTAACCTACACATAACATTCTGAATAATCAACAAGTTAAGTCATAATGTTATCGCTTAAAACCGATGTTATTATTTGAACTTTACGTAATGATAACTGTTGTTCTCCCTTTACTATATTTTACATGTTTACCTTTAGGATGTACATATAATTCATATTATATACATATCTATATATTTTAATTATGGAGTATTACATACATGCAACTTTTGATGTCGACAGCTGAACAATAATTTGTAAGCCATACAAACAATATTGTTCTGTGCGGGATTCCAATTTGCAGCGCAGTCAAAATTTTATCTACTGCGTTATCGAATCGTCCATTTCACTGAACTGTTTCAACACTAATTTCACAGATGATCGAATTGCCGTACCAAGAACCCGGTTTCCGTATGGTCGTGATACTGCCTAACGAATTGGATGGTCTGTCGTCAGTCCTGGAAAAGGTGGCCGATAAGGGTCTTTTAGACGACGTGTTCGCTTTAAGCCCAGCGGGAAGGGAAATCAACTTGTACTTACCCAAATTCGAAATCAGGAGTAAGCTGGACTTCACTCAGATATTGCCTAAGGTTCGTAATGCTCTTATAATATTACTATCATTTTCTCAACTCGTTTCAGAGACAACACTAAAACAATCGGGAATTCATGCATTTTTTATATATAAATAGAGTGACAAACGAGCAAAAACCTAAGACACCTACATCTATTTCCGATAAGGATCACAATACAGCCTAGTTACATTATGGACTACGATGGAATGCCCTTTGCATTCAGACAGCTTTATTAAAAAAAATTGGGCGTGGCACCTGTTATTAGAACAAAATCACAAATTTCGTAAAAAAGTCAACCCATTAGAATATTTAAAAAGATTCTTACTTCTTTGTATTAGAAAGGTGCTATTACCCATTATCGGACCTTTTAAATAATTATTTGTATTATACTGTTTACATTAATAGTTTATAATGTGTTACACCTACAATAATAACCTAATAACATAATTTTTTTGTAGAAAAAAAAAACAATGCAATGCTTTTAATTATGATAATTTAATAACTATTTATACTCATAATTATCATATTAAATCTCTATGTAATTAATTACTAGTGTTGTTAAGAAATAAATTTTAATTTAATATTTGTATGCCAAAATGGTAGAATGTACGGATCTTTTACGAGTACGTACTCTGTCAACATCTTATTGTAAATACCTATTTTATTATATTTACCAGTCTCCTCCTATTCTCTTCACTTAACGTAATATGAACACAGCAGCATTATACTGCTTTTTTCGCTGGAGTTGTGTACCATCTCCGATCGAGTCGACCTCTTTTCAACCGACGAAGTACTCAATTCGACGCGTATATTTTTTTTATGTTATTATATTACGACTACGCATAAATTTTTTAAAAGTCGTCCGATTTTGACAATTCTTTTTTTAATAGATATGGTATACCTCGAAATTGGTTACATAGAAATTTCCAAAAGAAATTTATATCCTAGGGATGGGAAAATAGGTGTGATTTATTTTTTACTCACAGATTTTAATGCTGAGTTGTGTGTTACAATATTACATAATAATTACATTTTTAGAATCAGAATCAGATCTTTTGAACTCTCTGACTGACTGTAGACCTCTCAGTCTCTGCATTTCTGATAAAGCTCGTTCGTCCTGAGGTTTGCGTAATACCTTATTGGCTCTCGATCAGATAAAGCAATACCCTCAAGTGTTTTTACTCTACTCATTGCCACATAGCAGCCTGCCCTTTAGCAAACACTTAGTTTTCGAGGTCGATTAAAGCCTTAAACAAATAATATTTAAAGTATGATTATATAACAGTTAATAGCTAAAGTAAGGTAAGTAGTTGTTTTAAAAGTAATGAAAAATCCACATAAATTATATAGACACAAAAAATTATAAAATAAAAAAATTTTAACAAAAAAATTAAACCGCCGAAAAATTGAACTAAGGTAAAAGAAAAAGGTTTATTATTTTCATCTTTTCAGTTTTTTGGCGATTTAATTTTTTGTTAAATAGTTTTTATATGTGTGTATAGTCTAATGCTACACAGCTATACTATACCGAGATTGATGCCATTTAGGTGGTAAAATATCGTCGTTATTACTGTGATATATTGAGATTCTTGCCTGTCTTTTGTCGTTTCTTTACTTTCTGGTTTGTACTCGTATATCACATATTTAGTTGACTTTGAGAGGTAATAAAAATCATAACAAATCTTGTTCCTTAATCCACATTCATCATAACTGTGGGATAACTGAATAATGGATATCGCTGTACCTATTGTTTTTAGATAAACTAGGTGATAGAGCTAATTTTCTGCCCAGGAGACCTTCTGGGTAGATGATATACTTCTTTCTTACCTTGTACTGCTGCCAATTAGCAAATAGAGAGCCAGAGTTTGATTAATTACACGCTGTAAGGCATTTCATATTAGTTCTCAAGATGGAGAAGACACCTGTAGCTTTCTTTGTTTGTAGTTGTCCCTCCGAACAAAGAAAGCTACAAGTGGGTATAGGCTGCAGTAATCACCTACAACCAGGTGGACTATAAATTTATTTGTCACTTCAGTTGTCATAAAGTAATGAATATAAATTATGTTAATATAAAAATAAAACACGTTTAGAGATTAGAAAAAAAATACATGTAGAATAAAAAACATTGCCCACATTTACAGCTGGGTGTGAGCGGAATATTCAGTGATGGAGCTCCGGGAGTAGTAAAGGAGCGCGACGTTATCGTCTCGAAATTTTTCCAAGAAGCCATTGTAAAGGTCGACGAAGAAGGTGCTACTGCGGGAGCATTTACTGGTAAGCTTTTTCGAGTTACAGAATTAGTTCCTATTATAATCACGGTATTATAATATGTGGTAGTCGCTTGCCTCATGTTGCAGTATATAAGGGACAACGGAAGTTTATTTTTTATAGGATAAGGGTGACAAACGACAAACAAGCACACAGTACATTCGATTGAGAATCAAAATACAGATGCGTTGTCACCCCTGAGGACTAAGATGGAGTGTCTCGATCCCAGTAAAACGGGTCTCCAGTTCTCTACACTCACCATACGAAACACAGCAGCATTAAGCTGCTATTTTACCCTGGTTTTCTGTGAGAGCGTGGTCCTTCCCCGGTCGAGCAGACCCATTCACATGCTACAACCATAATATAGCTGCAGCGTGTTTACATCTACTAGAATATATAATATGCATTTTTAATTGAAACAATTTTAAGTGATATATATTATCATGCCAAGATTTGTTGAACTTGGTATTTGGATTGGAGTTTTAGAATACTTTATATTAAACGAGTTAAAAAATATAACTTAGGTTCTTTCGTTTAAGTTTTTTTTTTCTAAGCCACAACCATGTACTATTTTCGATAATATGAAAAGCATTCAATTATTATATTTATTTATTATCTTTATTTTAAATTACAATTCTCTGTTTCCATGCCTTTTTTTAACATATCAAAAACAGCGTGATTACATGCGAATTTATTGTTGGTTTCTGGATTAGACCTAAAATATGAAAATAAATAATTTGTTTTATTTCTGCAGGAGCCATTCCAGTGCCCATGTCTTCCAATTCTAAACCACCGAAGCCTATGGACTTTATAGTTGACCATCCTTTCTTGTTTGCTATTCTACATGAAGATGTGATACTCTTTACTGGTATCTATACTCATTAAGAGATTACTGCAAAATAATTTGTGGAATAAAAAATAAAATATACAAAGTTGTGTTCTTATTCATTTTAAACTTCACGTAATGGTGTTTATTTGTTTGTTCTTTATTGTGACACCTTCCAACTCAGGTAACAATGGGCGGACTTAATGCCGGTGAACCCGTAGCGTGCCCCGCGCTATTGTGGCAGGTTACTTACCCTAAAGTTACCCTAATACAGATATGACCCAAGCCGAAGCCGGGAAGATCGCTATATATATATATATATATATATATATATATATATATATATATATATATATATATATATATAGATAGATAGATAACCAGTGTCCAAAGGTATGAAGACTGCATTTGTAATCGTTATTAGTAAGGAGTTTTACAATTAAACAATAAATAAATAATATCTTTAAGTGAACTTTATTACACTACATAGTCGTAGTAAGTTGAGACAAACATACCAGTTGTAGTACTTATATATGTACATATACAGTGATAAACAACAATGTTTTAACGATATACCATTGATAGAGGAAAAGAAAGCCAGTTGAACCAAGCTTGCCTTGCACTCAAGCAAGGCAAGCTTGATTCACCACACAACTTTGCTATTAAAATTTAACGGGCTCCGACACAATAATTAGTTTCAGTCATATTATTGTGTTACCCAAATCTTTTTATCCGAATAAATAAATTCGTTTACTAGCTGTTCCCCGCGTCTTCGTCTGCGTGGATTCTATTACGGTTGAAATTCATGTGTTTTGATTTTTTTGTGCGGAACCCTATTTGATTTTGTTAAATAAAAGTAGTCTAAGTTACTCCTTATAACATCCTCTATCTGCCGGTGTTGGCGAAGCGAGATAATGTCTCCTAGACATGGGTAGCAGTTCCTTTTGATAGAACGTTTAATTTAAATGGTAAAATTAAAAAAGTTGTACAGCCAACTTTAATACGACCGAATCAATGTATACGAAGTCAATTAAATACGCATTATTAAAGATAATTTAAGATTTTAGCCAAATGTTAGAAAGAAATGTATGACACTGGACGAAGATAGCTATAAATGTTAGAAAGAGATGGCCCCAGCCTCCAATATGGTTTTGGGAGTCGTGTAGAAATGAGTTGTTCAACTCGTATAGGAAATTAACAACGTTGAAATTTAGTCTCAAAATATATATTTGTTTTAATTGATTAAATAAATATTAATTTCATGAAAGGTATGTTAATTTATTTACCAAGCAATTCAGGATGGCTTTATAAAATAATAAGACAAGAAATATACAAAAAGCATTTAAGTTCATAGATATAATGTCGAAATAATAGTAAATACATGTAAGAAATAAATTTTCCATTTTTAAAGCTTATATATTTTAATTTTCTAATTAAGTTGTTATATTGTTTAAGACATTCATGTTTATTGGTTAAAATTGTAATAATTATGTTTTCAGTCGTTAAAGTTTATGACTAAGAAATGGCTCGTAAAATGTGATATTTTGTTTAATATCGTTCTATCCTTTAATGTAATGTTAATGTTTTAATTATTATTGTTAATGTGCCTCTAATGTATTTCATGTAAAACTTAATGGGTGCTGTAAAGTGCTCGAAACGTCGTGAATATAAAATGATGAATGAATATATATACGCGATAAAATCCGTAAAAACTTGTTTCGCAAATAAACTTACAGCAAAGGTAACCAAATCATAGCATAGACAATAATTAACTAATATCCAATGTTAACTCAAAATTATTAGGTAATATTCCCGTGATATGTCAGTTCTGTAAATCTACCGTGTACCGTTTTACAGCCTGTTTGAATGTTTCAATTACCAAAAATTCAAATTTAAATACAAATAAGTAAGCATTAAAATCCTTCTGTAAGAAGTAATAAATAGTTCAAAAACTCTCCACAACAACGTTCGAGTATGATATATCGCCGTAAAATTCGCTGAGAGTTATTTTGAAACTAAAAATTTTGGAAGCAATAAAATAATTATTGTAAAAAGAATTATTGTGAAAGTCTATTATGCAATAAAAAAATTATAAAAATTACTTTAAAATTTAGGCTGTAGCTACAGTGGCGCCGCTTATTTAGCGCTGTCCTACGGACACTTTTTTATACAGAGTGTGTACTTCTTAGCTCTACACTCCATATTGATACAGTTGGTGTTTACATAGTTTATCACTTTATAGAATAAACATTTAGTATAGATATATTTCGCCATTTGACATGCAATATTAATCACATTTTATAATCTTTAAATATTAAATTACTTAAACATTCTCTAGTTATAATTGGAGCTCCCACGATACATAATCAAATATAATACAGATAAATCAATTTAGATAATATTAAGTTTTTATATTTATAAGTCAATTTAGTTATTCGGAGTCTTATAACAGCCAATTATTGAATTTCATAATTATCTTTGAGGTACTCTTTCACACTGAAGTATGCATAGTAATTATGTATTTTCTTTAATTATTTTAATTATTAATCGAGATTTTTAAGTCTGTAGTATCAAATAATCCGTTAGTCTTATCATTTCTCATAAGAATACGATTTAAGTCACAGAAATCGATACTAGATTCAGAACAAAAGATTTACAAACTTATAATTTATTTTACATAATATCTCTATCTTAAATGTCAACGGCAATTAAGATAATGGGGTGAAAATAAAATGATTATTGCGTTTTAAACACATTATAAAAAAGATTATTTAAGAATAAGTGGACGTGTTTAGCCACTGAATCAACAATTGAGCAAGATGAGGAGCCTTATTTTCCTTTTAATGGGTAAGTTGATTTTTTGTTGCTTACTATGTAAAATAGCCCTTATGTGCAATGTAAATTAACTGACACGTAATAATATGTTAATTAGTATTTGTGTTCAATGAAACGCATTACATGGATTTTATCGTATTTAACTTATTTTTAAATCTCGACATTTCGGGTTTTATATACATCACTTACCAAACAGCGTAATCTTGTGACCCACAAAGATTACTAAGCTGTTAAACGTCATAATGTCATTGTAAGCCCAGACAACCTTCACCCGAAACGTTAGAAATTCAAACTAAGTAAAATTAAGTGCGATAAAATACGTAAAATTAGTTTTGTTCAATGTCGTGCATAATATGTGTAAATATAAAAAATCATTAGTATTAGTGTGTTACCGATTTTGTTGCCGAATTTAAAATATAACGACTGTCCTGTAACTGATTAGCAATAAGTGTTGGAGCTGTTTGTCCGTAAATTTCATACTATTTTCTTTATACTCAAGTGACAAAGGAACTCACATTCACCATATGGTTAGCGGCCACTGTAGGCCGCATACACCTGCAGCCTATATAACGCTCCTATAATGCTCCCATAACGCTCCTATATCGCTCCTATAACGCTCCTGAAGCTCGTATGAAGAAGGCTACAGGAGCGTTATCACCTCTGAGGACTATGATGGAATATCTTACAACGTGTTTTTCTACTGCCACTTCATAACCTTGGCACCGCTGAAAGGACTGTAGCATCCTCCAAATTTCGAAGGAATCAAAGGCTTTCTCATAGTCCATATACGTCAGGCAAAGTGGCATATTGTACTCTTCAGCCTTTTGTATAATTTGCCGAAGGGAAGGGCGTGGTCTGTGGAAATAAAGCCTTTTGGGAAACCGACATTGTTCGGGAGGTTAGAAGTTGTCAGCGCAGCATGCAAAATGATTCGTAATGACTCTCGAAAACAGCACGTAGACGCGACTCATAAGGAAAATCTGTCTGTAGTTCTTCAAGATAGCATCGTCGACTTTCTTGAAAAACAAGACCACCTTACTTTTGCTCCACACCTAAAGAGTAGTCCCACCAGGGGAGTGCGGAATCAAAGAGCTTCTGAAGTACTTTACTTTAGTACCGGTTTTGCCACCCACTTTCTGAAGCCCCGCTGTGATTCCACCTCGCCCGTAGCCTTGCCGTTTTTAAGGTGCTGGAGAGCCATTCTATTCTCGCTCAGACTGACGTCCTGGATATCGTCGGAATAGTGTCGGATAAGACTTGCTCTTGGATCGTTACTCACACTTGCATGTGGTTCCAACGATGATCTGTACAGGTGCCCTTAGAACATCTCAATATCACTCAAAATTTCAGGTTTACCGGAAACAATGCTGCCACACTCGATTTTCAGCTTCGACAGTTGGCTCTTTCTGGCAGACAGGCCTTCCTTCTTCAATACGAGCTGTATTAAAGTTGCGTAAGTTCCGCCGCATGAATATGGAGATCTACCTGTTCAGTTGCCTGTATGTTGTCAAATCTGCTGAAGATTGCAGTTTCATCACTCGTCTAACAGCCATGAGATTTAGAGTGCGATCCGAGAGTTTTTGTGTTTTTCTGCGGTGGGTCTTACAGAACTTAGCTCCGACCGCATGGACAGATTCCACGAGCTTGTCATTCATATTGTTTACTTCATTGCATTATCCTAGGCACTGAAAACGATTTTGTAACTCTAGCTGAAAGTTTTAGGGAATTTGGATTACCTAGTGCACGAGGGCGACGAAGCGTTGACTTCATTAGACGTGATCTTTCCAACTTAATGTTTGGGTTCAATGTGGCTCTAACTATGTGGTGAACGCGGCCAGGTTTAATACATTTTTTTTAAATTAAATTTATTCATTTTATAAAAAATCGGGTATGCATTTTATTTTTTAGTTTGAAACAAAAGTGACAAATGAACTTATAGTCCACCTACTGGTAAACCGCTACTGTACCCCATGGACACGTGCAGACGACTTCAAACAAAGAAGGCTTCAGATTCGTTGTCATTTCTGAGGACTAAGACGGAATGCCTCACCACCCGCAATTAAACTGCCGCTTGCCGCCCTACAGACCAGAACGTACCGCATTAAAAGCATTTTATTAAACAATTCCAATAAAGTGAATATTTAAAGAAAATTTCTACAATTAACAGAAGTTCGTTATAACTTCTAATAATTATTAAAGTAAATAGGGTCACCCGAGGCAAGTGTGACAGTGGGGCAAGTGTAACAAATGTAAACTATGGGGCCTAAACACGAGTTTTGGTTCTCTATCTCATCTATTAAATATCATCTATTAAATAACACAGAAAATTTTACGCTATTGACTAAACTGACAGTTAAGTTCACAGCTTGAACTATTTCATCAACATACGTTATTTTTAAAAACTACTCAACGGGCGACAGACAGCGCAATTTTAAGAGGTGAAATTAATAAGTGTTTCCATATGTCGTGAACTTATTTTAAACCGGATACAAGGTAATTGACAAAGAATAATATTGGTACTTATGGAGTAATATGTTTCTGCAACCTGATATTCACTATTTTTTGAAATACGGATACAGTTACACTTACCTGACCTAATACCTAACATCGGAGCAAGTGTGACAGTGTCACGTTTATTATGATTATATTATTATAAATTGTTAATATTCTGAACTAAATTTTATTTTCCACTTGGAATTGCTTTTATTATACTTACAAAACATCCACAGCTAGTGTAGTAAATCTATTTAAAGGCACACCACTATATCGGTTAAAGACAGTCATACTTGCCCCATGTTGGGGAAAATTCATAGTTACACAAAAATGGACGTTCAAATCAATTTCATAGATCACAAAATATATCGACGTTAGTATCATCCCATCAATTTTGTTAAAAACCACAAATAATAATAAAGTAACTACAGATAGAAGCGTACTCTCACTCACTCGCCTCATTGATGGGTAAGTGTGACAGTCTTCCACCTAAATTAGTTTTAATTACCTCAAATTACAAAATGCTACTATCTGGTACTAAAATGCTTGATCAAACATACAACCACCTAATAATTAATGTTATGAAACTTAATTCTCTTCTTAAATCTTTACAGAGTTGAAGTATTTAAATGCCGATTATAGTTTTAATTAATTTATGTCACAATGGTAGGGCATTCGGGCAACTCAAGTGACCTTACATTGTAAATTGTTATCATCATTTTTTTACTAGCTATGAACATAAATAAACATGACATTTATTAGGCAATCTATCCCCGGTATTACAATTTGATATAGTTATTTATATCCAGTAAGAAGAATGTGAACGTCAATTCTTTGATCCGCAGAGCATATTATAATTACTGTTTGGATTTTGTAATATATGATGACTTTAAAGTAAGACAAATATTACTCGAAGATACACTTTATAATTTTCTTAGCGATTAATTTTGAAAATATTAGTACTTACTATACTTGATATGTTCATAAGCAAAATTTAGACAGATGGAAAATTCTAAAAATGAGAGAAATATGTTTGTTTGGACAGTCATGTAGATTTCCTCACCTTCACTGCCGAGCACGTGGTAAATCAGCACTAAAAATTGTAATTAACAATTTCATTGGTGCCGGTGGGGTTCGTACCCGGGTTGCTCGTGTACTGTGAAAATTACAGCGAACGCTAACCATCTCAGCTACCACTGCTCATTTACATTATATAGTTTTTTGTATGCATAGAAGGAGTGTACACGAGTAGTTATACTTTGACAGAGGGCAACGTCTGCGTATGACAACCCTCCTCCAGTCCGCCGGTGGATGAAATTTAGAGAAATATCATAGTGCTCATGCGAGATAACGTTTCAGGAGAGCTTCATTTGACTTACATACTATGTTCGTAGTTTTATTATATAAATAGATTATGACATTCATAAAGTTGAGCAACACTGCAATGTCAGGTCGTTACTCTTGCAAGCGAACGAATATCAATTGCTACCTATAAAAGTTGTTTGAATATAGTAACCATGCATAAATGTACGGCATGTTATAATAATAGAGTTAATAAAAACTCAGAGAACTCGAGACGTATCGATCATGAGCTGAGATGATGCTAGTCAGAATAGAGAGAATTCGCTAATACCATCATGTACCAAACCACCGAGGTTGTATGGGTTACCAAAGATACACAAACCAAACGCTCCACTACGTCCGATAGTGAGCCAGATCGATTCACCAACTTATAAGCTGGCACAACACTTGGTAAAAGTACTGTCACCACTGAGAGGACATACCAGAGCACACACAAAGGATTCATACCATTTTGTTAGTGAGATAAAAGACCTACATCTCGCTGACAGTGAAACTATGGTCAGTTTTGATGTTCAGTCACTATTCACATGCCTACCTATTGAAGACTGCATATCAATTGTAACTAGGAAGCTAGAATATAATAACATGCCTGCTGAATATGCAGTATTACTCAAACACTGCCTCACATCTGGCTATCTATTGTGGAAGGAAGAGTTCTACAAGCAAGTAGATGGTGTGGCGATGGGCTCACCTGTATCTCCCATAGTCGCTGACATATTCATGGAGGACTTCGAGGAGAAAGCCCTTCTTACTGCTCCTGTAAATCCAAGATTCTACAAGCGGTACGTAGACGACACTTTCACAATTTTACCATCTGACAAAGTAACTGCATTTTTAAACCACCTTAACTCTATAAACACTAAAATACAATTCACAATGGAGTTAGAGGCAAATAATTCTTTAGCTTTCTTAGATGTTTTAGTCATTCGAAATCCTAATAACACAATTGGTCACACTGTGTATAGAAAAAAGACCCATACCAACCGATATTTAAATGGTGAATCTCACCATCATCCTTCACAGTTAGCTACCGTGGGTAAATCTTTGTTTCAGAGAGCACGAGGGATCTGTGACAGAAAACATCTGGCCGCCGAACTTCAGCATGTCAAGCAAGTATTGCAAGACAACAACTTCGGGTCCCGCGCCTACGTCACAATGACCGAGTGAAGCCGGCCACAGTCGAGCGTGTACCTGCTGTACTACCATATGTCAGAGGAGTCACAGACAAGGTTGGCTACATCTTGAAGCGAGCTTCTATTAAAACATACTACAAGCCGCCGAAGAATATTAGTCAATTTTTACCATCCGTCAAGTTTAATATCCCTCTACAAGATGCAGGAGTGTACAAGTTAGATTGTGAATGTGGTCTCTCTTACATAGGTCAAACAAAAAGATCCATAAAAACCCGCGTGAAAGAACATATAGCTGACGTGAAGCACCGACGCTCCGGGAAGTCTGCAGTCTGCGAACATGTTCAAGATCTTCCCCACCATTACATTCGTTTTGATAAACCACAAATTCTCGCAAAAGAACACCGATTCCTACCAAGGATGATACGCGAGGCTATTGAAATTAAAAAAACATCCAAATTTCAATAGAGAAGATGGATGGGTGCTGCCACCTGCTTGGGATCCTATAATTAACAAAATTAAACCCAAACCTAAGCATACCACTGCAAGACTTCATGATACTATAAGCTCGTTTTGCATAAATCGGACCAAAAATTAATATTCAAAAACTGAAGGTAGCCGGACTAACTATGACATTGGGACGTCAAACATCTAAGTCCCCCCGTGACCATGGTTGCTGTAAAGCACCCGAAACGTCGGGAATTAAAAATAAGTAAAATATATGCGATAAAATCCGTAAATTTAGTTTTATTCAATGTGTAGTGTTCGCGTAAATTTAAGAAATCATTATACTAAAATAATTATTTTTGTATAATCACGTATAAATTTTGCAGTCGCGACGGCGAGTTCGAAAGAATTCTTTTTTCCCAGCCATGAATTTTCCAGAACTCCACTGGGTGATCGGATAGATAAAGCGTCTGTGAAAATGCTCAAGGTAAGTTATTAGATAGTTCTTTTCATATGTGTTAGATTTTGTTGTTTCTGTGTCTGCTTCTTTCAGCATTTTAGCAACACGACCGGAACGTCATTAGTTCATTAGACAACCCATCTACATATTACGTAATGTATTGTGAGAATGGGCACCACATTCTGGGGTTCTGAAGCCCATAGACACCTACAAGCTACACCAAACAAAAAATACCGAGGCATTGCTTTGAGTATAAAGATATATTGCCCACATTATGTCTTGGTAACGTTTTCATAACCAATAATGTTTTTCATTAAAGTTTGTTTTCTTACTGTTTTAAGTAAGTAAAAACCAATTTCAAGGTAAACAATTCGAACGTTGTCTGAATAGTTACCCCTTAATTTAAAAAAAAAATTAAAATCGGTTCAGTCATTTCCAAAGAAACATACAGAAAAAAGAAATTATTTTATTCTTTTTAGTTTTATTTTTAACATTTCGATTGGTCAGAGGAATGTCACAAATACAAATATAAAACTGGAATGTCTTCTAAATAGATTAAAATATAAACTTGAACTAAATTGGTTTTTGAACTTTTTAAAATTTACTCATTAAAAGTACACAACATACTATGGGCATTGTTATAATGACGAAATACTAAAAAATGCCTGTTGTAATGATATAAAGCACTACGTACGTCTCATCGATGGGCACAAGTCTCGTCTCAGACACAAGACATTATTTAAATTCGTTATATTCGAATGTATTCTCGTGAAATTACTGTGGTTCAATTCTTACAGGAGACCTATCTATCAGCCACGGACTCTAATATAGTCACATCGCCACTAGGAGCACTCCTACTTCTGTCGCTGTATTCTGCTGGTGCCCAGGGCAAAAGCAGAGAGGAAATCATGCAGTTTCTTGGTTCAACCGATTACAATGAGGTAAGTTCAATTTTAGTTTTTGTATTTTTATTTCTTAATATTTCTAAAACATTATATTCCGATTTTTTATCTATTAATTAACGGGGTGACTTTTTACCGAGATTAAAAAATAAAGTTTATTAGGCTAATATGGGTACCCAACGTGTAATGGCAATGTAAGAATATTCGCTAGTCCATATCGTCTCGTGGGTTTCGTTAAAGGCGGCAGAATTAAAATAAAACTGAAATTGAGCAGCAGCATTGCCTGATAATAATTAAAAATTAAAAATAAAAACCGCTTTTTTTAAATCTACCTAGCCTAGCCTGACACCTATGGTAAAATTTCCGTCCTGAGATCATCTCTCATCTGTGAGGGCGGTTTATGTTCAGCTGTGGACTTTGTGGGTTATGATTATAAGGCAGCTAATAGGTGAACAAAATAGAAGCTTTTATTGAGAAATTTATTAATAATTGAATCAAATTTACGGGCGTAAAACTTTCAACGATATCTGCCACGCGAAAAGTAGTCTGCACATGATTTCAATTTAGTTGTTTCAAATTGCTTTCTTGTAATTTCAAAATTAAAATTTCTTTTAATAAAGTTTAAAAATATCTATGCCATAGCTTACACTTCGTTCACCTATAGAAGCCTATTATTTTTCTTTACGGTATAAAGTCAGCAGGTATAAAAAATTCTCTCAATCCTTCTTCATCATCAGCTCGAAAATGCTCACAGCTGGAAATGGGCCTCTCCTATGGTAGAAAAGGTAAAAAAGCTACGGATGAAACATATGTAGAGAAACTTGGAAAGTTAAACTTTCCCTAAATATCAAATTACATCTAAATTGTTAAAGTCCTTTTTGTGAAACAAATTTGATAGGATTTCGTTTTGTAAATGTAAGGTTCTCAAACGATCACACAGTTTACATTATGGTAAGTATATGCTATGACCTACAGTCACATTTATCATATCTATTCAGAATCAAAATGCAAAGGGAAGGAGTAGACACATGCACGTGTTCCCCATTGTTTAAGTGTAACTCAACGCGGTACTTTGCATAAAATAAAATTCGTTGTAGCCGCAGAGCTTACTAGATCTACAGATATGATAATCTGTGCACTAGACTAAATTTAGTTGCGCGGCTAAATCGGCTTCCCACAAAATTGCGGACTTTTCAGTTTTTTGATGTAAAGAGAGCTACGTCAAATTTACAAAAATACGGCGTTACTTTTCAAATGCAAGTAGTTTTAATCAAACTAATGCCATTTATTTCTTTTTAAAATAAATTTAAATGTACAATAATAATTGTCATGTTGTTTCGGATTTGTTTACCAACAGTGGAAGCTCTCCACTTGCCATTGTTTTTGTGTGCACAGATTTCCTATTGCAGAAAGTGACCCGACGCGACGACGAAAATGAATGGAAAAAACGCTAATCACTTTCGGGCCGGTATTGCTTTATTACATCAAACGAAATGAATAAATGATTGATTTTGAAGTTGATTCACAAGAATTTACTATAAGGATATAATATTGTTTTAGCTATTCGATTCGTATAGCCACCTAAGCAGCAGATTTGCTTCAATGGATCCGAGTTACATCACTCTCGCCAACAAAGTGTACGTGGCTAAAGGATACACGCTGGCCGACGAGTTCACTAACACAGCCCGTTCTTACGACAGCGAAGTAGATGCAATCGACTTTCAAGATCAGAAGACAGCCGCACAAATTATTAATCGATGGGTAAGGTTATTCTTATTTAATAAAATGTTATTAAATTATAATAGGTAAATGTTTTTCTTTAACCAAACACATAATTTAAAAATATGATTAAATTATTATCGACGCATGAAAGGCGAATAATCACCAAGCGACATTTTGGACCAACTTTACACCAGAGTATTTTAATTTTTTTTAATTCGTAAGAAGTTGCCTATAATCATAATTATTCGATTCCAACGAATTTGAGACGCCGGTTAAAGGCTTAGTAGACTGGCATTTAAAGATTATAATTTTTTTTCAATATTTTACAAAATGTCGTCTGTAATAATTTCATCAAAATTACAAACAGGTAAAAGTTACTTAACGACATCAAAGTTTTATTACAAAACAAGTAAAATTAACTTCACTTCAATATTTTATAATATATTTGAAGAAAAATGACACATCCAGAAGTAACACATGTTTGGCATATAGGTAAAATAATCTAAACAGATACCAAAAAGCTTTAATTTTAACCATAGTACAAACTAAATAAGAATAGTGTCGGAGTTTTTTGAACAAGTAACAATGAATTAAGGTTTTACTACTCAAAATGTGGTATAAATATCTAAGTTAACATCTGCTTATACACAAAAGCACCAATTATTTAAGTTACTTCGAAATAATACAAATATTACAACAGCTCATTAAAGATCTAAATTTTTAATATATGGCACTTAATCAGATTTCTAACTAGAACTATCAAATCTAATCTACTATACTACTAATAACACTTAGTTTGTGCGAGTCACATCCAGTAACGCTTATCTGTTTAAATCGACATTAAGAAGTCGGCGGTCGAATTTGCACGAAGTCTGACGAGCCATTTCTGTCGCTAAACAAATTTTTTTAAATTACCTACATTGAGTTTTGTATGTCTTCGGTAGTTTTGTTAACTAATAACTTGCATTATTACCTAGTACAAATAGCCCAAACCAAATTATAGAGGCTGTAGATAAGTCTCACAAATGTAAAATTCTTGAGATAATAACATTTCTTAAACCATAAATCCAAAAATTTCGGAAAGAGGTTTCCAAAGGATATCGTCATCATTACCATCATCATCATCATCAATCAATTACTCACTACTAAGTATGGTCCTATCCCCCCTTCCCTTGTTAACGGGGTCTATATAAACCTCTAACATACGAATATTGTAGAAAAATCTCTTACAAAGTAGATAGCTGATCTTATAAATAATGTGAGCTGTCGCTGAATATTTACGATAGCTTAAATAAAATGTTTGTAAAAGTAAACTAAAATGATTACTATTATGTTAATACTATTATTAAAATAAGTGATTTCAAAATCTGTATAAGTACATATAACACTATTTTAACTAAGAAGAAAATTGCTATCCAGTTTTTTAAAATTCATACAAATTTGGGATCTCAAAAAATATTCTTAACTTATAAAAACGTTTCGCGATCGAAACAACATATGTAAATTATATTGTTAGCGTATCATTCATATCGTCCACTATATTGCAGTCTTCTAGACTTAAAACGGTTTCGTAACTCAAGCTGAAAAGCTTCTGGACTTTGGTTTAGAGCGCGAGGGGGACGAAGCGTTGACTTCATTGGAGGAGACCTCTCCAACTTAACGTTTAGGTTCAATATACCTCCAATCATTTGGTGATCGATGGCATTTTTCATGCTTGCGATAACTGTGATATCACTGATCAGTTGCCGTCTAGTTGTCGTAACGAAATCAATCTCATTTTTTGTCGAACTGTCGGGGCTTGACCTGCTCCTCTTTCTTTGGGGCCACTTCTGTAAGAAAGAGTTCATCATAAAGAGTCCCTTTTTTCCATTAAGTAGGTTAGCTGCTGACACCTTTAATTCCGTTGCCCCATCCCGAATTTCCCTAACTTCAGCTCACCATTCTCTTATGTGCCTAGTTTTGCGTTAGTCTCCCATTAACACAGTATAGTAGGTTTAGGTAGATTAGAAGCATAAAAAACCTCCCCCCCCAAAAAAAAAAACAAAAAAACCCGAAAAAAGACTCGACCTGGCAACATTTAATGCACGCACCCTGAGGGCTGACGAGAAAATCCTGGAGCTGGAAGAAGAGATAGACAAGTTGCGCTGGAATATTATAGGATTATCCGAGGTCCGACGAGAGGGGGAGGATACGGTGATTCTCGAATCCGGCGACTTGTTCTATCACCGGGAGGGCGACCATCTGTCCCAAGGAGGTGTCGGATTTATCGTCCACAAGTCTCTCGTCAATAACGTTGTAAAGATTGGGAGTGTGTCGACGAGGGTCGCGTACCTGATACTCAGAATCACCAAACGGTATTCGCTGAAGGTCATACAGGTTTACGCACCAACCTCGGCACATCCCGATGAGGAGGTTGAGGAAATGTATGAGGATATTTCAAAAGCCATGCATTCCTCCAAAACCCACTACACGGTGTTGATAGGAGACTTCAACGCAAAACTAGGCACAAGAAAAAACGGTGAGCTGAAGTTAGGGGAAATTTGGAGTAGGGCAACGGAACCGTAGGGGCCAGCAGCTGGCCGACTTTACGGAGAAAGAGGGACTCTTTATGATGAACTCTTTCTTCACCCCACAGGAAGTGGACCTGGTCGAGCCCCGACGGTTCGACAAAAAATGAGATTGACTTCATTATGACAACCAGACGCCAACTGTTTAGTGATGTCTCAGTGATCGCAAGGGTAAAAACTGGCAGCGATCACCGAATGGTTACAGGCACACTGAACCTAAACGTTAAGTTAGAGAGGTCTCGTCTAATGAAGTCAACGCTCCGTCCCCCTCGTGCTCTAATCCAGAATCCCGGAAACTTTCAGCTCGAGTTACGTAACCGCTTTCAGTGCCTACAAGATTGCAATGCAGTGGACGATATGAATGACAAGCTCGTGGAAACTGTCCATGCGGTCGGAGCTAAGTTCTGCAAGACCCGCCGCAGAAGAACACAAAAACTCTCCGATCACACTCTTAATCTCATGGCTGTTAGACGGGAGATGAGGCTGCAGATTTGACGTTTTCGTCAACAGATTTGACAGCATACAGGCAACTGAACAGACAGATCTCAGTAAGAGCCAACTGTCAAAGCTGAATACTGAGTGTGGCAGTATCGTTTCTGAGACACCTGAGATTTTGAGTGAGATTGAGAGGTTCTATGGGCAGCTCTACACATCATCGTTGGAGCCACACGCAAGTGTGAGTAACGATCCAAGAGCAAGTCTTACCCGACACTATTCCGATGATATCCCGGACGTCAGTCTGAGCGAGATTAGAATGGCTCTCCAGCACTTTAAAAACGGCAGGGCCCCAGTCGAGAATGGAATTACAGCGGAGCTTCTGAAAGCGGGTGGAACACCGGTACTTGAAGTCCTTCAGAAGCTCTTCAATTCCGTCCTCCATGGAGGCACTACTCCGGAGGCGTGGAGCAGAAGTGCGGTGGTTTTGTTCTTTAAGAAAGGCGACAACGCTCTCTTGAAGAACTACAGACCGATTTCCCTTCTGAGCCGCGTCTACGTGCTGTTCTCGAGAGTCATTACGAATCGTCTCGCACGCGACTCGACGACTTCCAGCCTCCCGAACAAGCCGGTTTCCGAAAAGGCTTCAGTACGATAGACCACATACATACCCTGCGGCAGATTGTACAGAAGACTGAAGAGTACAATCTGCCACTTTGCCTGGCGTATGTGGACTATGAGAAAGCCTTTGATTCCGTCGAAATTTGGGCGGTGCTACAGTCCCTTCAGCGGTTCCAAGTTGACTGTCGGTATATCGAAGTACTGAAGTGTTTGTACAGTAGGGCTACAATGGCTATCCGAGTGCAGAACCAGAGCTCGAAACCTATCAAACTGCAGAGAGGTGTAAGACAGGGTGACGTTATATCCCCGAAACTCTTCACCGCTGCATTGGAAGACGTTTTCATGCTACTGGACTGGAAAGGACACGGTATTAACATCAATGACGAGTACATCACTCACCTTCGATTTGCCGACGATATAGTCCTTATGGCAGAATCGCTGGAGGACTTAAGCACTATGTTCAATGACCTCAATAGTGCCTCCCAACGGATAGGTCTTAAGATGAACATGGACAAAACAAAGATTATGTTTAATGTCCATGTCACACCTATGCCGGTAGTTGTTGGGAGCACCATGCTCAAAGTTTTTGACGAGTACGTTTACCTGGGACAAATAGTCCGACTAGGCAAGTCCAACTTCGACCGAGAGGTCAATCGACGGATTCAACTCGGCTGGGCAGCGTTCGGGAAATTACGACATATCTTCTCGTCAGGTATACCTCAATCTCTAAAAACTAGATTATACAACCATTGCGTGTTGCCAGTGATGACTTACGGATCTGAGACGTGGTCCTTCACTGCTGGCCGTATGAGGATGCTCAAGGTCGCTCAGCGAGCTATGGAGGGGGCTATGCTCGGAGTTTCTCTGCGTGATGGATTCAGAAATGAGGATATCCGCAGTAAAACAAGAGTGACGGACATAGCCCAAAGGATTAGTAAGCTGAAGTGGCAATGGGCCGGCCATATAGCTCGAAGAACCGACAACCGATGAGGAAGAAAGGTTCTCGAGTGGCAGCCTCGTACCGGTAGGCGTAGTGTAGGGCGACCCCCCACTAGATGGAGTGACGACCTGGTAAGATATGCAGGAAGTCGATGGATGCAGGTGGCTCAGGACCGTGCTTTGTGGCATTACTTGGGGGAGGCCTATGTTCAGCAGTAGACTTGTGAAGGGCTGTAATGATGATAATGATGATGATAACGAGAGACTTGTGGACGATAAATTCGACACACCCTTGGGACAGATGGTCGTTCTCCCGGTGATTACGAAGTTTTCGGATTCGAGGATTTCCATGTCCTCTCATCTCTTCGGACCTTGTATAATCCTATAATATCAGGATATTCTCGTCAGTCCTCAGAGTGCGTGCTTTGTATATTACTAGGTCGAATCATCTTAAGTGGCAGCCGAACCTCCACCGGAGATTCTTAGGATCCCCAGCCCCACCGTTACCAAAGTCTCATCTTATCGTAACTCTCATCATGTGAGGGTATATTGCCAAAATTGCCACGCTTGGCGAACGGGATGGCAACCGCACTATTTTTTTGTACTATTGCTGTTACCAGTAAGATTCTGCTGCCCATCTTCTGCTTGTATCCCTCTGTTGCCTCTTACGACACCCACGGGAAGGTATGTGTCAGAGGATAGTCTATACCGCTACTACATGGCATATTTTATCCATATGAAAATGTAAATGTTCAAGCCCGTTAAGCCGTTGATCCTACGCCTAATTGCTCTCCGATCGTCTCAGATTGCTGTCACATTGAACTATGAGAAGTAGGTAATTGAAAGTGGCACTTGTGCTTATGAACGGACTCGTGCTCTATAATCCTGACTTGAGCGGATGGCTAGTGTCAATTATAGTCAATTGAGACTAGCCGCCATGGCCGAAAATTTTGACAGTAGGACATTTAAAAAGTTGTTAATATGCGTTTGTTTTCGAATCACAGTTTGTTTTGAAATTTTACACAACATTACAATCGAATACGTGCAAATTTTTGTATACTTTTTGATTTTTTTTAAATATTTTTAACCTGCAGCAAAACTGGGCCGCATATGTTATAGTTCTGCGTAACTCAACGTAAATAATAATTTTCTACGTGGTAGAGCCATGCTGCAGTTATATCAGTAGTAGTAGCACGAATGCGTCGGCTCAAAAGAAGTCTGTAACTTCCTTTCCTAAATGTAAAAATAATATAATCTACGTATCATCTCCTATGACACACATCACTTAAATGCCCCTGACTGGTACTATTTAATTTACTAACTTTGAAATGTTGATGCAATTTTTTTTGAATTTGGCTCATACCAATAACCAAATATCCTCAAATCTCCTCATAGTTGATGTGCCGATTTTCTTCAATTATTCGCGTGATAGTAGGCACACTTTTTCAGTGATCACAGTTGAGGACTGACCTTCACGAGTTTCATCATGAAGAGCAACATGACAACGACTAAATTCTGCGTATTAGCACCTTCCATTGGTCAAATGAGGTGCTTCATTTCCAAAAGACAAGCAGCACAATCTTGTGGAAAGTGGTACATCCACGCTGCAGTTATATTATCTTTGTAACAACAATGGGTCGGCCCGACCGAGTAAGGACCACACACGCCAGCGTAAAATAGCAGCTTAATGCTGCTTTTTCGTATGATGAGTGTAGTGATCTGGAGACCCTCTTTTACTGGAAACGAGGTATTCCATCTTAGTCCTCAGGGGTGACAATGCATCTCCTAATCAATGGGTCTCCCATTTTACTGGAAACAAGGCATTTCTTCTTAGTTTACTTAGGGGCGATATTGCATCTTCATTTTATTTCTTAAATGAGGATAAATGTAGATGTCTGTGGACTACAGCATCCACTTACCATTAGGTGTACTGTGCTTGTTTAACCTTGTGTCACCCTTATTCTATATTCAAAAGAGAATGAATTCTTACTTATTTTTTATTTCTTTTTATCTTCTTTTTTTTTTGCTTTAATTTGATTATTGCTACGCTATACTATACTGACATAATACTGTGGCGGCGCTGTCGTCGCGCCGCAAGCGAAACACACCGAAGCTTAAATCACGCTATCAACATTCCGAATCATAAACAGCATATATAGAACATCTCCGAACTATCACAAGGAGTGTGAGCCGCTCCCCGGGCAGGACACCTTGCCCGGAGAGAGATCTCCCCTTTTCCTTCCACGGCCACAATACTATACATCACTGTATGACACAAATGACTAATTTCAAATTGTGATCAAAAGCATGACAGGCAACTTCCCGCTAAAAATTATTTTAATCTAAGAGTTTCGTAAGTTCAAGCATTTATGGGCGGCCAGGATAATTTTTAGTATGCCCTATTTAGTAACAAGAGCGAATTAAGAATCTGCTATCCTTAAAAATTATTTACTACAATTTACAAGTATGACTGATTATAAGTTTGAAAACTCTGAAGGCATAATGTAATCTTAAATTTATTTATTTTCCACAGGCCCATGAAAAGTCGGAGGGACATATTAAAGATCCCGTATCAGAAAGCCTCTTGGAGAAATCAGCAGCGGCCGCGCTCTTCAACGTCATATTCTTTCAGGTACAAAATAAATTGCGTTATCGAATTTAAAAATCTGTAAAGAAGAACCACTAAACTTTATATGCGGTTTTCACTGCAATCTGCATCTTTCCAGGACGATGTGTGTATTAAAAATTATCTTAGTTCTTAGAGTTGAGCCTCAATGGTGTAAAGTTAATATATAATTACTAGTCAATCAAGTCGGGAAATGGTTTTCCTAAGTAGGTAAGTGCATATGCATCAGAATAGTTTGCAACCAACAACGTGGTTTTAGGTGTATATATGTGTGTATGTCCAGCAGATAAGTTTTACTGCTGTTAAAGAAATTTGATACAACAGGGTTGTAGGTTAAATCGAACTAGATCTTTTAGGAGCTTGTAGTTTCCATCATTACCGACTGTTTCGACTACGAAACACCATACCCCAAACTTAACCGTTTTCAAGATATTGGATATTTCAGTTTTTATTATAAATATAGCCAAATTTTTGTCTATCGTACAAATTTTTTTTTGTAAGTTGTGCATCTTGTTATATTCTTTTTTATAATTTTTGCATAGAACACCAAGATTTTAAGTAAATAAAGAATCTGGGTCGTAGTAGACGGTTGATTGTTTGAAAAATATATAAATTATTACAAAGTATTTTTTTGAGGAATATGTAAAGAAAATCTATGGCAGGTATGTTACAGATGTATCACCTGACTCTAGGTATTGTCTTTATAAATATATATATATATATATATATTACTCTAATGTCGAGTTGTTTGGTAAAAACTTAGACGGTGCGACAATTCGATATTTACCCGTGTTGGAATTCACAATGTGCACAATGAGCAATTGTGGAGTTTCCTACATACAATCAAAGAACATGCAAATCTAGTTCGTTTCAGTACAAAAGTTTGGGCGGCAATCATTAACAACTACATCATTAGTCCAATATGGATTGAAGGGCGATTGAAGGGAGTAAAGTATCTGCAAATTATACGTTCCGTCATCGAAACAATGTTATTTCTTTTTTTTTTTTAGCAATTTGCCTATATTATATAATTTGGACTTAGTTATTGCCAAATAATCCTGTACCCTTAAGCTTCCTTTGCGATCTAATATTTTTAATAATTCATAGGGTCACTGGCATGTTCCTTTCCAAGCAACAGAGACTGAGGAGAAAGACTTCCACGTGAATAGGTCGCTGGTCGTCAAGAAACCTATGATGCACTTACGGGATTCCCTCTTCTACAATGAGGACAACTCAATAGGTGCTAAGGTACGTTTTACAACTGTCGATTTATACACTAAATATTATTAATATCCAAAGAATACTAGTATATTTACTTTATATTATATGTACATCACGAGGAGGTAAGGTGTATAGAGCACCATCTGTGCATAGGACACTTATCTGCTGTATATAGCACGAAGCTATGTAATTACAACTGTACCTGTGTAATTGTAGGCAAGTGAAATAAATAAATAACTGTTTTAAATTATAAGCAGTATCATTAGTTCAGACAAATGTTATGCCATTAAAAAAATAACTTGTAAAAAATCCATGTTAATCAGTCATGTCAGTCAATCTATATATTTAAAACGTAAAAGATTTATAACATTGTTATGGTCACTACAAAATGTTAGGTTAGCTAATTACGTAATAACTTAAAACAGAAGGACACTTAAATTGGGACTGAATAAATTAACCGACTTGGTATTACATGGATCTCACAACTTTTTACGGTAGATGAACTGAGTTGCGAGACGATAAGATAGTCCTACTGTTTTTCCTTTCCGGTACCTTCAACTTTTTGAATACTAACAACGTACCTATCTACACCTATTATACATATACAAGTACACTGATTCATTCACTTCAAATGTAACTTTGTAATTCTATATATTTATATAGGATTACAAAGTTATTTATGCGGTTAGTGTATCTAGAAAATGACCGAAATTAAAAAATATTTTAGTTTTCCCTAAACACTAATTATATTCTAAATTTCAGGCTTCTATGTCTGCTAGAAGTGCCTTAGAGTTTTGATGCTCGGTCAGTCAGTGAGTGATAAAATTAAGAGACTTTGACTAGTTATAATTCTTAAGCTATTGGTTTAAATTGAATGAAATGTATAACATAGGTACCATGTTTATACAATGCCTACTAGGTTAATGAAAATTCAGGCTTCTAGTTTTATCCACTACGAAGTTATAGGGGGTCGAAAATGGCCTGAATTGCTTCGAGAAAAGTACGGTACGGCCGCTCAGCTTTTTTGCTCGACTTGGCGGATTAATAAATAATAAATGTCACAATCCTTAAAATATATTTTTTTAATAATCATTTTATTTATTTCTCACGATTTAATTTTACACAGCTTAAAGAAATAAACAAATTTTGTGCGGGTGACTGGTGTCCAAACAAGGTACAAACCAATGTTATGGATTACCAGGCCTCCACTTCTCGGACAAATACAATCTTTGTATAATGTTTGTGCCATGTCATGTCAATGTTTGTGTTTGATCTTAAACCACTAATGATGTAACATAAGTAGAAATGTTAATTATGTCACTAAAAAGCGATGCTGTTGGATGATATAATATCAATGTTCACATATATAAAGTATATAATCATTTATTAGCACCTCCTTTAACATACGTCTGTAATTTAGCAATAACAAATGGCATATTTCTTTTTGCTTTTAAGAAATCTCTTATCCTTCCCATTTATAAGAATGAAGCGAGAGACCGTGGTTATGATTGTCGATCAGTATCTATTTTACCATCGATATATTAAATTCTTAAAAATATCATGAACACACACATGGGCACACCTCGGATTCAGATCGGGTTTATCTACAACAGATGCGGTCCATGATCTTATAAACTATATTTTCATAGAACTTGATAATAACAAAAAGTGTATGGCAATTTTCCTAGATCTAGCCAAGGTATTCGACACGGTCTCTATCCTAATACTTACAATCTATAAATAACTAACTATACTAAAAAACTCGATTCCTAACGATTCGACAGCTTTATATTTTATTAAACGTAAATTGGCAACATTTTTTATTACCTTATGACCCATGAATACAAAAAAGGAAAAAGACGTAAGGATGTTCTTCGTAGAATTAAACCTCATTCAAGCTGTGCAATCAATCTTTCACATTCTCGGGAGGTTATTTATTTATATAATAAACTTAATAAAATTTTGAATCTATTTCCACAAACAAAATACTCCTGTAAAGTAAATATCTTCAAAGTTTGAAGACGTTGGATTATGATAACACAGAAAAGTAGTGTAAATTGCTAAATCATATAATCTTTAAAATGTTCCTTTAAATGTTGCCAGCAGTTCGTTTAGTCTATCTGTTACTACTCCATCCGAAGAATATAAAAGCGTTATGGCCATACATGTATATATAGGGAAATATATAAGCGTAATTAATTCTATTCGATAATCAGTTAATAAGTTGTGAAGCTTAAAAATATTTCTGTAAACCAACAAAGAAGAAACAAGCAAAACAAAAAAAGAGGATTTTAAAATTGATAAGAAGAGCAAGCAAAACAAAGAAAAGAGGATTTTAAAATTAAATCAACGATCACGTATATATTAGGTACTTTAATTTTTTGGTACATAGAAGCAACTAAATGTTATCAATCGACTAAACTTTATAACCCTTATAAAATGTTATGTATACATTCTGAATAAGAAACAAGTTAATTCATAATTTTATTGCTTAAAGCCGATGTTATTCTTTTAACTTTACGTAATGATTACCGTTGTTCGAGCTTTAATATATTTTACATGTTTACCTTTAGCATATCATACCTATAATATGAATTATTTTATATATATATATATACTCGTGTTTCACATACATACAGCCTTTTATGTCGACAGCTGAACACGGTTGAATTCGGAACAATAATTTGTAGGCCATTCGAACAACATTGTTCTGTGCGGGATTCCAATTAGCAGCGCAGTCAAACTTTTATTTACTGCGCTAACAAATCGTCCATTTTACTGAACTGTTTCAACACTTATTTCACAGATGATTGAATTGCCGTACCAAGAATTCGGTTTTCGTATGGTCGTGATACTGCCTAACGAATTGGACGGTCTGTCGTCAGTCCTGGAAAAGGTGGCCGAGAAGGGTCTTTTAGACGACGTGTTCGCTTTAAGCCCAGCGGGAAGGATAATCAACTTGTACTTGCCCAAATTCGAAATTAAGAGTAAGCTGGACTTCACTCAGATATTGCCTAAGGTTCGTAATGCTCTTATAATATTACTATCATCTTTTTAACTCGGTGGTTCGTTACAGAGAAAACGCTAAAGCAATCGGGAATACGAGCAGTTTTTTTAAACAAGTAGAGTAACAAACGAGCACACAGTTCACTTGATAGTAAATTGACCTATTTGAAGTTGCTGTGGCCTATAGACATCTACATCTATTTCCGAAAAAAAAATCAGAATGACCTGCATTCTGATCTTGGAGTTACATGATGTAAGGGCTAAGATGGGATACCCTTTGCATTCAACAGATTTACTTACTTCTAGGTAGTGATAGAAGTTGAGCTGAATTCTCCGTTATAACTGATATATACTTGATCCAGCAGTGATATACTTGATCCAGCAGTGCTCGGAGCTTTCTAGTAAGTGCCATTTTTGGCCTGAACTTAAACAATAGCTGTAGCGAGAATTATCTCTGGCACGTCGCGCTGTTGTGACACGTGGACACTGTTCTGGTTCTGCATTTTTTTGTTAAAAAGTTTTTATTTTATAACTTTTTGAGGCTATAATCTATTAATTACTACATGCTTTATTTTTAATTATTTTTAAAATAGCTACTTACCTTACTTTAGCTATTAACTGTTATATAATCCTACTTTAACTATTATTTGTTTAAAGCTGAAATCGACCTCGGAAAGAGAATGTTTGCCAAAAGGCTGGCATATGCGGCACTGAGTAGAGTAAAACATTTGAGGGTATTGCTTTATCCGACCCAGAGTCAAATAATTTATTACACAAACCTCACGATCAATGAGCTTAATCAGAAATGCAGAGACTGAGAGGTTTAAAGCTCATTGATCGTGAGGTTTTTTGTAATGTAATGTACTCGTAATTATTATGTAATGTTGTAATACACAACTCGGCATCAAAATCTGTGAGTAAACAATAAATCACCGCTGTTTTCACACACTTAGGGTAATTTTTTCCAAATTTATATGAGACCAATTTCGAGGTATACCCTATCGATCAAAATCGGACTACACTGTAATAAATCACCCCTAATTTCCCACCCTTAGGGATAAAATTTTTTCAAATTTATATGGGACCAATTTCTAGGTAATATCCTTTCCAATACAAAAATAATTATCAAAATCGGACTGCTCTTTGATTAATAACCCCTATTTCTCCAACTTTAGGGTAATTTTTTTTTCCAAATTTATATTGGATCAATTTCGAGGTATACCCTATCCAATAATAAAAGAATTATATTAATCTGATTACTCTGTAAAAAGTTATGCGTGGTCATACATAAAAAATATACGCGTCGACTTGAGTACCTCCTCCGTTTTTGCGTCGGTTGAAAATGTAAGGTTGGGTCACGCGACCGTATTGGTGGGTAAACTCCAAAGCACTAAAAATGTAAAATATTAAATAAAGAGTTCAGTCGCGCATAGTGTCTAATTAGCTAATTACTGAAATGTCGACCCGGGAAAATGCACGGTGTTGCATAGTACACAACTTTTATTCCTTAATCCACATTCACCGGACTAATAACTAACTGTGGGATAATAGAATAATGGATTTCGCTGTTCCCATTGTTTTTAGATAAACTAGGTGATAGAACTAATTTTCTGCTCAGGAGAACTTCTGGGTAGATGCCACCTTCTTTTTTACCTACATTTGCTGCCAAGTAGCAAATAGAGAGCCAGAGTATGATTAATTACACGCTGTGAGGCATTTTGTCTAAGTTCTCAAAGTGTAGAAGACACCTGTAGCTTCCATTGTTTAACTTGATTGCGGGGTATATGCTGCAGTATCAACTAACCACCAGGTGGACTACAAGTTTATTTGCCACTTCAGTTTCCATAAAATAATAAATGTAACTTATGTTAATATAAAAATACACTATAAGGAGAAAAACACATGTAGAATAAAAACATTTCCCGCGTTTACAGCTGGGTGTGAGCGGAATATTCAGTGATGGAGCTCCGGGAATAGTAAAGGAGCATGAAGTTACCGTATCGAAATTTTTCCAAGAGGCCATTGTAAAAGTCGACGAAGAAGGTGCTACTGCGGGAGCATTTACTGGTAAGCTTTTACGAGTTACAGATTTAGTTCTTATTAATATCACAGCCTATTATAATATGTGGTAGTCGCTTGCCTTACGTTCCAGTATCTAAAGGAAAACGGAATTCCTACTATGATATATAATATGCAAATTTAATTTAAAAATATATTTTATGCCAAATACCAAATTTTGTTGAACTTGGTATTTGGATTGCAGTTTTAGATTACTTAATATTAAACGAGATAAAATATATGATTTAGAAACTTAATCGTCGGGAAAAAACTTAAACGTTTTAGTTCTTGTTTTTAGACGATAACCTACATTTTCGATAATTTGAAAGCCATGAATTATATTCTTAATCGCCTACATTTTTTTAAATTTAAATTCTTTGTTTTCTGATAATAAGCAAAAACGTTTAGAAAAACTTTTTGTCAAACGATATTTGCACGCTTATATCATGCTATACAAATAGGTATGCGATGGTATAGAGAGTGCTTAAAGCCATTTAAACTCTTAAAAATTAAAGAATAAATGACAGAGCATCACTTATTACACCATAATGTTGTAGCTTTCTGAATAATGACTCATGATAAAACAATAGAAGGTTTGGATAAATCACATAACATTTCCAAAGCGTCCTGTGAATTCTTCCATGCATTAAAAATATATTTAAATAGTTCAACAAAAGTATCAGTTGTCGGGCAATCCCTTGTAAAACAAAATTGATTTTTGTGAGTTAAATTATTAAGGTCCATTAATAAAATTATTCTGTAAGATCGCGATCATTCCACGGTCCCGCGCCTCATTTATGGTATAACAATAATATAGCCGAGGCGTGGCTTTACCACATTAAAAACTACGTGACTACATGCGAATGTATTGTTGGTTTCTGGATTAGACTTCAAACATGAAAATAAATAATTTGTTTTATTTCTGCAGGAGCCGTCCTAGTGCCAACGTCTTTAAACTCTAAACCACCGAAGCCTATGGACTTTATAGTTGACCATCCTTTCTTGTTTGCTATTCTACATGAAGATGTGATACTCTTTACTGGTATCTATACTCATTAAGAGATTATTGAAAAAAATTTATGGAATAAAAAATAAAAATATTTAAAAAACGTTGTGTTCCTATTCTTTTTAAACTTCACATAATAGTATTTATTTGTTCTTTATTCTGACACCTTACAACTGAGATAACAAAAGGAGGACTTAATGCCTGTTACTTGCGCTTGAAGTTAATAAAATTTACAATTCCAATGTCATCCATATATATATATATATATATATATATATATATATATATATATATATATATCATTCATCATCATCATTACAGCCCTTCACAAGTCCACTGCTTCACATAGGCCTCCCCCAAGCAATGCCACAAAGCACGGTCCTGAGCCACTGATCCTGGTCTACGGTACTGAAGCCTTTTCGGAAACCGGCTTGTTCGGGAGGCTGGAAGTCGTCGAGTCTGCGTGCGAGACGATTCGTAATTCTCGAAAACAGCACGTAGACGCGGCTCAGAATGGAAATCGGTCTGTAGTTCTTCAAGAGAGCGTTGTCGCCTTTCTTAAAGAACAAGACCACCGCACTTCTGCTCCACGCCTCCGGAGTAGTGCCACCATGGAGGAGGGAATTGAAGAGCTTCTGAAGGACTTCAAGTACCGGTGTTCCACCCGCTTTCAGAAGCTCCGCTGTAATTCCATCCTCGCCTGGGGCCCTGCCGTTTTTAAGGTGCTGGAGAGCCATTCTAATCTCGCTCAGACTGACGTCCGGGATATCATCGGAATAGTGTCGGGTAAGACTTGCTCTTGGATCGTTACTCACACTTGCGTGTGGCTCCAACGATGATGTGTAGAGTAGCCCATAGAACCTCTCAATCTCACTCAAAATCTCAGGTGTATCGGAAACGATGCTGCCACACTCAATCTTCAGCTTTGACAGTTGGCTCTTTCTGGCAGACAGATCTCTGGCAAAGACTTTGGAGCCCTGGTTCCGCTCGATCGCTTCTTTATTACGAGCAGTATAAAAGTTGCGTAAGTCTCGCCGCATGCATTTGGAGATCTGTCTGTTCAGTTGCCTGTATGCTATCAAATCTGTTGACGATTGCAGCCTCATCTCCCGTCTAACAGCCATGAGATTAAGAGTGTGATCGGAGAGTTTTTGTGTTCTTCTGCGGCGGGTCTTGCAGAACTTAGCTCCAACCGCATGGACAGTTTCCACGAGCTTGTATATACATATCGTCCACTGCAATGCAATCTTCTAGGCACTGAAAGCGGTTACGTAACTCGAGCTGAAAAGTCTCGGGATTCTGGATCAGAGCAAGAGGGGGGACGGAACGTTGACTTCATTAGACGAGACCTCTCCAACTTAACGTTAAGGTTCAGTGTTCCTCTAACCATTCGGTGATCGCCGCCGGTTTTCACCCTTGCAATCACTGAGACAAGATATATATATATATATATATATATATATATATATATATATATATATATATATATATATATATATATATATTCTCCTTATAGTGTTTTATTTTTATATTAACATAAGTTATATTTATTATTTTATGGAAACTAAAGTGACATATAAACTTATAGTCCACCTGGTGGTTAGTTACTGCAGCATATACCCCGCAATCAAGTTCAAACAATGGAAGCTACAGGTGTCTTCTACACCTTCAGAACTTAGACAAACCTCACAGCGTTAATTAATCATACTCTGGCTCTCTATTTGCTACTTGCCAGCAAAAGTAGGTAAGAAAGAAAATGGTATCTACCCAGAAGGTCTCCTGAGCAGAAAATTAGTTCTATCACCTAGTTTATCTAAAAACAATGGGAACAGCGAAATCCATTATTCTATTATCCCACAGTTAGAATAGTTATTAATCCGGTGAATGTGGATTAAGGAATAAAAGTTGTGTACGATGCAACACCGTGCATTTTTCCGGGTCGACACTTCAGTAATTAGCTAATTAGACACTATGCGCAACTGAACTCATTCCTTAATATTTTACATTTTTAATACTTTGGAGTTTACCCACCAATACGGTCGCGTGACCCAACCTTACATTTTCAACCGACGAAAAAACTGAGGAGGGTAATCAAGTCGACGCGTATATTATTTTTATGTATGACCACGCATAACTTTTTACAGAGTAATCAGTCAAACGTTGTGTTCCTATTGTTTTTAAACTTCCGGACACAATTCCGATATCATCCGTATATATTTATACTAGCTGTACCCCGCGGTTTCACCCGCGTATATCACGCGTCTCTGCCGCGCGATATGATATGACACCTCGCTCATTTAGTTCATTCATTTTAGCTGAAAAATTACCAAAATTAATGGAGTACTTTTATCTATCGGCATATAGACGTTATACAGAAAATTTAAATTTTATCCACTCACCCTCCCCCCCCCCCTATAATTTAGCTGTCTATTGGTAAAAATTTATTAAAATCGGTCGAGTAGTTTCGGACTTATTTGGTACAAACTAACAAAAACATCTTTCCTCTTTATAATATTATATATATATATATATATATATATATATATATATATATATATATATATATATATATATAAGTATAGATAATGCTTTTTTTTTATTATTTTTTACGTATCTTTTTTTTTGTCTTTTTTAATATTTGATTATTTTATTTTTATTTCTAATATCACACCCCAGTGACACCCGCATCGCATGGTGCTGGCAGTGTACGCGATATAAGGATTTTTCGACGTTACTATTGAATATTTTAACATGGAAAAGTAGTTATTGTGAGATAACTATAATAGTTAGACATATGGTATTGCAGACTTTTATGTAGATATTGATGTCCTCCATAAAACTGTAGCACATCACTTTGCTCTATTGTCAATAGTTTCCGCAGCATACGCGATATAAGGTTTTTTTTTTGGTATTTTTTTCACACCTTGGGTTACATTAACGAAGTTTTCATACGGATCCCTAAATTTTTTGAAAACGTTCTATAGCCTATGTTCATCAGGAATAATGTAGGATTCTAATGGTGAAAGAATTTTTCAAATCGGTTCAGTAGTTTCAGAGCCTATTCAATTCAAACAAACAAACAAACAAATCTTTCCTCTTTATAACATTAGTGTATATATATATATATATATATATATATAGATATTTTGACATTATTGGAGTCAGAATACATTGATTCGCTCGTATTAAAGTCGGTTGTAAATTAACTGAACTGACTGAAAGGAACTGCTACTTTTTTCTAGGAAACATTATCCCACTTTGCTAACAGTGGCAAATAGCTGATGTTAGAATGAGTAACTTAGGTTAGGTACCTTTGATTAAATCGAACTCGCGGGGAGCAGCTAGTAAACGAATAAACAAAATATATTAACAAAATAGTTTGCGTAACACAACAATATGAGCAATGCAACACCAATAAAAAAAATATATATAGATATATATATATATATATATATATATATATATATATATATATATATATATATATTAAAAGGATTGTTAGACACAGATGTTATATTTTCTTTCAAGTTAAATTATAATAGCGCCGGAATTGTAAAAGATGGGACTGGAATGTGGATATGATTCAGAATGATTGTACTTCGGTTTGTGGTTAATATTGCTTAATGTATTTGCTATATAAGTTTCAGGGATGTTCAATGCTGAGTTTTACAAGCATATTTACAGGGAACGTACTGTACAAAATGTTTCGCTCCTATTTCATGGATAATAAGCAATAAACATTTTAGAAATAAAAATTGTATCTAAATTAAGGAATGTGTTTTATTGATGATTTAGAATAGCGTAGTAGTTATAATACAATAGCACTGATTAAGCAGAGTGTACAACTAGTAATAGTTAAGAGCGATAAATAAGGTGTTCAAGGAACAATAGATAAGGGGAAAGGCTGAAAAATAAAACGCTAATGAGGGTGCTGGCTCACCGGATATCAATTAGATATTAGTTAATTTATCTGCACATTTACGGAACCGCTCATCCTACGCAAAAAAGGACCGCAGATTCGTAATCAGAGCATGCCAAGACTATTTTCCTTTTTTTTTTGTGGGATCCGTCGACCCACCGTCATCCGATGAGGCCTGGTTTCAAGTTCTGGCTCGTGAGGCAGAATTGGCATAAAATAACTGTAGAGCCATGCTGCAGTTACATTATAGTTGTAGCACGAATGGGTTTGCTAGATCGGGGAGGGACCGCGCTCTTACAGAATGCCAGCGCAAAATAAGAGCTTAATGCTACTTTGTTTCGTATCGTGAATTTAGTTCCAATTTATTCCTCATGGCTCCTGCATTTTGATTCTCGTAGATAGATATAGAAGTCTATGGGGCACAGCATCCACTTAACATCAGAATAACTGTGCGCTAGTTTGTCACCCTAATTCTATAATAATATGCAGTGTGACAAATGATGATAAATTTGTTTGGTAGCAATTTTAACTAAAACACTTATCTATATATATTTAAATAATGTTTGTCTATCTGTCTAGTCGAATTCAAGTATAGAAATAGCTATTGCCTTTTGACGTATGTATTGTTACGCGCTCAAGTCGACGATACACTAGCGCCATCTAGTGTCAGGAACGAGAGCGAGGGGAGCATTGAGAAAATGACATCACAAATCACTCAACCGACAGCGCCTAGTCGCAACTCGAACACTCGGTACCTTGCGCGTGTTTACTTGAACATTCTGGATATTTCTTTGCTAATTTAAATAAGTAGGCGCTGCAAGATGCGATGGGTGGTAGAGTTGAACTCGGCGACACAAGCGAAGCTTCGGAGCGGAATTAAGTGAATTAGTGTGTTTAATTATTAGTGTTTTTAGTTTTAATTTGTGTAAAGTAAATTAAAGTGTTAATTTAGGTAATTTTATCGGCAATTTTTATTGTCACGAACCTCAAGCTCGTAACAATTGGTGTCAAAAGTGGGATAAAATCATGCCGATTTTACCTAAGGAGGAAACGGAGGGTGTCCGTACCCGAAATCAACGCCAGCAGGAGACGGACCAAAGAAGATTTGGTGGTGCAACGCCGCAGACGTCGGAGGGCCAGCCGCCGGCTGCAGGCCCGTCAGTAGCTCCTACATCTGCAGCACCCGATTTAGGTGCTCTGATGGTGATGCTGCAGGAACAGGCTCGCCGACAGGAGGAACAGGCCCGTCGACAGGAAGAGCAGATGCTCCTCGTGAAGGACATTCACGTTAACTTCGGGAAAGAGATTAGGGCGGTGAAGGATAGGGTTGCTCAACATGACAACCGCCTGTCGGAAGCTGAAACCCAAATCAAGGAAGCTAAAACCCAAATGGACCAAGTGAACAATCGGGTTGATTACGTGGTGGCTGACGTGAAGAAAACGCTGGACGACCTCAAACTGGGTGATGGAACTACAACTCCCGTAGTAGCTACTGCACCTTCGCTACGTGGGTTCAAAGTGCCACCGTTCGACGGGACTTCTTCCTGGTCAGCCTACAAAATCCAGTTCGAGGCTGTTATGAAGGCGAACGGCTGGAATAACAGTCAGGCAATGACTGCTCTCACACTAGGCCTGCGCGACCAGGCCTTAATAGTTCTGGAAGCTCTCGGGGAGGAAGTGACTTATGAGCAACTCCTTGAGGCATTGGAGGCGAGATATGGTGACGCTCACCTGGAACATGTCTTTCGTGCGCAGCTTAAAGATCGCGTGCAGCGCATCAACGAAAACCTGCAGCAGTGGTCTCTAGAGGTGGAGAAGCTGGTGCGGAAAGCATACCGGTCTGTACCTGCGCTCATTGAAGGGAACCTGGTGCAGACATTCACCGACGGCATCCGCGACCTGGAAGTCAGAGCTGCTGTGAGGCTCGGTCACCACGAGACGCTTAAGAACGCCTTGGCCCATGCACTGGAAGTGGAAGCCGTGCGGCAGGATCATCGTTCCCATCGCGTCAGGGAGGTTGCGGCAGCTACAGTTCGCGACCGCAACAAAGGATACAGCCCTAGGTGCTATGGCTGTGGGGACAAAGGCCATCTTCGAATCAGCTGCCCTAAGCGAACCGTGGAAAGGAGAGTTGATCGATCTCGAGAGGGTAGTGCAGCTAACGACACTGCCTGGCGGCGACAGGATCATCGTTCACCTCACGCTAGGGAGGTTACAGCAGTTATGGTTCGCGACCACAATAAAAGATACAGCCCTAGGTGCTATGGCTGTGGGGAAAAGGGCCATCTTCGGTCCAGATGCCCTGAACACACCCTTCGAAGGGAAGATGAACGGTCTCAGAAAGGAAGTGCGGCTAACAGCACCGCCCAGCAGCAGCAGGAATACGTCTTTACTATCAGACACTGCAGCGGGAAATCTCACGGCAACGCAGATGCATTGTCAAGAAGACCTTGTCCTGAAGATTGCAACCATTGTAGTAGGCAAGAGAGTAAGGAGTTGGTATCCGTGAGGATGCTCAGGACAGACCACCTCAGCAACGGGTGGAAGGACAACCTACGACATGCACAGCAGGAAGATCCGGACATCAAGCCGATTCTGGGATGGATGAAGGCCCGTGCTACCAAGCCTAAGTGGAGGGACGTCTCAGCGATGAGTTCAACCACGAAAAGCTATTGGGCCCAATGGGACAGCTTGCTGATTCAGGATGGATTCCTGTGCCGTAAATGGGACAATGGTCCAAGAGACAGCTGTCGTTTGCAAATGGTTGTCCCTAAAGCTAAAGTGCCGAATGTTCTACAGTTGTGCCATAATGGTCGTTCAAGAGTTCATCTGGGAGTTAAACGAACTCTACTGACGGTCCGAGAACAGTTTTACTGGGTCCATTATCGTGACGATGTCGAGGATTGGTGTCGTACATGTACAAGTTGTGCGGCCGTGCGGGGACCTCGGACACGTAGTAGAGGAGCACCGAAATTGTACAATGTTGGTGCACCACGGGATAGGACAGCCCTTGACATTGCGGAGCCGTTACAGAAAGGCGCAAGAGGGACTCCTAAGATCGTCCATGTGAATCGCTTGGCGCGTTATTATGGGGCCGATAATGCTCGGGACGAGTATGTCTTAGGAGGGGGGCAGTGTTACGCGCTCAAGTCGACGATACACTAGCGCCATCTAGTGTCAGGAACGAGAGCGAGGGGAGCATTGAGAAAATGACATCACAAATCACTCAACCGACAGCGCCTAGTCGCAACTCGAACGCTCGGTACCTTGCGCGTGTTTACTTGAACATTCTGGATATTTCTTTGCTAATTTAAATAAGTAGGCGCTGCAAGATGCGATGGGGGTAGAGTTGAACTCGGCGACACAAGCGAAGCTTGGGAGCGGAATTAAGTGAATTAGTGTGTTTAATTATTAGTGTTTTTAGTTTTAATTTGTGTAAAGTAAATTAGTGTTAATTTAGGTAATTTTATCGGCAATTTTTATTGTCACGAACCTCAAGCTCGTAACAGTATGATTAATTTAAAGCTAAATATTTAAAACCATTTCTTATTCAACCGAATATAAATGTTTGATCCACCTGAAACACATTTTCATTTTGCTTTTGGTCTGGACCGAAATCCTTCGTAATAAAGAAATTGCGTTCATTAGAAACAAAACTTGTCTGGGGCCCGATTTATGGGCGGACGTATCAGTAGAAACAGGTTGAGAGTAAATAAAATCTTTATTTTACATTCAGATAACTCCATCTAAATGTCAACAGCAATTAAGATAACGGGGTTAAAATAAAATGACTATTTCGTATTAAACACATTTAAAATAGGATATTTAAGAAGAAGTGGACGTGTTGCTTAATCATTGAATCAACAACTGAGCAAGATGAGGTGTCTTATTCTTCTTTTAGTGGGTAAGTAATTAGATTTGTTGTTGCTCAGTGTAAAATAGCCCTTATATCGAGTGTAAACTAACTGACACATAATAATGTGTTAATGTCAATAAAATGCAATAAACGGATTTTACTGTAATTAATTTAACGAGGTAACGCAGGAAATTAAGTAAATGTGGCTCTATACTCTATTGTGGAAATCCACAATGCTGTGTTTTACCTACTTTATCGTTTGTGTTGTACCTACTTTATCGTTTGGTAGTGAAAGTTGTGTGTAGCAGAAGAAGCACGAAAGAAGAATAAACGCAGTAGAAACGCGGTCGTTAAGGAGTATGTTAGGGCGGAATCTGAGCGACAAGGTGAAAAATTCTGTAATATTAGAAGAGTGTGGTTTGCAAGATGATGTTGTGACCAGGATTAAGAATGGAATGATTTGGTTGTGTGGACATGCAGAAAGAGTGACAGAGAAAATTTATGTTGCGGAAGTGAACGGAAGAGTCGGAAAGGTGAGAGTGCGAGAGAGGTCCTAGGTGAAAATTTATCGACCAGATCGTCGATATATTGAAAATGGGCCAGATTAAGAGTACCCTTAACCGACGAGCATGTTTACGTTGGTATATGGATGTGGAGGAGGCGATAGAAGTGTGTCAGGATTGTGCCAAACAGAATTCTGTATTCTCTGCCCCTCTGGGTGACAGGCGTGAGTGTTTAAGTTTATGTAATTTAACATATTTTTAAATCTCGACGTTTCGGGTGCTTTTCAGCACCCAGGGTCATGAAGAAGACTGAGCTGTTTGAAGTCATAATGTCATTTTAAGCCCATGCAACCTTCACCCGAAACGTCAGGAATTCAAAATATTTAAAACTAAGTGCCTTTCCTGTATAATATGTGTAAATATAAAAAATCACTAGCATTAGTTTGTTAGCAATTTTATTGCTGAATTCGAAATGTAACGACTATCCTGTAACTGATTAGCAGTAAGTGTTCAAGCTGTTTGTCCGTAAATTTCATACTTTTTATCTTCATACTTAAGTGCCAAACGAACATACATTCAACATATGGTAAGCGGCCGCTGCAGCTCGCATACATTTGCAGCCTACTTCGTATGAAAAAGGCTACAAGAGCGTTATCACCTCTGAAGACTATGATGGAATGTCTTACAACCTGTAATTGCACTGTCACTTCATAACGTTGAGACTGCACCGCAGCAGTGCAAACATTGCCATTTGGTGGCATAAATAGCAAAAATACTCAAATGATTTGTAAATGTAATATTTTAATACAACCGGATCCGTAAGACAGGCAAAGCATATTACATATTTAAATAATGGTCGCACTATGAGATGGATGAATTTTGCTAACAAAACTAGTTTCCGAAGTGAGTTTGCTTGCATAAAATAATAATAATGACTGTTTTCTTTCATGAAATATAAAAATATCGAAAGAAGAAAAGAATTCTTTTGATATTAAATTAAAATTAATTATTTTATAATAAATTGAAAACGTTCATGAAGTTTTAATACATCATCATCATTATCATTACAGCCCAACACAAGTTCACTGCTGATCATAGGCCTCAAAGCAGGCATGCCACAAAGCACGGTCCCGAGCCACCTGCATATCTTACTAGGTCGTCATTCCAACTAGTGGGTGGTCGTCCTACATTTCGCCTACCTGTACGAGGCTGTCACTCGACAGCCTTTTTTCCCCATCGGTTGTCGGTTTCACGAGCTATATGGCCAGCCCATTGCTTCAGCTTAGTAATCCGTTGGGCTATGTCGGTCACTCTAGTTCTAGTGTGGTATCCTTATTTCTAAGTTTATCACGCAGAGAAATTCCAAGCATAGCCCTCTGAGCTTCTGAGCCCCTTGCTGAGAGACCAGGTAGCGGCCATAAGTCATCACTGGCAACATGCACTGGTTGTATAAACTCACTTTTAAATTTTAAGGTATCCCTGGCGAGAACATGTGCTGTAATTTCCCCAACACTGCTCAGCCGAGTTTTGTCCGTCAATTGACCGTTAATTGACATTGAGCATAAAGCTTAGGTCCTCCTACAATAAGGGCTATATTTTCGGCAAATCACAGCTGAGAGAGAGACACTCGCTAATACCGTAGCTATACCTAACACCGTACCCTTTCCAGCCCAGTAGCCTAAAAACGTCTTCCAATGCAGCGGTGAAAAGTTTCGAGGACATCACGTCGCCCAGTATTTCACATCTCTGCAGCTTGATGAGTTTAGTACACAGGTTCTGAGGTTGAATAGCCATCGTAGCCCAACTGTACAAACTTTTCACTACTTCGATATACTAACAGGCAACTTGGCACCGCTGGAAGGACTGTAGCACCTCCCAGGTTTCGACGGAATCAAAGGCTTTCTCATAGTCCACATACGTCAGGCAAAGTGGATTGTACTCTTCAGTCTTCTGTAAAATTTGCCGAAGAGTATGTGTGTGGTCCGTGGAAGTAAAGCTTTTTGGTAAACCGACTTGTTCAGGGGGCTAGAAGTCGTCAGATCAGCATGCGAGACGATTCGTAATGACTCCCGAAAACAGCACGTAGACGCGACTCAGAAGAAGAATCTGTCTGTAGTTCTTCAAGAGAGCATCGTCAACTTTCTTGAAAAACAAGACCACCTTACTTTTGCTTCATGCCTAAAGAGTAGTCCCACCAGGGGAGGACGGAATTAAAGAGCTTCTGAAGTAGTTTAGTACCGATTTTCCACCCACTTTTTGAAGCTCCGCTGTAACCCCGCCCGGGGCCTTGCCGTTTTTAAGGTGCCGGAGAGCCATGTAATTCTCGCTCAGACTGACGTCCGGGACATTGTCGGAATTGACTTGAATAAGACTTGCTCTTGGATCGTTACTCACACTTGCATATGGTTCCAACGATTATGTGTATAGCTGCCCTTAGAACATCTCAATATCACTTAAAATCTTAGATGTCCCGGAAACGATGTTGCCACAATCGATTTTAAGCTTCGACAGTTGGCTCCTTTTGGCATATAGATTTAATTTTATTAAAAAAATCAGGTATGCAAGTTCATGAAGATTTAATATTTTTTTTAGTCTGAAACAAAAGTGACAAATGAACTTATAGTATACATACTGGTAAGCCGCTACTGTGCCCCATGGACACATGCAGAAAACTTCAAACAAAGAAGCCTGCAGATTCGTTGTCCCTTCTGAGTACTTAGACGGAATGGCACACCACCTGCAGTTAAACTGCCGCTCTATGCAGACCACAACTTACCGCATTAGAAGCATTTTATTAAACATTGTTCCAATAAAGTAAATGTTTCATAAAAAAAATTATACACCTACCAGAAGTTCGTTATAACTTTTTACAGTTATGAAAGTAAGTAAATTGTTAATTGTTATAATCATTTCTTTACTAGCTATGAACATAAATAAACATGACATTAATAAGACAATCCATCCCCGGTATTATTATTTGATATAAAGATATTTATATCCATTAAGAAATAAGTGAAGGTCAATTCTTTGATCCGAAGAGCATATTATAATTACTGTTCGTATTTTGTAACATATGATGATTTTAAACAAAGACAAATATTACTCGAAAATACGCTTTATAATTTTCTTAGCGATTAATTTTAAAAATATTAATACTTATCTTAGACTTGATACGTTCATAAACAAACGGTTAGATCGATAATTCTAAAAAATGAGAGAAATGTGTTTAATTGGACAGACATGATGTATGTTTCCTCACGATGTTTTCCTTCACCGCCGAGCACGTGGTAAATCAGCACTAAAAATTGCAATTAACAATTTCATTGGTGCCAGCGGGGTTCGTACCCGGGTTTCTCGTGTACTGTGAAATTTACAGCGAACGCTACCCATCTCAGCTACCACGCTTCCTTTACATTAGTACAGTTTTTTTGTATGTATAGAACCGAGTGATATACGAGTACTTATACTTTGACAGAGGGGAACGTCTGCGCATGACTACCCTCTTCTGGTCCGCCGGTGTATGAAATTTAGAGAAATATCGTAGTGCTCATACGAGATAGCGTTTCAGGAGGGCTTTATTTGACTTACAGATGTTCACAGTTTTATTATATAAATAAATTAGGACATAAAAAAGTTGAGCAACACTGCAATGTCAGGTCGTTACTCTTGCAAGCGAATGAATATCAATTGCTACCTATAAAATTTGTTTGAATGTAGGAACCTAGCATAAATGTACAACATATTATAATAATGAGTTAATAACAATTCAGACGAGACGTATCGATCAGTAGATGAGATGATGCTAGCGAGAATAGAGCATCACATGAAGTTATTGTATTGTGAGAGGTTGTGAATACGTGGACAAAATTTGAGATTATTCAGGCGTCTGAAAGTAGGTGAAAACTGAACTATGAAATTCTATTACATTCATACTCATACATCAAGAAAGTGAAGCTAATATATATCTAGTGTTTCTTTATTCAAACTAGAAATTGAAGGCATAAATGACATTCAATAAGCTTTCTTGTCATCTATATTGAACTAAAATAATTATTTTTGTATAACCACGTATAAATTTTGCAGTCGCGACGGCGAGTTCGAAAGAATTCTTTTTTCCCGGCCATGTATTTTCCAGAACTCCACTGGGTGATCGGATAGACAAAGCGTCTGTGAAAATGCTCAAGGTAAGTTATCAAATGGCTCTTTTCGTGTTAGATCTCGTCGTTTCTTTGTCTTAGTACCGATTCCATACGCAATTGTGTTTTTCATTAAAAGTTTTTTTTACTGTTTTAAGTAAGGAAAAGAACAAGTTCAAGGTAAACAATTCGAATGTTGTCTAAACAGTTATGTACGTCTGAAGTAAGGTGGATGTACCATGGAAGTCAACTCTAACAAATAAACAGTTATTATTCGTTTATTTACTGGATAAATTAAACTAACAAATATTTAAGTAATACTTTGTTTTATTACGTAACATATATAAACCACTTATTTAAATTGTAGATTTAATCAATATTGATTGGACTTAAGTTTCATTGAACTCTTCCAAATGGCCTTGCTAGGAACAAGGCTTCTTAGAAGGCCATTATGATAAATCAGTCATTTAACACTAAAGTTTAATAAATAGCGATTATATCTACATTCTACAATAACAAGAAGTAGTTTATATGTTACGTAATAAAATAAAGTAGTACTTAAATATTTTTTAGTTTCATTTATCCAATAAACGAATAATAACTGTTTATTTGTTAGAGTGGCCTTCCATGGCACACCTACCTTATATTAACGTCGTTGAATCCCGAAATCAATGAAGCGAGGGACCGTACTGCCAAAATAGTAGCGCGAGCGATTCGCAGCCGCGTCTGTGATTTTCAGTTCGATGGGTGTTTGTGTAAGTACATGACAATAAATACGAAATTTTAATTATTGGTCTTCGAAGGAGCATGACCTTCCATGGTCCACCCACCTTATATCTTATTTAATAAAAAAAGAATCATTAAATCGCTTTAGTCCTTTCCTAAAAAAATAAAGAAAAATAAAGAAATTGTTTTATTCTTTTTGTTTTATTTTTAACATTTCGATTGGCCTAAATAATTTTACAAGCACAAAGATAAAACTAGAATGTCTTCTAAACAGATTAAAATATATGATTTACAATAAAAAAACATAGAAGTAAATTATAGGACTCAATTGTTTTTTTAACTTGTTTAAAAATTTACACATTAAAAGCATACAATAAACTATAGGCCTTGTTAAATTGAACTATTATACTAAAAAATGTCAGAAATTTAAAATGAGTTTATCGAGATAAGATCAGTTAAATTAGATTGTAAAGCAATAAAGCACTATGTTCGTCTCATCGATGGGCGCAAGTCTTGTCTCATTTATTTCGAGACATTATTTAAATTCGCTATATTCGAATGTACTCTCGTGCAATGACTGTGGTTCAATTCTTACAGGAGACTTATCTATCAGCCACAGACTCCAATGTAATCACGTCGCCACTAGGAGCATTGCTGCTTCTGTCAATGTATTCTTCTGGTGTCCAGGGTAAGAGCAGAGAGGAAATCATGCAGTTTCTCGGTTCAGCTGAATACAATGAGGTAAGTCCCATTTTCGAATTTTATATTTATATTTATAAATACTCCGAAAACGCGTATATATTTATTCCATTACATATATACATTATATTCCAATTTATTCTCTATTAATTAACATTGTGACTTTTTACCCTTATCAAAATAAAAACTTTATTAGGCTAATGGGTGTACCCAACGTGTAATTACGGTGTAAGAATATCCGCTACTCCATATCGTCTCCTGGGTTTCGTAAAAGGCGGCGGAATTAAAATGAAACAGAAACTGAGCAGTGCTGCTGCTCAGTTTCTGTTTCCTGTTGCCTGATAATAATTTAAAAAAAATAAAAACCGCGGTTGCAAATCCACCTAGCCTAGCCTGGTACCTATGGTCAAATCTCCCTCCTGAGATCGATCGTCCCTCATCTATGAGGGTGGCCTATGTTCAGCTGTGGACTTTATGGTTTATGATTTTTAGGCAGCTATTAGGTGAACTAAATAGAAACTCTTATAGAAAAATAATTGTTTTACGTTGACATTTTTTTTAAATCAAACTATCAAAAGTACTACTAATTTGAAGCAAAATCAAGGGTGTAACATTTTCAGCAACACCTGGCACGCGTAAAGTAGGCTGCACATGATTTCAACGTAGTTTGTAACTTCAAAGTTAAAAGTTTCCTTTAATAAAGTTTAAAAAATATCTATTCCATAGCTTACAATTCGTTCACCTTTTGAACCCTACTATTTTCATTACAGTAAAAAGTTCCGGTATGAAAGTCACTCGATCCTTAGGTATTCATCATCATCACTCGATCCTTAGGTATTCATCATCATCAAACACATGGGGCTCTCCTATGGTATAAAAAGTAAGCCATACTCAGCAGGCTAGACAAACGAATTGTCGATTGCAATCTACCAGATATCTCGTAAATTGAAAGCCACACCTCGTCGCTTGTCTTGGTATTTTATGCTATATTGGAGGCCGTCAGATCTTTTTGGTATTTCGAATAGTTGCCTCTTACGACATCCACGAGACAAAATAAGGCGGTGAATAATAATCACAGATACAAACGTAATTATGTAGTACCGTGTCGAACTAGCTCTGATCGGCGTTAAAAATATCTAAGGATGAAATCTATATAGATAAACTTGGAAAGTAAAACTTTCCCTTAATATCAAATTTCATCCAAATTGTTAAAGTCCTTTTGTGAAACAAATTTAATTAGATTTCGTTTTGTAGAAGTATGGGTGTATAAGTATGACCCACAGTCACATTTATCATCTATTTAGAATCAAAATGCATATTAATGGATGGAATTAACAAAAAATTATTAATAAAGGATTGTTTATGTGTGTTCTCAAACATACTTAATATACATTAAACGTAGAGCAACACCGCCCATCGGTGGATCGGAGGGGAGTAGCCATTCACAGAAGTCCCTCTGTTAAAGTCAATGCGGTACTTTGCTTACAATAAAATTAGTTTTGCTTTACTGCTAACTAAAGCTACAGATACATTAATCTGTGTACTAGACTTAATATAGTTGCGTGGCTAAATCGCAGTCCTAAAAAAATGTGGCCTTGTTCAGTTTTTTGATACAGAGAGACCTGCCACGTCAAATTTACAAAAAGATGGATATAAATTTGTAAATAACTCTCCTGAAAATTGGTATTTTTCGTTCAAATTTTCTTAAAATAGTGTAGTTAATTGCCTTCCATATTTTCTTATAGTATTTTTAGTAATTTATTTTTATTTTTTAAACTTATCAAAATTTCTTTACCTTCGTTCGTTTTGCTCCTGTTAGGTCCGTCTTGTATAGAAACTACCATCTGCACTCTAATTTGCTTAATTAAACACACAAAATAAGAAACCTTTCATATAAAAGTTGTTTTAATCAAATTAAATCTATTTGTTTATTTTTAAAATAAATTGAAAAGCACAATAATAACTGCCATGTTGTTTCGGATTTATTTACCAACACAGGCCGCTTTCCATTTGCCATTGTTTCTGTGTGTCCAGATGGTGGGAACCAGTGGGAACTGCAGAAAATGTCAGATAGTTCTGTATCAGGGAAAAACGCTACTCCCCTCCGGTCCGATATTGCTTTATTACATCAAACGAAATGAATAAATGATTAATTTTGAAAATGATTATTTTAGCTATTCGATTCGTATAGCCACTTAAGTAGAAGATTTGCTTCAATGGGTCGGAGTTATCTCACTCTCGCCAACAAAGTGTATGTGGCTAAAGGATACACGCTGGCCGACGATTTCATTAGCACAGCCCTTTCTTACAACAGCGAAGTAGATGGAATCGACTTTCAAGATTTGAAGACAGCCGCTCAAATTATTAATCAATGGGTAAGCAATATAACATTATTAAATTATAATAGGTAAATACTGTTCCTTAACCAAACGTGTAATTGTACACAATTTAAAAATATGATTAAATGAATATCGACCCATGAAAAGAAATAATATTATATTATATGTATTTTACGTATATTTGTATATATAGTTTTTTTTTTAATAAATATTTCGTAAAAAGTAGCCTATTAGTCATAACTCATTGACTTATATATTACTAATTACTCGATTCCAACGAATTTTAGACGCAAATTTAATGGCTTATTAAACTGGCATTTAAAGATTGTTATACTTTCAATATTTTATAGAATAGTGTTGTTGAGTAATAATTTTATTAAAATCACAAACAAGTAAAAGTTACTTACCGATATCAAAGTTTTATTATAAAACAAGTAAAATTGCACATAATATGACCGAGTGATGTATGAAGACCAATTATTTGTCTTTTCATTTTAATTATTATTTTTTTTTTTCTTTTACACTTTACATATTTAATGGTGTTACAACGTTCAATTTATATTACAAAAATTATAATAAAGAACTTAACTAAAATAATAATTAAAATTATAATATTAAAGATTAAAACTAATTATATACAACATAAAAGAAGAAACTATAATATAGAAAATCTAAAACTAAAAGTAAAAGTAAAATTAAAATTAACTTAATTAAGTTAATTTTACTAATTATTATTAGTAAAATTAACTTCACTCCAATTATTTTATAATTGTGTTCGAAGAAAAATGACACATTCAGAAGTAACGCATGTTTGAACCGTATATACACTTATCTATGTAGCTAAAATGATCTAAATAGAAACCAAAAAGCTTTTGTGCCAGCCAATTTTAATCATATTGTGAATTAAATAAGGTATGATGTGTAGGATTATTTTAAACAAGTAACAATGAATTAAGGTTTTAAAACTCAAAATCAAAAACTTTCGACAAAGATTTTCGACGGATATCGTCATCATCATCATTACAGCCCTTGTAGTATCCTATAATTACCCACTACTGAATACGGCCCTCCATCTGATGGGGGTTGAATTAGAGCATAATCCACCACGCTGCTCTAGTGGCGGTTGATGAAGATTTCCGGCCAGTGACTAACCGGCGTCTATATAAACTTCTAACATACGAATATTCCAGGAAAATCTCTCGCAAAGTAGATAGCTGATCTTGTAAATACTGTGGGCGATCGCTGAATATTTAAGATAGCTTAAATCAATTGTTTGTAAAAATAAACTAAAATAATTACTATTATACTAATGCTATTACTAAAATAAGTGATTTCGAAATCTGTATAGGTAGATAAAACACAATTTCAACTCAGAAAAAAATTGCTTTCAAGTTTTTAAAATCATAAAAAATACTCTTAACTTACAAAAACATTTCATAATCCAAACGACATAAGTGAAAATATTTTGATGAACAGACTTTACTACTACTTATAATATAATATTAATCGGTGAAGACTAATTAATATTTTGTTGCCAACAGTTACACAAAATCAGCTTTACAGTGCGTATAAGCTACAAAACACAACAAGTGCAACAGGAATAAGCACATTTTATACAAATTTCATGTCAGAAATAGTAATCTAAGTAATAAACAGCTTTTTTAGGCTTTTTATTACTTAGATTTTTTAAGCTTACCACGAGTGGTTAAGGGGAATATTAGTAATGTTTACAGCATTGTTAATATTCTTTTAAAAAATAATAATAATAAAAAAACGGCAGGTAAAATATTACTAAACGACAAAATATTGTTGCGCGCCTAAGTTGACGTCTTGTACCCGGCACTAGCGACATCTAGTGTCGGGGACCAGAGCGAGGAGGGCTTCCCACAAAATGTCAATCTTGACGAACGATGAACAGAAGAATTAAGCTTTCTGGAAGCCCCATACTCGAACTTTCTGTGCCTGGTCGGTTGGCGCGCGTATTTACTTGAATATTCTGGAATATCCTGGATGTTTTCGTGAAGGAGCCTATATAAAGCCACTGCAAGCCGCGATCGGGGCAGTATTGAATTTGGTGGGACAAGCGAAGCTTCGAAGCGAAATAAAGTGAATCAGTGTGATTAATTATTAGTGTTTTAAGTTTTAATTGGTGTAAAGAAAATTAAAGTGTAAATTTTGGTAATTCAATCGGCAGCTTTTATTGTCATGAACCTCAAGCTCGTAACAATATATCCTTTTAAGGCAAGAAAATTACTAGTATATTACGTCTAGTACGTTATATGCACCTTTTTTATAGAAGAGGGGGCAAACGAGCACGCGGCCCACCTGATGTTAAGTGACTACCGCCGCTCATGATCAACCGCAACACCAGGGGAATTGCAGGTGCGTTGCCGGCCCTTTAGAAAGGAGTAAGCTCTTTTCTTGAAGGTCCCCAGGTCGTATCGATCCGGAAAAATCGCCGGTGGTAAACTATTCCACAGAGAGGTCGTACGCGGAAGAAAACTCCTTTTGAAACGTACAGTGGTGGACCGCCAAGCATCCAGATGGTGTGGATAGTATCGGGACGTTTGCCGCGTAGTGCATTCACGAAATTTGGCGGCTGGGATTTATCCGAACAATTCCTCAGAGCACTCCCCATGGTATATGCGAAAGAAAATGCAAAGAGATGTAACATCTCTTCTCAGCACCAGTGAATCGAGACGATCGGAAACAACTCCGTCGTCGACGATTCGAGTCGGTCTGCGCACCTGGGTTCGTGCATCGACGTCTCGGGATAGAAATACCAGCGCTCTTAAAAAGAAGTACAATTTCGCCTCCAGGTCCTTCAAAAGTGTCATTGTCAAGGCAAAGTTAGAGCACATCAGCAGAATTGGCGAGAAACTAGTTCATCTTCTTTCGGGAACATGTGGCATTCTGGTCTCTCGCCAAGGCTGTCCAAGGGAACTTCTGTCAGCTATCTCTCCCATCTCTTCACAGGGAGGATGACTCACTGGCCCATACCGCAAAGAACAAAGCCGATCTGCTCGGCTCTTTCTTTGCGTCCAACTCGACCCTTTATGATGGGGGGAACACACCGCCGACTATCCCGCGGAGTGCTCCATGCAGAATGTCCTGTTTACCCAACGCTCAGTGCGCAGAACACTCTCTCCCTGGACGTCAACAAGTCAAGTGGGCTGGATAGCGTCCTTTTAGTTTGATTATTGCTACGAATGACTAACTTCAACTTGTGATAAAAAAATGTTACACGCGACTTCTCCATAAAAATTATTTTAATTTAAGAGTTTCATAAATTCAATCGCATATGGGCGGCCGGGAGCGCAGAATTTTCGGTACGTCCTATATAAAAAACAAAAGTAGATTAGGAAACTGCTATCCTTAAAAAATATTTACTACAAATTATGACTAATTATAAGTTTGACAACTTTTAAGGCACAATGAAATCATCTATTATTTGTTTCTTTTCCACAGGCCGAGAAAAAGTCGAAGGGCCATATTAAAGATCCCGTATCAGAAAATCTTTTAGACAAATCAGCAGTGGCTGCGCTCTTCAACGTCATATTCTTTCAGGTACTGAATGAATCGCATTATAAAATCTAAAAACCTGTATAGGAGAATCACTAAACTTCTAATATCTTGGTGTTCAAAATAATAAAGCAACTTATCTACTACACAAGACAAATAAAACAAGATACACAAATTACCAAAAAAAATTAGTACACTAGACAACAAAGTGGCAAAGTTCATAAAAAAAAATGTCCAATATCTTGAGAAAGGTTAAGTTTGAGGGGTATGGTGTCTCATAGTCGAAACAGTCGGTAATGATTTTAAACTTGGTAGAGCCATGCTTCAGTTAAATTTGTAGTATAATTGTAGCAAGAATGGGTCGGCTTGACCGTGGAAGAACCACGCTCTCACACAATACACGCGTTAAATAGTAGCTTAATGCCGCTATGATTCGTTTGGTGAGAGTAGAGAACCGGAGACTCTTTTTACCGGTAACGAAGCATTCCATCTTAGTCCTTTAGGGTGACAACGCATCTGCATTAATATTTGTAATAAAGGATAGATGTTGATATATATGGGCCACAGCAACCATTTACCATCGGGTGGATTGTGTGCTCGTTTCTCACCCAATGCTATTAAAAAGATGAAAACTACCACCACCTAAAAGATCTAGGTCAACTTTACCTGTAGCCCTATAGGTATAAAAATTTGCTGTCTGGAATAAATAGGGTGTAATGGTAAATACTTCTAATGAAATAAATAAATCAATTAAAAACTATCGAAATTATACATATGAAATTGGCATTTTGTACGGGAGAAATATGTAGTCAATTTTTTTTTGTAAAATATATTTAATTAATCGAGGTATGTACCGTTGATATCCATGCACTTCATTGATCTCTTTACTAGAAAAAATCATGGGGGGCGAGAATCAATAACTCTTTGAAGGCGGTTTGGACTGCCGCATCGGAGTTGATTTTTTTTTCGTGTAAGAAGATGTCCAAATTCGGGAAAAAATGATAATCTGTTGGAGCAGGGTCCGGGAAGTATGGTGGACTTCGCAGACATTCCAATTGTAGCTCATCTAACTTAGTGGTTGTTTGTTGAGTAGTGTGTGGTCTTGCGTTGTCGTGAAGCAGCAGTGGCTTAGAGCGATTGACCAATCTCGGTTGTTTAGCAGCTACTTCTTACTTCATGGTTTGCGGTTTATGACAGTAGATATCTGCCGTAATTGTTTTAGAAACCTGTAGTGAATGACACTGCGTTAGTCCACCAAACACTCACAAGTAACTTTTTCTGAGTCAATTTCCGTTTAGGACAGGATTTGGCTGGGTCTCCAGGGTTCAGCCATTGCGACGAGTGCTTCCAGTTATCCACGTTATCCACTTTTCATCACATGTAATGATTCGATTTAAAATCCCTTCATTTTTGTGTCGGTCGAGCAAAGTAATACAGCAGTCGACGCGTGCTGTATTACTTTGCTCAACCGACACAAAAATGAAGTCACACTCAATTCATGAGGTACATATCGTTCAAGCTTTTTTACTTTCTCGATTTAATGGAATTGGATTAATACAGTTTTATCACTTACGCCAAAGCCTGCAGCTATCTCTGAAGTGTTTTGTGATGAATCCGCTTCCATAAGCCGTCCAGGGGGTTGGTTCTAAATGTTGAAATTTCCAGAACGAAAACGTTGAAACCAAAAACGTACCGTGTTTTCTTTTGCGACACCAGTGCCGTACACATCACTAATCCTTCGAGCTGTTTCTGCAGCACTGCTGCCTCGGTGGAACTCGTACTCTAAATACACCGATATTTCATGTTTTCCATTGTGCGGTAATAAGCGACGCCAAAGAAAAAAATAATGAGGAAAAAACAATTGAATGACTATTTTCAAAATTTAAAGTACGATACTTTAAAATTCGATATCCTATACCTTTAAACGAGCAATTCATTGTACTATACTATATATATATATATATATATATATATATATATATATATATATATATATATATATATATATATATAATCATCTCGGAAACGGCTCCAACGATTTTCATAAATTTTTGTGTGCAGGGAGTTTCGGGGGCAATAAATCGATCTAGCTAGGATTTATCTTTAGGCAATGAGAAACTGCTACAATATAGTTAGAATAAGAAGGTGAATTTTTACAGTTCATTAATGATTTCGAATAGCTTAATTGGTATATTGGGCGGTCACAAAATCGTAATACCATGGTTCGAGCCCAGACGACCGACCGACTTTCTTTAATTTTTTCAGTTCTTTCTTTTTTTGAGAAAATCTATTTTTTCGTGCCCTTTTTTTTAGTATTTTTTTAAAAACAGGAAAATTTAAATTAAACTAATTGCACTCATTTTTTATTCAAATAACCAGTTCAGTTTTTTTCTATTATGCCGCTACGATCAAAAAATATTATTCGTATTTCATCAGTATGTAATTTGTATCTAAATATAATTTCCAAAACACACGAATTAAAAAAAACCGAGTGAAAAATACCGAGCAAAGCTCGGTCAACCGGGTACTAATAAATTAAGTAGGTCTTTTCGTCGTTGTCCTTCGCAAGGTGACAGGCTCAAGGGCAAAACCGCCTGCGCTCTTCTGTAACATGTGAATAGCTATGACGTGACGTCGCGCCGCCGTTGTATTGTTATGTTTCCGCGTGTGTATCGTAAACATATACCAATACTCTAATGTTGAGTTGTCTGGTGAAAACTTAGACGATGCGAGGAATCAATATTTACCCGTGTTGGAATCTACAACGTGCACAATGAGCACTTGTGGAATTTCCAAAACCCATACAAAATCAAAAAAACATGTTAATGAAGTTCGTTTAAGTGTTAACATTTGGGCGGCAATCATTATCGACGACATCATTGGTCCAATATTGATTAAAGGTCGATTGAAGGAGGTAACGTATCACCAAATGATACGACCGACATCGACACAATGGTGTTTCTTTTTTTTTCTTCACAATTTGCCTTTTTTGCAAATTTGGGCGGTTATTGCAAAATAATCCTGTATACTTAAGCTTCTTTTACGATCTTATATTTTGAATGTTTCATAGGGTCACTGGCATGTTCCTTTCCAAGCGAAAAAAACTGAGGAGAAAGAATTCCACGTAAATGGTTCACTGGTCGTCAAGAAACCTATGATGCACTTACGGGATTTCCTCTTCTACAATGAGGACAACTCAATAGGTGCTAAGGTACGTTTCACAATTGTCGATTTATTAACAAAATATTATTAGTATCCAAAGAGCACTAGTATATTTACTTTATATTATATGTACATCACGAGGAGGTGAGGTGGATAGAGCACAATTTGTGCATAGAACACTTATGTATAGTATATAGCACGGATCTATGTAATTAAAATTGTACCTGTGTAAGTGTAGGCAAGCGAAATAAATAACTGTTTTAAATTATAATCAGTGATATTATTCAACACAAAGTTATTAATAAATTAAAAATAATACATAAACTATACATAATGCAGTCACAAACGATATTTTGGTTTAATTAACCCTTAAAATAACCATTTTTTTTAATAATCATTTTATTTATTTACCCACAATTTTATTTTACACAGCACAACTTAAAGTAGTAAATAAATCTTGTGCGGGGGACTGGTGTCGAAACAAGGTACAAACCTGTGTTATGGTTCACCAGGCCTCCACTCCTCGGATAAATACAATATTTGTATAATGGAAATACAGATAGAAAGAATGCCATTTTTTATGTACGTTTTGTGTGTGTGTGTGTGCGTTCCGTTGGCCCTACGCTTAAATAAATTGGACTTGGGATCAAATACCACATTTTAAAGATCTTAAACCACTATTGATGTAACAGAAGTCGAAAGATTAATTATATCACTAAAAAGCGATGCTGTTGGGTGGTATAATATCAGTGCTAAAATATATTTAAAGCATATAATAGCATCTCCTCTAACACGACACTGTGATTTAGCCATAATGGCATATTTATTTCTGCTTTTAAGAAATCTCTTATCCTTCCTATTTATAAGAATGAAGCTACCTAAGCTGCTAAGAGACCGTGGTCCATGGTCTTATAAGCTTTATTTTCAATTATTGCTTAGTATTGTGGATAAACTGTATGCCAGGGTATTAATTGAAAGAGTTATAAAAGTGGGACCTTTAGAAGAATAGTGGAGGGGTTATACATCAAGTCTTTTCCATACGCATGATGCGAAAATTTTTTGCAAGACCAGAAAGTTTTTGTGCTTCATGGACTTGGAAAAGGCTTATGATAGAGTGGACAGGAATGTGTTATAGTAAACACTGAACTCATGTAGAGCAGGCATTAAGGTCTCTTTATAGGGAATCTAGTGCTTGTGTCAGGATCGACGGAGTCTACTCTCTACTAGACTGGTTTGGCATCCAAAAAGTTGTCGGACAGGGCTGTGTAGCTTCTCCGTGGCTGTTCAACCTATTTATGGACAGGTGTTAGCAAACTTTGAAAGGTGAAAATGTGGGTTAAGAATGGGCGAGTTAACCGTCAAATGCCTTTTTTACGCCGATGATCAAGTCATATTTTCGTCATTGGTGGAGTTGCAAATAACGGTTACATTAATGAACTGGTCATTAAAATAAGGGGGAATGAAAGTGAACGCAAGTAAGACGAAAATGATGTTTATCGAAAGAGAATAAAGTAAATGGTTATGTGAAATAAGAATAGAAGGGGAGTTGATTGAGCAAGTGGATAAGTTCGTGTATTTATGATGTGTTTTTGGCAGTGACGGTAGATACGATAAGGATATAGAACGCCGAGTAAATGCAGGAAATAGAGTGAATGGGGCTCTACACTCTATTATGAAGAATCAGAATGTGTCTAAAAAGTCACTACTAATACATACTGCTGTGTTAATCCCTACTTTAATGTATGGTAGTGAAAGTTGGGTGTGGCAGAAGAAGCACGAAAATAGAATAAATTTTGTAGAAATGCGGTCTTTAAGGAGTGTGCTAGGGCTGAATCTGAATGACAAAATGAGAAATTGCGACGAAATATGGTGTGCAAGATGATTTTGTGACCAGGATTAAGATAGAAATGCTTCGGTGGTTTGGTCACGTAAAAAGAATGAACGTGGAAAGAGTGAAAAATAAATTTATATTGCAGTTGTGAACGGCAGAGTCGGGAAGGGACGCCCTAGAAGAAGGTTCATCGACCAAAATGGCGATATTTTGAAAATTGGCCACATTACCTTTGACCGACGAGCGTGTATGCGTAAATATATGATGAATGGAGGATGTCTGTAGTCTTTGCCTACGCCTCTGGGTGAGAGGCGAGAGTGTTTATAGTAAAAAGCATAGCACAAAGTCTGAAAACAAAAGTCTTCAACCAGTGCGTTCCGCCCGTACTCACTTACGGTGCCGGAACGTGGACACTGACGATACGCCTGCTCCAAAAGTTCAAAGTCTCACAGCGAGCAATGGAAAGAGCCTATGCTAGGAGTTTCTCTGGTAGACAAAATTCGAATAGAAGAAATCCGCCTGAAAAAAGGTTACTGACATAGCCTTCCGTATTTGTAAGCTGAAGTGGCAATTGGCTGGTCATGTCTGTCGCAGAAGTTACAACCGGTGGAGTAGACGTGTTATGGAGCGGAGACCGCGTCTAGGCAAACGTATGTGGGGCGCCTCCTGAACAGATGGAGAGACGATCTGCGCAAGGTGGCTGGTAGAAACTGGATGCGTGTAGCCGAAGATCGGGCTAAGTGGCGCGGCTTGGGAGAGGCTTATGTCCAGCGGTGAACTGCCGCAGGCTGATGATGATCATGAATCTATTCAAAAATGTCAAGTGCTAACGGTTCGGCAGCTTTAGGTATATTTTATTCATCGAAAATATACAACATTCTTTATTATCTTATGACCCATAAATACTAAAAGGAAAAAGACGTAATGATTTTCTATGTAGAATTAGACCTCATTCAAGCTACGCAAACAATCTATCACATTCTCGGGATGTTATTAATATTATAAACTTAATAAAAATTTTAATCTCTTTCCACAAACAAAAACTCCTGTAAAAGAAATATCTCCAAATTTTTAAAAACGTTCTATTATGATAGGACAGAAAACTTACTAAGAATTGCTAAATCATATAATCTTTAAAATGTCATGCATTTCAGTCAGCAGTTCATTTAGTGTATCCGTAAACTTCTCTATCCGAAGAATATAAAAGCGTCATATCCATTCATGAAAAATAGGGGGATATATAAGCGTAGTTAATTACATTCGAGAATCAGATAAATTATGAAGCTGAAAAATATTTCCGTAAACCAACGAATAAACAACAAAGAAAACAAAAAAAAGAGGTTTTTATAATTGATCACCCTAAATCAACGATCACGCATATATTAGGTACTTTAATTTTTTTAGGTACAAGGACGCAGCGAAATGTTATCAATCGACTAAACTTTGTAACCTAACCTACACATAATATTCCGAAAAAAAAACAACAAGTTAAGTCATAATGTTATCGCTTAAAACCGATGTTATTGTTTGAACTTTACGTAATGATTACCGTTGTTCGCGCTTTAATAATATATCTGCCATATCTATAACATTTCTGCTAATAATATATCGCCAAGTCGAGCAAAAATGCGCAACGGCCGTACCATACTTTTCTTAAGAAATTCAGGTCATTGTCGACCTCCTATAACTTCGTTATGGATAGAACTAGAAGCTTGAAAACTAAAAACCAAGCAGGCATTGTATAGACACAGTATATTTCAAATTTCAATAAATTTGAACCAGTAGTTTAGAAATTATTATTAGTCAAAGATTCTTAATTTTGTCACTCACTGACTGATCGAAGCTTTAAACTTAGAACACAATTAGTGTATAGTATATTAAACAAGTAAAAACTAAAATATTTTTTAATTTCGATCCAGTTTTGTAGATACACTAACTGCATTAATAACTTTGTAATCCCATATAAATATATAGGATCACAAAGTTACATTTGCAGTGAATGAATCAGTGTACCTGTGTATGTGTAGTATAATGAAATAAAAGTTGTAAATAGGTACTTTGTTCGTAATCAAGTACTGGAAGGAAAAAAGTAGGACTATCTGCAAAAGAAATGAGATGCCATCAAAAAAACTTTGAAAAAAAAAACAAGTCTCGCAACTCAGTTTGTCTATCGTAAAAAGTTGTGAGAGCCATGTAATACCAAGTCGAATTTAATATAATATGTATTAATTGTGAGATGCATTGTATTTTCATGCGATGGCCCAAGTCAATCCATTTATTTAAAATATAAAAGATTTTTAATACTGATATGGTTAAGTTATGTTTTTGATGGCATTATCCATGTTTACTACAGAATATTTAAAATATATAGGTACATAATGTGAATTATTATATATACAACATGTAACAAATACCCTGTGGTTCCCGTTAGGTGTGTTATCAGAATCAGTATCCAAGTGTATAGAAATTATTATATAGTTAATTATATAAAATTATTTTAATGAAAAAAAATTAATTTCCTAATTGTATTTGGTTATTTCCTCTAACTCACACGAGTATCGGTAATGCGGGGTCTTTGACAATCCTCTTACTCCTCGGCCAATGCAGAGATAATAAAATCACATACAATTTACAAATTAATTTTTTTAATGAAAATTAAGTTTTTTAAATGTTTTTTTTTTGAAAAAAATTGTTTCTAAATCTTGGATACTGACTCTGATAACGCAGTTAACGGGAACCACAGGGTTTATGTTACATGTTGAAAAAAAAAAAAATATATTATATATATATATATATATATAACAAAAAATAATAACATATACATAGAAATATATATTTATATGTATATATGCATGTATCACATACATACAACCGTTTATGTCGACAGCTAACACGGTGAATTAGGAACAATTTCATTTGTAGGCCATACAAACAATATTATTATGTGCGAATCCCAACTGTATTGCATTGCTGCGCAGTCAAACTTGTATCTACTGCGCTACCGTTCGTTTTACTGAACTGTTTCAACACTAATTTTACAGATGATCGAATTGCCATATCAAGAACACGGTTTTCGTATGGTCGTGATTCTGCCTAACGAATTGGACGGTCTATCCTCAGTCCTGGAAAAAGTTGCCGAGAAGGGTCTTTTAGACGACGTGTTCGCTTTAAGCCCAGCCGGAAGGATAATCAACTTGTACTTGCCCAAATTCGAAATTAAGAGTAAGCTGGACTTCACTCAGATATTGCCTAAGGTTCGTAATGCTCTTATAATATTACCATCATCTTTTCAACTCGGTGGCTCGTTACAGAGAAAATGCTAAAGCAATCGGAAATACGATCAGTTTTTTTATACAAGTAGAGTAACAAACGAGCACACAGTTCACTTGATAGTAAATTGACTTGGTTGAAGTTGCTGTAGCCCCTATGCAGGTAACTTATGTTAATATAAAAATAAAACACGTATAAGGATTAGAAGAAAAGGATATGTGGAATAAAAACATTGCCCACCTTTACAGCTGGGTGTGAGCGGAATATTCAGTGATGGAGCTCCGGGAATCGTAAAGGAGCGGGAAGTTATCGTCTCGAAATTTTTCCAAGAGGCCATTGTAAAGGTCGACGAAGAAGGTGCTACTGCGGGGGCATTTACTGGTAAGCTTTTTCGAGTTACAGAATTAGTTCTTATTAATATCATAGTATTATAATATATGGTAGTCGCTTGCCTTATGTTTCAGTAAATAAGGAAAAAAGGAATTCCTACTATGATACATAATATGCAATTTTAATTGAAAATTAGCGTATTTTAAGCGACATTTTTATACCAGATGCCAAGTTTGTTGAAATTGGTATTTGGATTGGATTTTTAGAATGCTTTATATTAAAAGAGATAAAAATATGATTTAGGTACTTAATCGTCGGGAAAAAGTTAGACGTTTTATTTCCTATTTTCAGGCGATAACCATATACTATTTTCGATAATATGAAAGGCATGTTATTGAATTAGATTCTTAATCGCCTAAATTTTTTTTAAATTTCAGTTCTTTGTTTCCTGATAATAACGTTACTTAAAAAACGTTCAGAAAAGATTTTTTTCTATCGATAATCGCACACTTATATCATGCTAGACAAATGGGCATGCAGTTGTGAAGGGAGTGTATAAAGCCATTTAAAGTCATAAATCTTAAAAATTAAATAATAAATGAAAGAGGAAAAACGGATTAGTAAGCTGAAGTGGCAATGGGCCGGCCATATAGCTCGAAGAACCGATAACCGATGGGGAAGAAAGGTTCTCGAGTGGCAGCCTCGTACCGGTAGGCGTAGTATAGGGCGACCCCCCACTAGATGGAGTGACGACCTGGTAAGATATGCAGGAAGTCGATGGACGCAGGTGGCTCAGGACCGTGCTTTGTGGCATTACTTGGGGGAGGCCTATGTTCAGCAGTGGACTTGTGAAGGGCTGTGATGATGAAATGTAAGAGCATTACTTATTATATTATCATGATGTTTTAGCTTCCTGATTAATGTCTCATAATAAAACAATTGAAGGCTTTGATCAGTCACACAATATTCCCAAAGCGTCCTGTGAATTCTTCCATTCATTAAAAATGTATTTAATCAGTTCAACACCAGTATCAGTTGTCGGGTGATAGAATAAAGTATTAAGGAACATTAATAAAATTATTCTGTATGACCGCGGCCCTTCCACGGTCCAGCGGACTCATTCATGCTATAACAATAATATAGCCGAAGTGTGGCTTTACTACATTAAAAACGTGACTACCTATATGCGAATTCATTGTTAATTTCTAGATTATACTTTTATAATATGAAAATAAATATTTTGTTTTATTTCTACAGGAGCCGTTCCAATACCAATGTCTTTAAATTCTAAGCCACCACAACCTATTGACTTTATAGTTGACCATCCTTTCTTGTTTGCTATTCTACATGAAGATGTGATACTCTTTACTGGTATCTATACTCATTAAGAGCTTACTGCAAAACAAATTTGTAAAAAATAAAAAATATTTAAAAACGTTGTATTTTTATTCCTTTTGAACTTCACATAATGGTATTATATATATATATATATATATATATATATATATATATATATATATATATACTAGCTTTTTGCACGCGGTTTCACTCGCGTAGGCTTGAAATTAGAAACATCGATAATATCTACTACAGTACTGTATTTCGTACTAAAAATAATGTTATACAAAACTGCATCACTTGTAGAGACACGTCGGTGTTTGTGTCTATATTGGCAATATTTTATTCTACAGAAACGCATAAGTTACATTATCAGAATCGCATAAATATCATACGTCAAGTAACACCTTTTTTATATCGAGCACTTCTTCCAATGGGCCTTTATGACGGGAAAATTGTCCTGGAATCGGAAATGCGTTAAAAATGCGTATAAAATTCATTATCAAATTTAATACAGGAGCGAATCCTGTGATTCGGCATACTCAGTTGATTCCCTTGGCGAAATTTATTTATACATATTTTTAATAAGTAACAACGTAACATAAAATTTAACTTAAGTATAAACACATAAACGAATAGGCATCCCTTTTGGCAGGATGGTTCCCAAAATATAGCATTTAAATTTTTTTTGGCCAGGGGAATCAATAAAAGACGACAAGGGAATCAAAGTTGAAACAAGGTTTATAAGAAAATCAAGTTTTATTATAACTTTTCAGTAGGTAGTACCTCTATATAGTACTAAACAGTCTTTTAGTTGCAGAAATTGGCACATTTTGAGCTTTGTTTGCGTGACGAACAAGTACATTAAGATATTCATATAAATTGTTCATATTAATAAAATTTGTAGTTTTCAAATAGCACGCAGGCAAGTCGCGCGAAGTAATAATAATGAATGATTTTTAATCGATAAGACGGGCAAAAAATATTTTTTGAAATAAAAAATTATACGTTTTAATTAATAACAATGAAATAAATAAATAATGATCATTAAATCCGTTCCATTAACACCCGACCACAAATCCTTAAAACTCAAATTACATTTTTAAACGTGGTCAGGGTAATCAAAGACCCAGCGAAACAAAACTAGGGGAATCATATCTCTACCCTCGTAATTTCGTCCTGGACCAACGAGCTCCGTAATCTTCCGCAACTACGTTCGAAGCGCTACTACTCGTAGCAGCGTTCATGCGACGACGCGGAGGCACTCCTCTGAACATTTTACTAGGGATGTATAGTTGCCGACACGAGTGGTGAACACAGATAAACTGTGGTGGGAGGTAGGTACACTGTCGGGCAAAATTATTGGATACCTTTATTATTTCAATTCGTAATTTAATATTTTCGGCGACTTTTATGAAAACGTTTACTCGAACACATCAACTTTTACTTTGATACATTAATGTTGCGGATATTCGTGTCCGTTATTTTATTATCAACTATAAAGTGTTTAATGTATACCTGGTGGTTAGAATTGATTATTTTATTAAGAAGAAGGAAGAGGTGATATGCCTTCCATAAAATCTGGGGTTGCGGTGCGCCGTACTTTACTACTGAGACATTAGTCGCCTCAGCAGTCTGTTTATATACGTCTATGATGTTTTTCGCAGTACCTAATTTTTTTATGTAACTAAACACTGAATAGAAAATTTGTCGGGATTGTCTATTTAACACCGAATTCTTCCTTCTCTGCATATTTAGACCAAAATCTGAACACTCAAATTATAAAAAGAAAAATAATTAAAAACAAGAAATAACAAAAACAATTAATAACAAGGAATACACAAACAACAATTAACAACGAGCTAACAAAAAGAATTAACGTAAATAAACTTATTAAAAAAGTTATCACTAAAATTATTGCTCTGAAGTGTACGGAAGCCGAATGATACGTTCAAAAACAATAGACGACGAGAATCGACTGATGAACCAATCACGTTGAACGTCAGCGTGGTCAACGTCGTATCGACCAATAAAAAGTGTGCTCACGACTTATGTCGGCGGTTGTTTCGAAGATAGACGACTTATGTCGGCTATCTTCGAAACAAGCGTACCCTCTACAAGGCTTCGAAACAAGCGTACCCTCTACAAGGTATGTATACGACCAGTCATGTCCTACGCGGGCCCCGTCTTTGCCCACGCAAACCCTAACATTTTAAATGAACTCCAAATAGTTCAGAACCTCTTCTGTCGTCGAGCTGCGAACGCACCGTGGTACGTCCGTAATGCCGACCTTCATCGGGACTTAGAGCTCCCAACAATTCAACAATTTTTTAAAAAACTCTCTGAGAACTTCTTCAAAGCCTCAGAGTCGCACCCAAACCATTTAATTCGTGAGGCAGCTTATTATGCAGCCCCACCCCCCTCTCGCTATCGTGTCCGCAGGCCGAGAAACTCTCTCTCGGACCCGCCTAATAAACTTTCAAACGACCTGAACTGTCTCCTGGCGGCTCAGGCCAACTCTAATTAAATAAAATTATTGTAATATCTAACATTAATTTGCCTTCGTAGGCACTCCCTCAGCGGCACTTAGCCGCCTGCGCCCTCTTTTCCCAAAAGAGGGTCGCTCATGATAAGGCACAATAGAGCTTAATCAGCCGGTTGCCTGTCCCCAAAGGATTGAAAAAAAAGAATCACAAGTTTAGTCTCGGACGAACTTTATATTATAATTCCTTATAAAACTGTCATAAATACACATACGTTATTATTTTTATAAATCAACAACAAACCTGGTAGCAATTAGACCGCATTATTTATTTAATTTCCGTTCATAAGTAAGTGTTTTGTTGGTAAATGTGAAGCGAACGCGCCAGGGCAGGGTCTTTTTTTATAGAATAGGGTGACCAACGAGCACAGAGTCCACCTGATGGTAAGTATGTGGAGTGTAGAAGTAAGGAGTACAGACTTTGTATTAAAAAGTGTCCATAGAATATCGTTAAATAAGGGTGGCGCCACTATAACTACGGGATATACTTTAAAAAACGCACTGAAAAATATTAGTGAGATAGACGACTTTTTCGAGGTTATACTTACTAAATAAAATTATTTTAGATTTTAGAGCTACTGAGCAGTTCAGCAGCACACTTAAACCGTCGACAACTGCTAAGTTCATTTCATCCCAGTAGCTACTCCAAAGTTGTGGAGAGTTTTCGAGTTGTTATTTACGGCTTACAGATGGCCACTTTTCAACTATTCTACTATGGGAGTTGGTACTCCTTGCTTCTACACTCCACAGGTAAGTAGTTGCTGTAGCCCATAGATATCTACATTTATCCTCGATTAAAATCAAAACGCAGATGCGTTGTCACCCCTGAGGACTAAGATGGAATGCCTCGTTTCCAGTAAAAAAGGCTTTCCGGATCTCTACATTCACCATACGAAACACAGCAGTATTAAGCAGCTTTTTTTCTGTGAGAGCGTGGTACTTCCCCGGTCGAGCCGACCCATTCGTGCTGCAACCATAATATAATTGCAGCGTGGCTCTACCACCTATAAAAATCCAATCAAGTTGCATTGCGGAGTCAGACAGGGGGTTGGTATATCCCCTAAACTGTTTACAAATGCACTGATGTATTTAAGACGCTAGACAGGAAAGGGCTTCCTGTCTCCCGGAGGGGCGAAAAGTGGATTGCGGAAGCCCGTCTGGCTACGCTGAATGTATGTGGAGCAATGAATGATAAGATGGATGAAGTATGCGAAATGATGAATGATAGAGGAATAGAATATATTTGAGTATTAGAAAATGGTGGATTCGCAGCTCGCACGATTCGATGATCAGATGGCAGCACTGACTATTTAATATAAAATAAGTTTAAAAACATTCCGAAATTCTTATTTTATCAGTTTATGTGAGTTAGTGGTCAACTACAGGTATAAGGTCAACTATTGGTGCTGTTACCTTAAGAAGTTTTACAATTAATACATAATATCTTTAATTGAACTTTATTACACTACATACTCGTAGTAAGTAGGGAAAATTATACAAGTTGTAATACTATACATGCACATATATAATGTTAAATAACAGTGTTTTGACGATATACTATTGATATAAAAAATAAGGCCATGTGAGCCTTGCTTGTCTGGCACTTAAACCAGGAAAAATCAAAACACGTTATCACTTAAGGCATCAACTAGGCTTGGTTATTAATTTCAATTATTTAACCACCCATATTTGCTATTAAAATTCAACAGGCTTCGACAAAACAATTAGTTTAAACCGCATATTTATTTTCGTTTTTGCATTATTGTTTTATGCAAACCTTCATAACTATTTTATTTATTCGTTTACTAGCTGTTCCCCGCGACTTCGTCCGTGTGGAGTTTATTACGGTTGAATTTCATGGGTTTTGATTTTTTTGCGCGGGACCATATTTGATTTTTCAAATAAAATTAGCCCAAGTTACTCCTTATAACATCAGCTATCTGCCAGTCTGGCAAAGTGAGATGATGTTTTCATAAAAAGAATAGCAGTTCCTCTTGATAGAACGTTTAATTTACGTCAATTATGAGGGGTAAAATTAAAACTTTTGTACAACCGACTCCAATACGACCAAATCAATTTTTTCGAAGTCAGTTAAATACTAATCATTAAAGATAACTTAAAAACTACTGGTCTGATCTTGATATAAATTATACTGAATCACACGAAAAGCACCAGCTTTCAGATAAAAAAAGAATCATCAAAACCGTTTTTAATTCGGTAAAAATAATTTTTTTTTTCGCTGAAAGGAAGACAATTTTGAATTAAATTAAAGTTATGCGTTGCGAAATAATGAGCTACGTAATACGAATAAAGAATTACATATTGATTGCTTGTTTTGATATAAAAGCATGTGGTGTTACATATTATGTTGAGGACATATGGCACGATAAAGCCTAGAAAGAAAGACATTTTTCTGAAAGTGTATGCTGTTGGCCCTGCGGCCACTACAGCTTCATCGAAATAGACTCGTGAGTGAGGACCCACGAGCTATTGAGTGCAACGGTTCTGCAGTCGGCGAGGCGGCGTCGCCTCAGTCAGTACAGTCCCCAGGACAGACTATAGACCCCGACTCCTGCTTTTGGTGTGAGGCTCCTCAAGCTAGGAGGGAGCCCGATGTGATTACCCTCTGAAAGAAGAAGAGGGCCCCTCTGAAAGAGGTACGAACCTCTTCTTGAACCACTATCGTAATGAGGGGAACAGGTCACAACTAAAAACGTCCCGTATCGCGGTTGTTGAACCTCGCATACGGGGTGTGTACATGACTTCGCGCTCGCCGGCCAGTGCGGTGTGCTTGTACTAGTGTAATGTCTGAATGTGAAAAAAAAAAAAAAAAAAAGGGGAAAAAAAAAACAAAAAAAAAAAAAACCCCCACAACCCCGTCTCAATTTCTCCCCCCCACAAACAAAACTAAGTGTTGTATCAATACAGTTACCTTCTACTGAGGGAGTCCAAGAATATGTTAATCCTGTCCCCCCTGGACAGGATTAACCTATTCTTGGAGGATCTGTGATCTCATCATCGGGGTCTAGAAGAACGTTCTTGGGACGTCCCTTGGTGGGGCAGCATCCCCATCCGGGGAGTAAGCACCTGCCTCCACCACCACCGGATTTTGATTCTCCTTGATCGAATCGAAGTATCTTAAGGATAGTTCCTTAAAGGATAGTTCCTTAAGATACGAAGAAATTATGTGTAATTTGAGGTCACGGTGGAGATCCACGTTCCTCACATAGAATGGAGCTCCTGTGATACGACGCAAAAACTTATTTTGGACGACTTGAAGTCGCCAAAATTGCCAAGGGTGAGCATATAAATATTCAGAAGAAAAAAAATAAAAGAGGTGGCACCAAACCTAATATGGTTTTGGGAGTCGTGTAGAGTTGTTCAACTCGTATGGGTAATTAACAACGTTGAAATTTAGTCTCAAAATATATTATTATTAATTGATGAAAGAAGTAATTATTTCACGAACAGTATGTTAATTTATGTAACAAACAATGCAGGATGATTTTATAAAATATTACGACTAGCAATATGCAAAAACGTTTAATTTATTGGTATAATGTCGAAATAATAGTAAAATACATGTAAGAAATTTAATTTTAATTTTTTGTGATAAATTTTTTTAATTTGTGAATTAAATTATAATATTGTTTAAGACATTTCTTGTTTATTGGTTAAAAGTGAGTTAACAAAGTTTTCAGTCGACATTTTAAGTTTATGATTCTAAGAATTAGCTCGTAAAATAGGATATTTTGTTTAATATCTTTTTATTCTTTAATGTGATTTTAATGTTTTAATTATTATTGTAATGCGTCTTTAATGTATTTCATGTAAAACTTAATTGTATTGATTATACAATTAAGTATATTGATTATATAATTAATTTTATTGATTATACGATATGATATATCGTTATGAACAATAAAGATATTGGGTAATAAATGCAGATGTTATAGTGAAAATTAGCAGCTAGCTTAGACCGTAATAGCCTTTTCGGTTCTCTTTACGCTTTAGCAGCAACCCTGTTATTAGAGTGAACACTAAAGGATCTTAAAATAAAACAGCAATTTCTTACAACCGTGGTTAACTATGACATTGGGACGTCGGTCACATTATTACCCCCCCCCCCCCCGTGACCATGGGTGCTGTAAAGTGCTCGAAACTTCGCGACAAAATCCGTAAAACCTCTTTTATAAGTAATTTTACAGCAAAGGTAACCAAATCATAACATTGACAATATTAACTAACGTCTGATATCATTGAAAAGTATTCGCGTACCAATCCTCTAAAGGTGACTGCCTTATATTGTATCTATCTATCTATCTAACCTATGGATATGGATCCTATTGATGTCCCTCACATTACACTTGACTGATGGTAAAAATTAAGTAATCTTCTTCGGCACCTTGAACTAAGTTTTAACGGAAGCATGCTGCAGTATGTAGCCAATCTTGTCAGTGAAACGTCCGACATATGGCAATACAGCAGGCATACGCTCGACTGTGGTCGGCTTCACTCGTTCCCTGTGACGTAGCAGCGCAGAAGCTTGTTCTCGTGCAAAGATCGGCGGCCAGGTGTTTACGGTCACAGATCTCTCTGCTCTCGGAAACAAAGATTTACCCACGCTAGCTAACTTTGAGGGATGGTGGTGATAATCACCGTTAAAATATCTATATGTGTAGGTATTTTTTCTATACACCTTGTGGCTCAAGGTGTTAGTACACACTGTGTACAGAAAAAAGACCCATACAGATAGATGTTGAGATTCAGGTAGTAGATCATTTCGAATTCGTTTTTTTTTTATAGTACTTAAGCCAGCGCTTAACTACTATCCCAGCAGATAGTAAGTGGTGATACAGTAGAAGGTGGTAAATCGCACTGAATTATTAATTGTGAATTGAAAATTCAATTATTATTTGTTAATTGCAATTCTAAGTGCTGATTTACCACGTGCTCGGCGGTGAAGGAAAACATCGCGAGAAAACTTGAATGTCACAGAAATAAGAAAAAACATATTTCGAAGACATGTGAAGTTCGCCAAAACGCATTGGGGCACCGCGGCCGACTATTTCTTGCCCTAAAACCCTCTCAGAAATGAGAGGAGACCTGTGCCCAGCAGTGGGACGTATATAGTACGGCTGTAACTTTCCTTTTTTACTTTTTACTGAATTATTAAAAGTCTATTGACTGTTGCCTCGAAGACACCCACAATTTATCCCTATGAAAAGACAGATGCTGGCAAATATACCAAGACTGGAAGCAGCCGTACCGGTCTGAGAAGTCTAGTATAGCGGTTCTCGAACCGCCAGCCATGCGTGGCAATAAAGGCAAATCCTCCCTAAGCCTTGCCGGTAGTTGTCAGGAACACCACGATCGCAGTTGCTGATAACAACGTTTACCTAGAACAAATTGTCCGACAAGTCCCACTTTGACTGAGAGGTCAATTGATGGCTCCAACTACGCTAGCAAACATTTGAGACACTACGACTCATCTTCTCATCGCATATAACCTCTAAACTTCAAAATAAGATAGTAAAACCAAACAGATGTGGCAAAATCTTGTGGCTGTAGCACGAAGGGGTCAGCTCGATGTTTTTACTGGAAACTAATCATTCCATTTTATTCCTCAAGTATACTGCATTTTAATTCTAGTTGATAGATGTATAAGTCTATGGGTCACAGCATATTCATACCATCAGGTAAATTGTGAGCTAGATTGTCACCTATAAACATAATGCAGTGTGACAAGTGACGATAGATGCGCTTGGTAACATATTTTTAACTTAAACACATATATATTTAAAATCTATCCGATTAAATCCAGCTATAGAAATATCTACTTCTTTTGACATACTATAATATGTTATTCATTTAAAGCTAAACATTTAAAACCAGTTCTTATGCAGACGGTATTAATGTTTGATCCGCCTGAAGTACGTTTTCATTTTATTTTTGTTCTCAACTGAGATCTTTAATAATAAAGCGATTGCGTCCATATAAATAAGAATTCGCCTTGGGCCCGTTTTAATAGCTGGGACGCATCAGTAGAAGTCATTACCTTTTGGTTAAGAGCTTAAGATTTACAAAATCATAATTTATTTATTACAAAAAACATTCAGATAACTCTATATCTTAAATGTCTGTAGCAATTAAGATAACGAGGTGAAAATAAATGACTAGTCCGTTTTAAACACATTAAAAAGGTTATTTAAGACAAAGTGGACGTGTTGTTTAGTCATTGCGTCAGTAACTAAGCAAGATGAGGCGTCTTATTATCCTTTTAGTGGGTAAGTAAGAAACGTTATTGTTGTTTATAAACATATTAGTGTTGAATAAAATGAATTTTACGGGTTTTATTGGGTTTTATATTATTTATAAAATAATAGTTATAAACGAGCACAGTCGGCCTGATGGTAAGTGGATGCTGTAGTACATAGAAATTTATATTAATGCTCAATTAAGAAATAAAAGGCAGATGCGATATCACTCCAGAGTATTGAGATATAATGCCTTATTTCCAGTAAAAAGGGCCTCCGTTTATCTAAAGTTACCATACGAAAAAGCAGCATTCTGCTGCTTTTCACGCGTCGGGAATTCAAAATGAGTAAAATTAAAAACGATAAAATCCGCAAAGTTAGTTTTATTTAATGTCTTGTATTTGCGTAAATATAAAAAACCATAAGTACTTATTAGTTGTTAGCAATTTTATTGTTGTATTTATAAATTTAAGCAAAACACCACCGACTCAATCACTCATCACGAGATCTCATATATCCCTGATTGACTTTAAATTCGAATATATATATATAATCTTCTCTAGGATTGTATGGAATTTCTATCCAAAGCGGTCTTTTGAGGTGGCGCTGTTGTCGAGGTCCAGAAATTGCCCATGCAAAGCCGAGGCGGTTCTCTAGTTTTTAATAGAATAATTATCGTATAAAAAGATTATAGATTAGTGTTGGAGCTGTTTGTCCTTATATTTCATATATGGCAGACACCTACACCCAACCTCTTATAACTAAGGCTACAAATGCATTAACACCTGACAGAAACAGGGAAAAATACTTAATAGATTTACGAATTAAATGTTTAAATAAAACCAGATCCGGGAGACAAACAAAGCATATTAGTAGGCACTTAGAGATGGATGAACTTTGCTAGCAAAACTGGTTTCTAAAGTTAGTATAGGTGAGTAATATAAGATTTGTTTACAGCTATATGTTGCCAACCAAAATAGATACTAACCGGTTTTTGTTTTTCATCAACGTAATTTTGAATGATGTTTTTAAATAATTAGAAGCAATCTAGGTAATTAAAAACAACAAAATAAATTATTTTTTACTAAATTTATTCATTACGTAAGAAAATAGGGTATGCACTTTCATGAAGTTTAATAAATTTTATTTTTTTTTGTTCCAAACTATAGTAACAGATGAACTTATTAGTATAATCCCACTTATATCTCACTCCATAACATTTATTTTTGTGTAGTGTTGTTCAGTATGTCTATAAGGGTTATACAAAAGCTCCTAAATAAATAAGCAGCATTGACGACGCATATAGTTTCAATTGCAAGTAATACTCACCGGCTATCTATATTATCACACCACACTTTCTTTAAATTAGCAATCTATATATATATATATATATATATATATATATATATATATATATATATATATATATATATATATATATATAAATATAAAGTAATTAACATATAGAGGTAGATATAAAGTTATTTACATTCAGTAGACAACAAGTGAAGGTCAATGTTAATTCTTAACTCTGAAGAACATATTATAATAATTGCTGAGATCTTGTACAGCATTATGATTTTAAACAAAGAAAAATATTTCTCGAAGATACGCTTTATGATTTTATTTAACGATTAATTAAATATATATATATATATATATATATATATATATATATATATATATATATATATATATATATATATATATAATCGGAATCTCGGTAACGGCTCCAACGATTTTCATAAAATTTTGTGTCCAGGGGTTTTAGGGGGAATAAATCGATCTATCTAAGTATTCATTTTTGGAAAATGTCGTTTTATCCATGTTTTCAGGCAATGAAAAACTGCTACAATTTCGTAAGAATGAGAAGGTAAATTTTGACAGTGTGTTGATGATTATAATAGCTCAAATGGGATATCGGGCGGTCTTGCCATCGTAGTAAACGTTTTAAACGCTTTAACACAGTTGACGATATACTCTTATGTATTCTGTCTAATTAATAGTAATAGTAATAGTAAATTTTCTCCCTTGGTTTTGGCATGGTTTTCCACTTCGTGACCGCCGGCATGAAACTTCTCAGTGGTTCAGTCTTGATTTTGGTGTATCTCAAGGTGGAATAAAATATATATATATATTATTTTCGATTCTCATAAACTATGTATTCGCCGTCGTTGTTTGTTTGTACCATCTATATGCTCATGATCTCCAAATATATGTGCAATCTGATATATATAACATACACGATGCTATTTCTAAAGAAAACTATCATTTAATAGTCATTTATGACTGGTCATCACATTTTGGCATTTCTGTCAATCCATCTAAATGTGAAGCAGTGCTTGTTAGCAGCTCAAGAATGCTGGCAAAATTTACATCAGTTGCTTGCCACCCGTCCCGTTCTATGTCTGGGTAAAAAATTTGGGACTATACATGGATAAAATGTTAAACTGGGAAAAACAAGTCACTGAGATCAGCTGGTAAGTTACTGCTGCCTTAATATCGCTCGACCATCTGAAAACCTTTTACCATACAAAACTAAATATATGCTTTTTCAAACACTCATCATGCCTGTCATTGATTATGCAGATGTTTGTTACTCACATTGGAACCAGAATCTTCTCAATAAGCTTGAGTACCTTCTTAATAACTAGATCAGGTTTATTTTCCGCCTTCGAAAATATGACCACATCTCTCAATTTTGTATTCGCCTTAAATGGCTTACTATCCGAGAAAGGCGCCCTTCCAGAATATTGTCTGCTCTCTACTCCATTTTAAATGATTTATCATCCCATATATGATATGCTGTTTTATATATATATATATATATATATATATATATATATATATATATATATATATATTTATATATATATATATATATATATAACATTACTTTCAGTAAGTATTCAAAGTATGACCACACCTAATTTTTGCAGCCGCAATGGCGAGTTCGGAAGAATTCTTTTTCCTTGGCCATGAGTTTTCCAGAACTCCACTGGGCGATCGGATAGACAAAGCGTCTGTGAAAATGCTCAAGGTAAGTTATCACTTATTAGTTAGTTTTCCATCAGTTCAGTGTCAGCTTCTTTCCGTTATAGCAGCATGCCGAGAAAGACTGTAGTTCATTGGACCACCTATTAACATATTATATAGTGTGTTGTGAGGATGAGCAACACAAGCTAGTATTCTGAAGCCTTGAAGTTCATTACCTCAAGAAACACCCAACAAAATCTACCGAGGCGTTGCTCTGAACATAGAGATATATTGCCCACGTTGTGAAGGCCCTGTCTTAGTTCCAACTTAAAAAGCGATTATGCGTTTCATTAAAAGATATTTTTTTACTGTTTTGAGTAAGAAATATAATAACTCAAGGTAAACTCGAATTTTGTCAGTCAGTAACATCTAAAACACCTAATTTAACAATAAACGAGTAATTAAAATAGGTTTGGTCATTCACGAAAACAACATACAACAACAGATATTAAATGCTTTTTTTTTATTTTTTTTAACATTGCGATTGCTGATTTAAAAATAATTACAACTAGAATGTCGTCTAAATAGATTAAAATAGATGATATTTAATTTAAAAAAAAAACACATGTGCAAATAATAGAACTAATCTTTTGGAACTTGGTTAAAAAACTACGCATTGATAGTAGACAACACAGAAATCTATTATTTAGATTTCTGTGGTAGACAACAAACCCTAGCTAGGCCTTGTCATAGTGAAGAAATACTAAAAATGTCAGAACTTTAAAATAAGTTAATCGCGATAAATTCGTTAAATTAGTTTTTAAAAAGTAAAGAAAAATCTATGTATACATGGTACCAGTGATGGTACCAATGGGCGCATAGTCTCCTCTCATTTATTTCGAGCAATTTTTCAAATTAGCTATATTCGACAGTATTCAAGTGAAGTGACATTGGATCAATTCTTACAGGAGGCCTATCTATCAGCCACGGACTCTAATGTAGTCACGTCGCCACTGGGAGCATTAATGCTTCTGTCACTCTATTCTGCTGGTACCCAGGATAAGAACAGAGAGGAAATCATGCAGTTTCTTGGTTCAACAGAATACAAGGAGGTACGGTCCATTTCCGCATTTTGTATTTATATTTATAAATACTCACGAAACGCGTGCATATTAATAATATTTTTATTTATTATCTCTTAATTAACCAGGTGATTTTTTTACCGCGATGAAAGTGTAAGGTGAAAAAATAAGGTATAATAAGCCAGTAGGTGTACTCAACGCGTAATAACGGTGTAAAAATATCCACTGCTCCATAACGTCTCGTGGGTGTCGTAAAAGGCGGCCGAACAAAAAAGAAAAAGGAAATTGGCAGCAGCATTTCCAGATAACAATTTAAAAACTAAAAAATTGCGGTTTGCTATCCTGCTTGCCTAGGCTGGTAACAATAGTAAAATCCCCTCTATGAGACAATGTATGGCGGTGGGCTTAGTTCAGCTGTGGACGTTATAGGTTGTGGTTTTTAAGTGGCTAATAGGAGAATGAAATAGAAGCTTTTGAAGAAAAGAAAAAAAAAAGGAAAAAAATTGTTCTTCTTGACTATTTATTAAATTAAACCATCATGAAATACCACTAATTTGAAGTAAACTTTTTATCTACTCACCGCGGCGGCGGTTCAAGTTAAAGGGCGTAACACTTTCAGCAATACCTGATACACGTAAAGTAAAATGCATATGATATCAATTTAGTTGTTTTAATTATCTCTCCTAAAATTTCAAAATTAAAATTTCTTTTACGCATTTCACCACGCACGTTGCATAAGAGGCCGTCAGACCATTTTGGCATTTTGTATATTCACCTCTAACTACATCCACGACACGAAATGAGGCGGTGAATCACTGATACAAACGTAATTATGTACTACCTTGTCGAACTAGCTCTGATCGGCGTTAGAAAAATATCTACGGGTGAAACCTATGTAGAGAAACATGGAAAGTTAAAAAAGTTTTCGGTAAAGACCGAAATATCACATTTCATACAACTTATTAGGATCCCTTTTTTGAAACAAGTTTGATTAGATTTTGTTTTGTAGAAGTAGGGTATCAAATAAGCACACAGTCCACCTGATGGTAAGTACATGCTATGACCCACACTCACTTAAATATATCATCTATTCAGAATCAAAATGCAGATAAAATTATGGGATTAACAAAAAATAATTAATAAAGGATTGTTCACGTGTGTTGTCAAGCATACTTAATATACATCATACATAGAGCAACACCGGCCACCGGCAGATCAGAGGGGATTAGTAATACGCAGATAATCCCTCCGTTAAAGTAGTAAAGTCTACGCAGTCCTTTACTTACAATAAAATTAGTTTTAGACGCACTGCTCACTAGGCCTACAAATATATTGATCTGTGCACTAGACTAAATCTAGTTGCACGGCTAAACCGATGTGCTGCAATATCATTCAAAAAACTAAACAAGTCCTCACGGACTTGTTTAGTTTTTTGATGCATAAGAGATCTGCCACATCAAATTTACAAAAAATGGCGTTACCTTTAAGTTATATAGATATAGATAAGTAGTTTTAATGAATAACTCACAGGAATTTACTTCAAGGATATAGTATTTTTAGCTATTCGATTCGTATAGCCACTTAAGCAGCAGATTTGCTTCAATGGATCCGAGTTACCTCACTCTCGCCAACAAAGTGTTCGTGGCTAAAGGATACACGCTGGCCGACGAGTTCTCTAACACAGCCCGTTCTTACAACAGCGAAGTAGATGCAATCGACTTTCAAGATCAGAAGACAGCCGCACAAATTATTAATCGATGGGTAAGATTATTCTTATTTAATAAAATATTATTAAATTATAATAGGTAAATGTTTTTCTTTGGCTATGGATATGGCTAATGATACACAATTCCAAAATATTATGAAATTAATATGCTTGACATATATGTTTCTCCTTCATACACGCTTTAACGATTAAACATAATATTGAAATTTAGCATGGAAGTCGATTATGTTCTTAAATAGCATATTGTATTTTATACAATAATCATTACTAAAGTTTTTATGCACAGCGAAGCGGGCAGGTAACAGTTGGTTATATGCTATTAGTATAAAAATGTAATTGTGCCCGTAAAGTCGTTGGTACTACGCATTCGATCGTATACGATCCTCTCCAGTCGTGTCAGATTACCGTCACATTGGACTATGGTTAGGAAATTGATAGTCCACCTGTGCTTACGGACACACTCGTACTCTATAAACCTGACTTGCGCAGACGTCTAGTCTCTATTGAGACTAACCGTCATGATCGAAAATTTGGTCTGAAGGACATATTACATAAAAAAAATTTATATACTTTTGCCCTCAAATCACAGATTTTGGAGTTTAAACATTGCATTCCCATACATGATAATTTTAATATAAGTTTTATTTCTATGCAAAACAATTTTCAGTGTGCCTTATTTAGTAATAAAAAAAGATTAAGAAACGGCTGTCTTTAAAATTCTTAACTACAATTTATTACTAATTTTATGTTTGAGAAATTTGAAGGCACAATGAAATCAATTTTTATTTCTATCTTTTCCACAGGCAGATGAAAAGACAAAGGGCCATATTAAAGACCCCGTATCAGAAAATCTTTTGGACCCATCAGCAGCGGCCGCGCTCTTCAACGTCATATTCTTTCAGGTACCAAATGAATCTCGTTATTGAATCTAAAAACCTGTAAAAAGAGAACCACTTAACATCACATGAGGTTTTCACTGCAATGAACTGCATCTTTCCAGAACAATGTGTGTATTAAAAATTGTCCTAGCTCTTAGAGTTGAGCCTTAACGGTATACAGTTAATGTATAACTAATCAATCAAGTCGGAAAATAGTTTATTGTTCGAGATATATATACACTTACCTAAGTAGGTAAGTGTATATATATCTCGAGCCATACATTTTTACGGGCTGTTAAAAAAAGAAATAACATTTTCTTTGATCTCTTAATAAATATACACAAAAAGGGAGAAAAATATGAACATATATATCTTAGACTGCTTACACATTAACAAATAAAAAAACAGTACATACATGCGCAATTAATTAATAATACAACAAAAAATGTGACATTAAATAGGTCTCCAACTCAGCAAAATGCTGCTAAGACAGCGCTGTTGGTTTCGGTATCACTTCACATATATCTTCTTGGTCTGAATTTATTAACATGTACTTAAGCTTCTTTTACAATCTAATATTTTGAATGTTTCATAGGGTCACTGGCATGTTCCTTTCAAAGCGGCAGAGACTGAGGAGAAGGACTTCCACGTGAATAAGTCACTGGTCGTCAAGAAACCTATGATGCACTTACAGGATTCTCTCTTCTATAATGAAGACAACGAAATTGGTGCTAAGGTACATGTTACAACTGTCAATTAATGCACAAAATACTATCAATATTCATTGAACACTGGTACACATCCTTTATATGTACATCACTAGTAGGTAGGGTGTGTACAGCGTTTTTTTATGGTAAAGTGCACGGAGCTATGTAATAAAAACTGTACCTGTGTAATTCATAGGCAAGTAAAATGAATAAATAACTGTTTTACATTGTAATCGCTGTCATTAGTCAAGACAAAGTTATTAATAATTAACCATAATTATATCTATTACCATAATGCATGTCAAACAATATTTTGGTTTAATTAATCTTGAAAATGTTAATATTTATTATTCATATAAAATTTTATCGCTTAAAATCGATGTTATTATTTTAACTTTACGTAATGTTTACTGTTTTACGAGTATCAATATATCGCGTATTAAAAATTCGCGTATTAATATATTTCAGACGTTTACTTTCGCAATGTACTACGAATATATAGATAGAAATAACATACGTTCAGCCTTTTAAGTCGACAACTGAACATGCTGAACAATAATTTGGAGATTCCAACTTGCCGCACACAAACTTTTAGCTACTACGCCATCAAGTCGTTTGTTTTAACAAACTAATTCAACACTAATTTCACAGATGATTGAATTGCCCTACAAAGAATCCGGTTTTCGTATGGTCGTGATACTACCTAACGAAGTGGACGGTCTGTCGTCAGTCCTAGAAAAAGTGGCCGAGAAGGGCCTTTTAGACGACGTGTTCGCTTTAAGCCCAGCGGGAAGGGAAATCAACTTGTACTTGCCCAAATTCGAAATTAGGAGTAAGCTGGACTTCACTCAGATCTTGCCTAAGGTTCGTATTGCTCTTATATTAACATCATGTTCTCAACTCGTTAGCTCGTTATAGAAAAAACACAACAGCAATCAGGAATACAAGCAGTTTTTTTATACAAGTATAAGTGACAAACGAACACATAGTTCATCATCATCATCATTACAGCCCTTTACAAGTCCACTGCCGAACATAGGCCTCCCTCAAGTAATGCCACAAAGCACGGTCCTGAGCCACCTGCATCCATCGACTTCCTGCATTTCTTACCAGGCCGTCACTCCATCTAGAGTACGAGGCTGCCACTCGAGAACCTTTTTTCCCCAACGGTTGTCGGTTCTTCGAGCTATATGGCCGGCCCATTGCCACTTCAGCTTAATAATCCGTTGATCTATATCGGTCACTCGGGTTCTACTGCGGATATCCTCATTTCTACGTTTATCACGCAGAGAAACTCCGAGCATAGCCATCCATAGCTCGCTGAGGGACTTTGAGCGTCCTCATACGGCCAGCAGTGAAGGACCACGTCTCAGTTCCATATGTCATCAATGGCAACACGCACTGGTTGTACAACTTAGTTTTCAGGTTTTGAGGTATACCTGACGAGAAGAGTATCTATTCCGAAGCCCACCGGGGAAATCCTTTCCAGTCCATTAGCTTGAAAACGTCTTCCAATGCAGCGGTGAAGAGTTTCGGGGGAAATAACGTCACCCTGTCTTACACCTCTCTGCAGTTGGATAGGTTTCGTACTCTGGTTCTGTACTCGGATAGCCATCGTGGCCCTACTGTACAAACACTTCAGCACTTCAATATACCGACAGTCAACTGGGCACCGCTGAAGAGACTGTAGCGCCGCCCAAATTTCGACGGAATCAAAGGCTTTCTCATAGTCCACATACGCCAGGCAAAGTGGCAGATAGTACTTTTCGGACTTCTGTACAGTTTGCCGAAGGGTATGTATGTGGGCTATGGTACTAAAGCCTTTTCGGAAACCGGCTTGTTCATGAGGCTGGAAGTCGTCGAGTCTGCGTGCGAGACGATTCGTAATGACTCTCCAAAACAGTACGTAGACGCGGCTCAGAAGGGATATCGGTCTGTAGTTCTTCAAAAGGGTGTTGTCACCTTTCTTGAAGAACAAGACCACCGTAATTCTGCTCCACGCCTCCGGAGTAGTGCCACCATGGAGAACGGAATTAAAGAGCCTCTGAAGGACTTCAAGTACCGGTTTTCCACCCGCTTTCAGAAGCTCCGCTGTAATTCCATCCTCACCCGGGGACTTACCGTTTTTAGGGTTTCGTAGTCAACTAGGAACCTTTATAGTTTCGCCATGTCTGTCTGTCCGTCTGTCCGTCCTCACTTAATCTCTGTGACCGTTAGCACTAGAAAGCTGAAATTTGGTACCAATATGTGTATCAATCACGCCGACAAAGTGGTAAAATAAAAATTGGAAAAAATGTTTTACTAGGGTAGCCCCCCTATATGTAAAGTGGGAAGTGATTTTTTTTAATTTCAACCCTAACGTGTGATATATTGTTGGAAAGGTATTTAAAAATGAATATCGGTTTACTAAAATCATTTTTTGATAATGTCAATAATTTCGGAAATAATCGCTCCAAAAGTAAAAAACAATGTGTGCCCCCCCCCCCCTCTAACTTTTGAACCATAAGTTTAGAAAATATGAAAAAATCTGAAAAGTAGAACTTTATAAAGACTTTCTAGGAAAATTATTTTGAACTTGGATGGAAACAACAGTGCGTACTGTACTACCGGGAGCAGTTGCAGGAGCGCGGAGTGCTGCTGGAGCGCGAACATAATGGATACCCACCTTTAAACTCATAAGTGGGAACACTTATTGTGACGGACGGGAAACTACGGAACCCTACACCGAACGTGGCCCGACACGCTCTTGGCCGGTTTTTAAGGTGCTAGAGAGCCATTCTAATCTCGTTCAGACTGACGTCCGGGATATCATCGGAATAGTGTCGGATAAGACCCGGTCTTGGATCGTTACTCACGCTTGCGTGTGGCTCCAACGATGATGTGTACAGCTGCCCATAGAACCTCTCAATCTCACTCAGAATCTCAGATGTCCCGGAAACGATGCCGCCACACTCAGTCTTCAGCCTTGACAGTTGGCTCTTACTGGCAGACAGATCTCTGGCAAAGACTTTGGAGCCCTGGTTCCGCTCAATCGCTTCTTCAATACGAGCAGTATTAAATTTGCGTAAGTCTCGCCGCATGCATTTGGAGATCTGTCTGTTCAGTTGCCTGTATGCTGTCAAATCTGTTGACGATTGCAGCCTCATCTCCCGTCTAACAGCCCTGAGATTAAGAGTGTGATCGGAGAGCTTTTGTGTTTTTCTGCGGCCGGTCTTGCAGAACTTAGCTCCGACCGCATGTACAGTTTCCAGGAACTTGTCATTCATATCGTCCACTGCATTGCTATCTTCTGGGCACTGAAATCGGTTACGTAACTCGAGCTGAAAGGTTTCGGGATTCTGGATTAGAGCACGAGGGGGACGGAGCGTTGACTTCATTAGACGAGACCTCTCCAACTTAAAGTTAGGTTCAGTGTGCCTCTAACCATTCGGTGATTGCTGCCAGTTTTCACCCTTGCGATCACTGAGACATCACTGAACAGTTGGCGTCTGGTCGTCATAATGAAGTCAATCTCATTTTTTGTCGAACCGTCGGGGTTCAACCAGGTCCACTTCCTGTGGGGCCGCTTCTGGAAGAAAGAGTTCATCATAAAGAATCCCTCTTTCCCCACGAATTCGGCCAGCTGCTGGCCCCTACGGTTCCGTTGCCCTACTCCAAATTTCCCTAACTTCAGCTCACCGCTTTCTCTTGTGCCTAGTTTTGCGTTGAAGCCTCCTATCAACACCGTGTAGTGGGTTTTGGAGGAATGCATGGCTCTAGAAAAATCCTCATACATTTCCTCCACCTCCTCATCGGGATGTGCCGAGGTTGGTGCGTAAACCTGTATGACCTTCATTGAATACCGTTTGATGATTTTGAGTATCAGGTACGCGACCCTCGTCGACACACTCCCAATCTTTACAACGTTCTTGACGAGAGACTTGTGGATGATAAATCCGACACCTCCTTGGGCCAGATGGTCGCCCTCCCGGTGATAGAACAAGTTGCCGGACTCAAGGATTACCGTGTCCTCCCGCTCTCTTCGGACCTCGGATAACCCAATAATATGCCAGCACAACTTTTCTACCTCTTCTTCCAACTCCAGTATCTTCTCGTCAGTCCTCAGGGTGTGTGCGTTATATGTTGACAGGTCGAGTCGTCGTAGGTGGCAACCGAACTTCCACCGGAGATTCTTAGCACCCCCTGCCTCGCCGTTACCATGGTCGCCACCGTAGCCAGGAATAGCGGGGCCACCGGGGACTGGAAGACGTTTGTTTGCGTCGTTACTCATGGGGGGATATTTGCCATAGTTGCCACGCTTGGTGAGCGGGTTGGCAACCGCAGTTTTTTATTATATCATTGCTGTTATAAGGAAGATACTGCAGCCCATCTCCTGTCTGTCTCCCTCTGTCGCCTCTTACGACACCCACGGGAAGATATGAGGTAGTGGATATTCTCAACCGCCACTACACGGCACGCAGTTCACTTGATAGTAAATGGACTTGGTTGAAGTTGCCATAGTCTATAGGCTCTTAAATCTATCCCCGATAAGGATCAGAATGCAGATGAGTTACATGATGTGAGGACTAAGATGTAATGCCCATTGTCAGTCTCCTCTTATTCTCTTAACTCAACATATTAATATGAAACACAGCAGCATTATATTGCTCTTTTCCGCTGGTGTTGTGGTCCATCCCCTATCGAGTCGAACCATTTTGTGTGTGTTTAGTATAGTGCTACACAGTCATACTATACCGAGGCTCTTGCCAATTAGGTGGTAAAATAATCTTCTTCTTGTGGTTGATCGTTATTACTTTTGCATAATGAGATTTTAGCCCGTCTTATATTGTCTTTACTTTTTAGCTTGTACTCGTGTATCACATATTTAGGATTGACTTTGAAAAGTATTGAAAATCATAACAACTTTTATCCCTTAATTCAGATTCATCATAACCGTGGGGTAATATGATAATATAACAATGAATATAACCTATGTAAATGTAGAAATAAAACACGTTTAAAATTAGAAAAAAAAAAGGCATGTAGAATAACAACATTGCACGCTTTTACAGCTGGGTGTGAGCAAAATATTCAGTGATGGAGCTCCGGGAATAGTAAAGGAGCGCGACGTTACCGTCTCGAAATTTCTCCAAGAGGCCATCGTAAAGATCGATGAAGAAGGTGCTACTGCGGGAGCATTTACTGGTAAGCTGTTTCGAGTTAAAGAATTAGTTCTAACTAAAATCATAGTATTATAATATATGGCAAGTCACTTGCCTTAAATTCCAAATATAAGAGAACTATATAATATGCAATTTTAAGTGAATGAGTTTGCATATTTTAATCGGTTAAATTAATCGAATCTAATAATAATAAATTATTACTTCGATTCGATTTACGGGCTCTGCAGCACAGTGGCTAAGCGTTGGGCTATGGCGCTGTTGGTTGCGGGATCAAATCGAATACCGTACGAAACAATTGTTTGTATGGACTACAAATAAATGAGTCCTGGATGTTTGTTCATGGGGTGCAATTTAGTCATATATTATGTTACACAATTAATTACACAAAAAGTTTGAAATAGCTTGATAGCGATCACCTCATTCTCAGGCATTATTATCATCCATAAATTCTTTAATATTTGAATAACCCTTCTTATATAACCTTTGTTTAAAAAAGGTTTTGAACTTCGCAAATGATAAATTTTGTATATTTTCTGGGATTATGTTATAAAATCGAATACATTGACCTATGAATGTATTACTTACTCTGTGGAGTCCAGTAACTGGTATTACAACTAGCTTGTATCTGTTCCTAGTATTTACAGAGTGAATATCACATTATTTTTACATACATACACTACATTTTTGAATACGTATTAAGAGGCCAAAGTCAACATATTAATTTCCTTAATTTTTTATCTTAAAGGCTCTTTGGGTTTTAAATCATAGTGCTCTTATGACCCTCTTATGAACATTCATTCTCAATATCAAAATACTAAACGACATTATGCTTAGATATACGAGGACCCCACTGAAGTTTCGCTTCTAGAGTAATTTAAAAAAAAACAGTGCTTTCAACAAAACTTATTTTATTATAGGAATTGCACGCTTTAATTCTCCCTCTCCTTTCCACCATTGGACGACCAGGCGGTCGGCGGATTTTCACCCCTTTCTTGTCGATATTCCGCGCATTAGAACCAAAAGGCTTACATCGACTATTTTAATGCGTACAGCAAAGGAGTGGAATAATTTGCCGACGTCTATCTTGTCGTCCGAATACAATCTGGGCGTCATCAAGGCAAGAGTGAATAGGCATTTGTTAGGCTAAGACAGTGCGATTTACCATCTAAGGCTGCATCACCACTTACCACCAGGTGGGGTTCTAGTCAAGCACTGACTGATAATACTATATCATGGTTATTCTCTGCTGTTTAAAGTAAGTCATTAATACAGACAAGAAACTGAAAAGGGCCGGGAATTGAGCTCATTTCTACTTTCGACTCGGAAGAACATTTTGTCTACCGAAAGTCGTACGCATACTTCATGTTGGACAAATATGTATACAGCTGTGAAGGGAGCACTTAAAGCCATTTAAATTCGGAAATCTTAAAAATAAAATAATAAATTAAAGAGCGTCTCTTATTATATCATAATGTTTTAGCTTAGTAATTAACGCCTCATAATAAACACAAACAATGGCTTTGAATGAGTCACAAAATATTAGCAAAACATCCTGTGAATTATTTAATCAGCTCAACACTAGTATCAGTTGTGAGCCGAGCCCTTGTAAAACAAAATTAGTCTTTATAAAGTAAATTATTGAGGTACATTATAAAAAATATTCTGTAAGACCGCGGCCCGTCCCCGGTGTACCCGACATATTCATGCTGCAACTTTAATATAGTCGAAGCGTGGCTTCACCTCGTTAAAAACTAAGTAAGTGCATGCAAATTTCTTGTTGGTTTCTGGATTAGACTTGTAAAGAATCATGCCCACTTTCCATACATATAAAAACCTGATAATGAAAGTTTATGTATAGTTGTAAGGTATAGTAGAAAAACTACATGTAAGTTTAGAAAATAATGTCATATAGCCTTTTTTTACGATTTAAACGCTACGAAGCCCAAAAAATATTAAAGTCACTTTTCAGGTTAGGTATGGCGTTACCAAATAGGTACTCAAGAAATTATTTTATTATTTTTAAATAATCTGTACTATACAAAAACTAATAAAAATGCTTACTAATTAAATGAAAGCTAAAATAATGTATAAAACTCAGAACAAATAGAAAGTAAAGTAACAATAAAAGAACGAAAAGGTGAAAATAACTAATACCTTACGCTTCAAAAAGTAAAAAATAAAATAATATACATCGTCATGAAAAAAGGATCTTCTTTTGCCGATAGGAAAACATACACATGGTAAACTTGAAATTCGAGAGTGATGCTATGGCGCCAGATTAGAATATTAAAAATAAATAATTTGTTTCGTTCCTGCAGGAGCCATTGCAGTACCAGCGTCATCCGACTCCAGGCCACCGGAACCTATGAACTTTATAGTTGACCATCCTTTCTTGTTTACTATTCTGCATGAAGACGTGATACTCTTTACTGGTATCTATACTCATTGAAACATTACTGAGAAACAAATATCTTGAATTAAAAATTAAAAATATTTTTTTCAAAAATTTGTGTTTTTATTCCTTTTAAACCTCATGAATAGTATCAACCTATCATATAAGTTATTTCAAACAGTAATTATATTTCTCAAGTTAACATAAGTTAGGCTCATCTTGAAATAATACTAGTTTTTACGGAATTTATCGCGTATATTTAACTTTTTAAATACCTCAAGATACCATATATAAAGACTTTAAGATACCATAAGTCCATACTGCATAGATCGGAACAAAAGTTAAATTTTAATCTATGGTAACCGCGGTTAACTATGACATATGGACGTTGAACATCACAGTCCCGCCCGTGACCATGAGTGCTGTAAAGCGTTCGAAACGTCGGGTATTTAAAAAGTTAAATATACGCGATAAATTCCGTAAAAACTAGTATTATTTCAATGTGTAGTGTTCGCGTAAATATGAGAAATCATTAGGCTCATCTTTATACTGAAGATCATGTTTATTAGCATATATTATTAAATATTGGGAAATTAGCGTTTTGTCGTAATGACCACTTTGATCTGAAATATCCCATATACATTTGAGTTTTGAAAACAGTCATTCATTTGTTTTTCCTCATTATTTTTTCTTTGGCGTCGCTTATTACCGCATAATTGAAAACATGAAATATCGGTATATTTACGAGTACGAGTTCTACCGTGGCACCAGTGCTGCAGAAATATCTCGAAGGATTAATGATGTGTACGGCGCTGGTGTCGCAAAAGAAAGCACGGTACGTTTTTGATTTCAAGGTTTTCTTTCTGGAAATTTTGACCTACAGAACCTACCAAGTGGATGGCCATGGGAAATGAAGAATTAAAGGCTATTGTGGAAGCAGAGCCATCAAAAGCACTTCAGAGATAGCTGCCGGCTTTGAAGTAAGTGATAGAAGTGTAGTAATCCACTTGAAGCAAATCGGGAAAGTAAAAAAACTTGAACGATGGGTACCTCATGAATTGAGTAAATCAAACTTGCAAACACGCGTCGACTGCTGTGTTACTTTGCTTAAAACACACACAAAAATTAAGGGATTTTAAATCGAATCATTACTTGTGATCAAAAGTGGATACTGTACAATAATTGGAAGCGCTAGTCGCAATAGCTGAACCCAAAAGACCCAGCCAAATCCTGCTCTAAACGAAAATTGACTCGGAAATAGTTACTAGTGAGTGTTTGGTGGACTAGCGCCGGTGTCGTTCACTACATCTTTCTAAAATCTGGCCAAACGATTACGGCAGATATCTAGTGTCAGCAACTGCAAACCCTGAAGAAAGAACTAGCTGCTAAACAACCGAGGTTGGTCAATTGCTCTAGGCCACTGCTGCTTCACGAAAATGCAAGACTACACACTGTGCAACAAACAACCACTAAGTTAGATGAGCTACAATTGGAATTTCTGCGACATCTACCGTACCTCCCGGACCTTGCTCCAACAGATTACCATTTTTTCCGTAATTTGGACAATTTATTACAAGGAAAAAAATTCAACTCCGATGCGGGAGTCCAAACCACCTTCAAAGAGTTTATTGATTCTCGCTCCCATGGTTTTTCTTAGTAAACGGATCACCTGTGAGATGGCAAAATTGCGTAGAAAACAACGGTGTATACTTTGATTAATTAAATATATTTTACAAAAACAAATTGACTTTATATTCCTCCCGTACAAAACTCCTACCTATTATACTATATATATATATATATATATATATATATATATATATATATATATATATATATATATATGGGTGTGTATCTAACATAGTTTGTACAGTAACGTTTTTTTATGGATATTATATTACAGGTATATCAATATTTATTTTTATATTCTTCTGAATTAAATACTTGGTATAATAGGTATATATCACGGTTATAATTTATTCCTTCAGATCTCTGAAGGAAGAGTGGAGTATCTGGAGTATCTACTCCAGCCTAATTTAATTTCTGTTTGTTTTTCTCTATACGTATTGATGAAGGGTGTCTATTAATAGAATATTTAATTTAAATTTAATTTTTATAAATGTGTCAATTAAACAAAACAAAATATTTTATTAAAATATTTACGTAATATCCTGTATGGCACATAAAGAGAATATAGCACGCCTACCAGATGTTTTATATAAATGTAAATTGTCAAAAATGTTAAAACAAAAGCTCTTTTAACTCGACTGGGTTTTAATTTTTTGGTATTGTTGCCATTAGTGCCTCCTTTAACTTATTAGAAACTATACCCGTGATAATTGACTTATTGACTATAGTCGTGATTGCTTCCAGAGCAGAGTGCAAGGAAGAGAGAGTAAGATCATATCTCTGCTAATTCCGTTGTGTTTAACAGCATTCGATTTTATGAACATTATATATTTAAAAATATCGATTGATCTCTCGGGAGCTAATTTAAATACATATCAGCTCCCAACTCTAAAAGTATACCTCTCTAAAAGTAAGCACAAACAGATGTGTAGTGTGGGAATTTTCTTTATATTCATTGATTCGTTATCATATCTCAAACACTATTTAAGCTAGTAATTATTATTATCAAAGTGAAATGTTTCACCAGTATAAATACCTCCCTACACTCTTTCCGCCTCTCTCTCCTGAGCCACCTTAGACCATTCCTTCAAGAATGAGTTCAGTTCATCTCTTTGCATTTATTAGGGACACATTGGGTTATCACTTTGAACCATTGGTCATTGGAATTCGGCAGATGTATCAAGCCCAGGCTCATAGGATTTTAAACCGTTATAAATATAATGCAAAGCATTTTAAACATTTAAAACAGACAGTGTGTGAACGTTGTTTTAAAATGTGTTGACTGGTTGGTTACCATACCTCAAACATCATTAAAGCCAAAATTTATTTCTTGATTATTTCATTGGTAATATTACCATATCATGTTAATCTAGTCATTATTTACACACTAATAAATAGTAAGAAAGTAAGATGTTTTAAACTTTTTTTGTAAGGATATCATTTAATAATTTAATTATATTTATTATTGTCCATCACCATTATTTGATAAATATTATTTCTTAAAATCAGCACAGACAGATTTGCACAGCGTGGGGACATTGTTTACATTAATTAATAGTAAATATAAATCCAAAACTATATAAACGCCCAAATAACTTGACAATAATAATAATAATAATAATAATATATAAAAAGGCGTAGGGAAGTGACGACCCCATCGCCCGCTGATATAACGGTTATGTGACAAAACCGCTACGTCGGCGCAGTCAGTCAGCACCTTGCCAAGAGGTGTTAGTGCCGTGCCTCGGCAAAAATTGAAGGTGCCAGGGCCCGCTTGTGCACATGGCCTAACCATGAAACGGCGCCGGGTCTGGGCGTCTCCCGCTAAATGACGCCCTAAAATGGATGATGGAATCAAATGAAACGCGCAAAGGGCCGCTGCCTGGAGGTCGCCAGGGCGCGTCTGGAGCTGGCGCTGGACGCGACAGCATGCGAACCGCCAGCCGAGCGCGAGGTGCTGCACGACCACCTAGCAGCTCCTCGCATCCATCATCCCCACCAGCTGGCTTGGTGTCGGCAGGGTCTTCGCGGGCTCAGCAATCGGCACCCGCCACTGGTGGAGTACGCCGCATGCGTTGGACAACCCAGATGAACAGCAACGCATTGCGGGCGTATTTTAGGGCGAAAGGGGGAGAAACTGGAGGTTTTGCGTATCGGGCAAGGATGCATCGACTTTTTTGCTGAGCTGGAGCCATCTGTAACCGTCACCGAACAAAACCTGGCAGACCGAGTTCGGTATATCTTGCGCTCAAATACATTTGATGTCACCGAACTCGAACGGCTACGACGTGAGGCTGTTCCTTCATCGGGTGAAAATGCTGCGGCTGAGGATGCGGCGCCACAACTTGCTGAGCAAACGGCAAATGTGGATGCCGCCGTGAATACGCCAGTTGTGGTTGATTCAAACGATGATGGAACAGTCGCCCAGGAACTGGAACTAGAGCAAATGAGGAGTACATTGGAAGAGGCGATTGTGGAAACGCGCAGTACGACTCTCGAAAATCGACCGCGACTTCCCCGCTTAGCCCTAAGCAAGCGGAATCGGGCTGTCGTGAGGGCTCTGAACCCAATGCTGGTTACCTATTTGGAAGCCAGCCGGGACCTTTGCGATACGGACTCAATTCTTTTTGGCGCCGCACTGGCAGTCTGCCGTATTATAGGTGCCAAACTTTCCACGGCTGGACGCGCTACTGGACAAAGTAGTGCTATCCCAGCCTGGAGAATAAGAATTGAAGAACGTATCGCAAAGGCTAGGGCCCTCATCGGCAGACTGATATGCTTCAGGTCAGGCAATACCAGGCCAAGGATTGTGCGCACCGTCAGGATGGCGTTTGCTGGGATAAATGTTAGTTTGTCCCAGCCGGATATAATGCAAAAACTGACGGAGCGCATAGACGACCTGAAGCAAAGAATAGCTGCTTGGGGAAAGCGGATTCGGCGATATACCGAGAGGTCGACACGGTTCAACCAGAATCGTCTCTTCCAGAGTGATCAGAAGAGGCTCTATAAATCATTGGAGCGACCAATAGTAAGTGGAACGGGCCCTGCACCAAATCAGGCCGACATGGTCGCATTCTGGCGCAGCCTGTGGTCAGAGCCCGTAAACCACAGCGAGGGCCCTTGGACGGAAGTTGTGGCGAGTCAGTGTGCGAGTATTACGCCCATGGACCCCGTCATCATAACGCCGGATGACGTAGCTGAGGCGGTCCGTAGGGCCCCGAACTGGAAAAGTCCGGGGCTTGACGGGCTGCATCACTACTGGCTGAAGGGGTTCATGGTGTGTCACTCTGTGCTCGCCCGACAGTTTCAAGAGGCTCTCAACCAGAAGTCGCTCCCAAGCCTCTTCACTACTGGGATCACTCATTTGGTTCCTAAAGATCAGGGTGCCACAGACCCGAGCAAATACCGCCCCATCACGTGTCTACCGACCATATACAAGACACTAACATCCATTTTGAGCGCAAGAATCGCTCGTCACCTGGACTTAAATCAGGTGATGTCGCGCGCTCAAAATGGATGTCGGGGCGGCGGTCGTGGAACCAAGGAACCACTCCTCATTGACGCGGTCATTGGCAAAGTGGTGAAACGCAACCGTCGGAACTTCTCTGCCGCCTGGATAGATTACAGAAAGGCATTTGACTCGGTGCCCCATACATGGCTAAAGAGGGTCCTCGAGCTGTACAAGATTGACTGTACAGTTCGAGACTTCCTCGAGCAGTGTATGGGGCAGTGGAGTACGATCCTCTGTCATCTAGGCGAGCGGATGACGGCTGCGGAAAGCCGCATAAGGATAAGAAGGGGTATATTCCAGGGCGACTGTCTGAGTCCAATTTGGTTCTGCCTCTCTTTGAACCCTCTCAGTACTTTACTGGAGGGCTCCGGGAGGGGATTTCAGCTTCGGAAAGGAGGTACAAAAGTGACCCACCTTTTCTATATGGATGACCTCAAATTATTCGCCTCCAGTCGCTCCCATCTTATGGAATTGCTAAACATCACGTGTGAATTTAGCAATTCTATTAGAATGGAGCTGGGGACGGATAAGTGTGCGGTCCTCCATGTTGAAAGGGGAAGGGTTGCTAACTCTGAGGGCATAGACTTATCTATGCCCGTCAACTTAAGAACCCTTTCCGAGGCTGAAACATACCGATACCTGGGTATGTCACAGAACATCGGTATCGATGAGGCTGGTATGAAACAGTCAGTTTGCGACGTGTTTTATGCACGCTTGACCAAAGTGCTTAACAGCCTTTTGTCCGGTGTGAATAAGGCACACGCATATAACGGCTGGGTCATGCCTGTCCTCATGTATACCTTTGGCATACTCAGGTGGACTCAGACTGAACTTAACGCCCTGGATAGAAAAGTCCGCACTACCATGACGTCCCATAGGATGCATCATCCGAGATCGTCGGTAATGAGGCTGTACTTGCCGCGGAAGCATGGTGGTCGTGGCTTCTTGAGCGCGCTCACCATGCATAATCGCGAAGTGTGCAGCCTCCGTGATTACTTCCTGTCGAGATCGGATGATCCATTCTATAAGGACGTCATTTCTCGTGATAAAGGACTTACCCCTCTATCCTTAGCCAACGAGCAATGGCAAGACCCGGCAGTGCAGAGCATTTCCGACCGGGAGACCGTATGGAAGGAGAAGGAGCTCCACGGGAGGTTCTACAAGGCTCTACATGAGCCTTTCGTAGACACAGTAGCCTCCCTCCACTGGCTACGCTTTGGTGATCTCTTCGGGGAAACCGAGGGTTTTGTCTGTGCAATACAGGATCAGGTTATTAAGACCAACAACTATCGGAGATACATCCTAAAGGATGGCACCGTCGACATCTGTCGAGCTTGTCGCCATCCCGGTGAGTCACTTAGGCATGTTATCTCCGGTTGTTCGGCGCTTTCTAACTCTGAGTACTTGCACAGACACAACCTAGTAGCCAGAATTCTACACCAGGAGCTCGCTCTGAAATACGGTCTCGTGGATCGGAAATTGCCGTATTACAAGTACTTGCCGGAAGCCGTGCTCGAAAATGATCGCGCCAGGCTCTATTGGGACCGGGCCATCATCACAGACAGGACTATTCTTGCGAATAAGCCTGATATTGTGCTGATGGACCGGGCACAGTCAAGGATATTTTTGGTCGACATTACCATTCCGTATGACGAGAACCTCGTGAAAGCCGAAACAGACAAGCAAACAAAATATCTGGACCTGGCTCACGAGGTGACCGACATGTGGGGTGGTCTGCCGACCGAAATTATTCCTGTAGTCGTCTCTGCAAACGGGCTAATCCCAGTCAGCCTCTCGGGTCATCTGAGGCGGCTGGGACTACGTGGCGGACCGCTCCAGGTTCAAATGCAGAAGGCGGTGCTCCTCGATACCGCCCGCATCGTCCGCCGGTTTCTTTCCCTTTCCCCCTAACCCTCGGCCGTTTGGTCTCCCCTGCCGAGGGCCTCCATCTGGTTGGGCTTTTACTTATTTATGTACTTTTATATTTATTTTATGTTATTGATATTTATGTATATTTATCTTTTCATTTTCATTTATAATTATATATCTATATAACCCAACCAGATGAGAAAACTATATAGATGCCCCAAAATAATAATAACATAAAAATACATGGCTAAAGAGGGTCCTCGAGCTGTACAAGATTGACTGTACAGTTAGAGACTTCCTCGAGCAGTGTATGGGGCAGTGGAGTACGATCCTTTGTCATCTGGGCGAGCGGATGACGGCTGCGGAGAACCACATAAGGATAAGAAGGGGTATCTTCCAGGGCGATTGTCTGAGTCCAATCTGGTTCTGCCTCTCTCTTAACCCTCTCAGTACCTTACTGGAGGGCTCCGGGAGGGGATTTCAGCTACGGAGAGGAGGGACAAAAGTGACCCACCTTTTCTATATGGATGACCTCAAGTTATTCGCCTCCAGTCGCTCCCATCTTATGGATATGCTAAACATCACTTGTGAATTTAGCAGTTCGTAGATACAGTCGCCTCCCTCAACTGGCTACGTTTCGGTGACCTCTTCGGGGAAACCGAGGGTTTTGTCTGTGCAATACAGGATCAGGTTATTAAGACCAACAACTATCGGAGATACATCCTAAAGGATGGCACCGTCGACGTCTGTCGAGCTTGTCGCCATCCCGGGGAGTCACTTAGGCATGTCATCTCCGGTTGTTCGGCGCTTTCTAACTCTGAGTACTTGCACAGGCACAACCTAGTAGCCAGAATTCTACACCAGGAGCTCGCTCTGAAATACGGTCTCGTGGACCGAAAATTGCCGTATTACAAGTACTTGCCGGAAGCCGTGCTCGAAAATGACCGCGCCAGACTCTATTGGGACCGGGCCATCATCACAGACAGGACTATTCTTGCGAATAAGCCTGATATTGTGCTGATGGACCGGGCACAGTCAAGGATATTTTTGGTCGATATTACCATCCCGTATGACGAGAACCTCGTGAGAGCCGAAACAGATAAGCAATCAAAATATCTGGACCTGGCTCACGAGGTGACGGACATGTGGGGTGGTCTGCCGGCCGAAATTATTCCTGTAGTCGTCTCTGCGAATGGGCTAATCCCAGTTAGCCTCTCTGGTCATCTGAGGCGACTGGGACTCCGTGACGGACCGCTCCGGGCTCAAATGCAGAAGGCGGTGCTCCTTGATACTGCCCGCATCGTCCGCCGGTTTCTTTCCCTTTCTTCCTAACCCTTGGCCGTTTGGTCTCCCCTGCCGAGGGCTTCCATCTGGTTGGGCTTTTATTTATTTATCTATTTTTGTATTTATTTTATTTTATTGATATTTATATATATTTATCCTTTCATTTTCGTTTATAATTATATATTTATACATCCCAACCAGATGAGAAAACTATATAGATACCCCATAATAATAATAAACTCGAACGGCTACGACGTGAGGCTGTTCCCTCGTCGGATGAGAATGCTACGGCTGAGGATGCGGCGCCACAAATGGTAGAGCAACCCGCAAACATGGATGCCGCCGTGAATACCCCAGTTGTGGTTGATTCAAACGACGATGGAACAGTCGCCCAGGAACTGGAATTAGAGCATATGAGGAGTATATTGGAAGAGGCGATTGTGGAAACGCGCAGTACGCCTCTCGAAAATCGACCGCAACTTCCCCCGCATAGCCCTAAGCAAGCGGAATCGGGCTGTCGTGAGGGCTCTGAACCCAATGCTGGTTACCTATTTGGAAGCAAGCCGGGACCTTTGCGAGACGGACTCAATTCTTTTTGGCGCCGCGCTGGCAGTCTGCCGTATCATAGGCGCCAAGGTTTCCACGGCTGGACGCGCTACTGGCCATAGTAGCGCTATCCCAGCATGGAGAAGAAGAATTGAGGAACGTATCGCAAAGGCTAGAGCTCTCATCGGCAGACTGATATGCTTCAGATCAGGCAACAACAGGCCAAGAATTGTGCGCACCGTCAGGATGGCGTTTGCTGGGACAAATGTCAGTTTGTCCCAGCCGGATATAACGCAAAAACTGACGGAGCGCATAGATGATCTGAAGCAGAGAATCGCTGCTTGGGGAAAGCGGATTCGGCGATATACCGAGAGGTCGACACGGTTCAACCAGAATCGTCTCTTCCAGAGTGATCAGAAGAGGCTCTATGAATCATTGGAGCGACCAATGGTAAGTGGAACGGGTCCAGCACCGAATCAGGCCGACACTGTAGCATTCTGGCGCGGCCTGTGGTCAGAGCCCGTAAACCACAGCGAGGGCCCTTGGACGGAAGTTGTGGCGAGTCAGTGTGCGGGTATTACGCCCATGGACCCCGTCATCATAACGCCGGATGACGTAGCTGAGGCGGTTCGTAGGGCCCCGAACTGGAAAAGTCCGGGGCTTGACGGGCTGCATCACTACTGGCTGAAGGGGTTCATGGTGTGTCACTCTGTGCTCGCCCGACAGTTTCAAGAGGCTCCCAACCAGAAGTCGCTCCCAAGCCTCTTCACTACTGGGATCACTCATTTAGTTCCTAAAGACCAGGGTACCACAGACCCGAGCAAATACCGCCCCATCACGTGTCTACCGACCATATACAAGACACTAACATCCATTTTGAGCGCGAGAATCACTTGTCACCTGGACTCAAATCAGGTGATGTCGCGCGCTCAAAATGGATGTCGGGGCGGTGGTCGTGGAACCAAGGAACCACTCCTCATTGACGCGGTCATTGGCAAAGTGGTGAAACGCAACCGTCGGAACTTCTCCGCCGCCTGGATAGACTACAGAAAGGCATTCGACTCGGTGCCCCATACATGGCTAAAGAGAGTCCTCGAGCTGTACAAGATAGACTGTACAGTTAGAGACTTCCTCGAGCAGTGTATGGGGCAGTGGAGTACGATCCTTTGTCATCTAGGCGAGCGGATGATGGCTGCGGAGAACCACATAAGGATAAGAAGGGGTATCTTCCAGGGCGATTGTCTGAGTCCAATCTGGTTCTGCCTCTCTCTGAACCCTCTCAGTACCTTACTGGAGGGCTCCGAGAGGGGATTTCAGCTACGGAAAGGAGGGACAAAAGTGACCCACCTTTTCTATATGGATGACCTCAAGTTATTCGCCTCCAGTCGCTCCCATCTTATGGAATTGCTAAACATCACTTGTGAATTTAGCAATTCCATTGGAATGGAGCTGGGGACGGATAAGTGTGCGGTCCTCCATGTTGAAAGGGGAAGGGTTGCTAACTCTGAGGGCGTAGACTTATCTATACCCGTCAACTTAAGGACCCTTTCCGAGGCTGAAACATACCGATACCTGGGTATGTCACAAAACATCGGTATCGATGAGACTGGTATGAAACAGTCAGTTTGCGACGTGTTTTATGCACGCTTGACCAAAGTGCTTAACAGCCTTTTGTCCGGTGTGAATAAGGCACACGCATATAACGGCTGGGTCATGCCTGTCCTCATGTATACCTTTGGCATACTCAGGTGGACTCAGACTGAACTTAACGCCCTGGATAGAAAAGTCCGCACTACAATGACGTCCCATAGGATGCATCATCCGAGATCGTCGGTAATGAGGCTGTACTTGCCGCGGAAGCATGGTGGTCGTGGCTTCTTGAGCGCGCTCACCATGCATAATCGCGAAGTGTGCAGCCTCCGTGATTACTTCCTGGCGAGATCGGATGATCCATTCTATAAGGACGTCATTTCTTGTGATAAAGGACTTACCCCTCTATCCTTAGCCAACGAGCAATGGCAAGACCCGGCAGTGCAGAGCATTTCCGACCGGGAGACCGTATGGAAGGAGAAGGAGCTCCACGGGAGGTTCTACAAGGCTCTACATGAGCCTTTCGTAGACACAGTAGCCTCCCTCCACTGGCTACGCTTTGGTGATCTCTTCGGGGAAACCGAGGGTTTTGTCTGTGCAATACAGGATCAGGTTATTAAGACCAACAACTATCGGAGATACATCCTAAAGGATGGCACCGTCGACATCTGTCGAGCTTGTCGCCATCCCGGTGAGTCACTTAGGCATGTTATCTCCGGTTGTTCGGCGCTTTCTAACTCTGAGTACTTGCACAGGCACAACCTAGTAGCCAGAATTCTACACCAGGAGCTCGCTCTGAAATACGGTCTCGTGGATCGGAAATTGCTGTATTACAAGTACTTGCCGGAAGCCGTGCTCGAAAATGATCGCGCCAGGCTCTATTGGGACCGGGCCATCATCACAGACAGGACTATTCTTGCGAATAAGCCTGATATTGTGCTGATGGACCGGGCACAGTCAAGGATATTTTTGGTCGACATTACCATTCCGTATGACGAGAACCTCGTGAAAGCCGAAACAGACAAGCAAACAAAATATCTGGACCTGGCTCACGAGGTGACCGACATGTGGGGTGGTCTGCCGACCGAAATTATTCCTGTAGTCGTCTCTGCAAACGGGCTAATCCCAGTCAGCCTCTCGGGTCATCTGAGGCGGCTGGGACTACGTGGCGGACCGCTCCAGGTTCAAATGCAGAAGGCGGTGCTCCTCGATACCGCCCGCATCGTCCGCCGGTTTCTTTCCCTTTCCCCCTAACCCTCGGCCGTTTGGTCTCCCCTGCCGAGGGCCTCCATCTGGTTGGGCTTTTATTTATTTATGTACTTTTATATTTATTTTATGTTATTGATATTTATGTATATTTATCTTTTCATTTTCATTTATAATTATATATTTATAGCACCCAACCAGATGAGAAAACTATATAGATACCCCAAAATAATAATAAGGCGTAGGGAAGTGACGACCCCATCGCCCGCTGACGTAACGGTTATGTGACAAAACCGCTACGTCAGCGCAGTCAGTCAGCACCTTGCCAAGAGGTGTTAGTGCCGTGCCTCGGCAAAAATTGAAGGTGCAAAGGCCCGCTTGTGCACATGGCCTCACCATGAAACGGCGCCGGGTCTGGGCGTCTCCCGCTAAATGACGCCCACCACTATGGATGATGGAATACGGAAGAACGCGCAAAGGGCCGCTGCCTGGAGGTCGCCAGGGCGCGTCTGGAGCTGGCGCTGGACGCGGCAGCATGCGAACCGCCAGCCGAGCGCGAGGTGCTGCACGACCACCCAGCAGCCCCTCGCATCCATCATCCCCACCAGCTGGCTTGGTGTCGGCAGGGTCTTCGCGGGCCCAGCAATCGGCACCCGCCTCTGGTGGAGTACGCCGCATGCGTTGGACAACCCAGATGAACAGCAACGCATTGCGGGCGTATTTTGGGGCGAAAGGGGGAGAAACTGGATGTTTGGCGTATCGGGCTAGGATGCATCGTCTTTTTGCTGAGCTGGAGCCATCTTTAACCGTCACAGAGCAAAACCTGGCAGACCGAGTTCGGTATATCTTGCGCTCAAATATATTTGATGTCGCCGAACTCGAACGGCTACGACGTGAGGCTGTTCCCTCGTCGGATGAGAATGCTACGGCTGAGGATGCGGCGCCACAAATGGTAGAGCAACCCGCAAACGTGGATGCCGCCGTGAATACCCCAGTTGTGGTTGATTCAAACGATGATGGAACAGTCGCCCAGGAACTGGAATTAGAGCATATGAGGAGTACATTGGAAGAGGCGATTGTGGAAACGCGCAGTACGCCTCTCGAAAATCGACCGCGACTTCCCCGCATAGCCCTAAGCAAGCGGAATCGGGCTGTCGTGAGGGCTCTGAACCCAATGCTGGTGACCTATTTGGAAGCCAGCCGGGACCTTTGCGAGACGGACTCAATTCTTTTTGGCGCCGCGCTGGCAGTCTGCCGTATCATAGGCGCCAAGGTTTCCACGGCTGGACGCGCTACTGGCCATAGTAGCGCTATCCCAGCATGGAGAAGAAGAATTGAGGAACGTATCGCAAAGGCTAGAGCTCTCATCGGCAGACTGATATGCTTCAGATCAGGCAACAACAGGCTAAGAATTGTGCGCACCGTCAGGATGGCGTTTGCTGGGACAAATGTCAGTTTGTCCCAGCCGGATATAACGCAAAAACTGACGGAGCGCATAGATGATCTGAAGCAGAGAATCGCTGCTTGGGGAAAGCGGATTCGGCGATATACCGAGAGGTCGACACGGTTCAACCAGAATCGTCTCTTCCAGAGTGATCAGAAGAGGCTCTATGAATCATTGGAGCGACCAATGGTAAGTGGAACGGGTCCAGCACCGAATCAGGCCGACACTGTAGCATTCTGGCGCGGCCTGTGGTCAGAGCCCGTAAACCACAGCGAGGGCCCTTGGACGGAAGTTGTGGCGAGTCAGTGTGCGGGTCTTACGCCCATGGACCCCATCATCATAACGCCGGATGACGTAGCTGAGGCGGTCCGTAGGGCCCCGAACTGGAAAAGTCCGGGGCTTGACGGGCTGCATCACTACTGGCTGAAGGGGTTCATGGTGTGTCACTCTGTGCTTGCCCGACAGTTTCAAGAGGCTCTCAACCAGAAGTCGCTTCCAAGCCTCTTCACTACTGGGATCACTCATTTGGTTCCTAAAGACCAGGGTACCACAGACCCGAGCAAATACCGCCCCATCACGTGTCTACCGACCATATACAAGACACTAACATCCATTTTGAGCGCGAGAATCACTTGTCACCTGGACTCAAATCAGGTGATGTCGCGCGCTCAAAATGGATGTCGGGGCGGTGGTCGTGGAACCAAGGAACCACTCCTCATTGACGCGGTCATTGGCAAAGTGGTGAAACGCAACCGTCGGAACTTCTCCGCCGCCTGGATAGACTACAGAAAGGCATTCGACTCGGTGCCCCATACATGGCTAAAGAGAGTCCTCGAGCTGTACAAGATAGACTGTACAGTTAGAGACTTCCACGAGCAGTGTATGGGGCAGTGGAGTACGATCCTTTGTCATCTGGGCGAGCGGATGATGGCTGCGGAGAACCACATAAGGATAAGAAGGGGTATCTTCCAGGGCGATTGTCTGAGTCCAATCTGGTTCTGCCTCTCTCTGAACCCTCTCAGTACCTTACTGGAGGGCTCCGGGAGGGGATTTCAGCTACGGAGAGGAGGGACAAAAGTGACCCACCTTTTCTATATGGATGACCTCAAGTTATTCGCCTCCAGTCGCTCCCATCTTATGGAATTGCTAAACATCACTTGTGAATTTAGCAATTCCATTGGAATGGAGCTGGGGACGGATAAGTGTGCGGTCCTCCATGTTGAAAGGGGAAGGGTTGCTAACTCTGAGGGCGTAGACTTATCTATGCCCGTCAACTTAAGGACCCTTTCCGAGGCTGAAACATACCGATACCTGGGTATGTCACAAAACATCGGTATCGATGAGACTGGTATGAAACAGTCAGTTTGCGACGTGTTTTATGCACGCTTGACCAAAGTGCTTAACAGCCTTTTGTCCGGTGTGAATAAGGCACACGCATATAACGGCTGGGTCATGCCTGTCCTCATGTATACCTTTGGCATACTCAGGTGGACTCAGACTGAACTTAACGCCCTGGATAGAAAAGTCCGCACTACCATGACGTCCCATAGGATGCATCATCCGAGATCGTTGGTAATGAGGTTGTACTTGTCGCGGAAGCATGGTGGTCGTGGCTTCTTGAGCGCGCTCACCATGCATAATCGCGAAGTGTGCAGCCTCCGTGATTACTTCCTGGCGAGATCGGATGATCCATTCTATATGGACGTCATTTCTTGTGATAAAGGACTTACCCCTCTATCCTTAGCCAACGAGCAATGGCAAGACCCGGTAGTGCAGAGCATTTCCGACCGAGAGACCGTATGGAAGGAGAAGGAGCTCCACGGGAGGTTCTACAAGGCTCTACATGAGCCTTTCGTAGACACAGTAGCCTCCCTCCACTGGCTACGCTTTGGTGATCTCTTCGGGGAAACCGAGGGTTTTGTCTGTGCAATACAGGATCAGGTTATTAAGACCAACAACTATCGGAGATACATCCTAAAGGATGGCACCGTCGACATCTGTCGAGCTTGTCGCCATCCCGGTGAGTCACTTAGGCATGTTATCTCCGGTTGTTCGGCGCTTTCTAACTCTGAGTACTTGCACAGGCACAACCTAGTAGCCAGAATTCTACACCAGGAGCTCGCTCTGAAATACGGTCTCGTGGACCGGAAATTGCCGTACTACAAGTACTTGCCGGAAGCCGTGCTCGAAAATGATCGCGCCAGGCTCTATTGGGACCGGGCCATCATCACAGACAGGACTATTCTTGCGAATAAGCCTGATATTGTGCTGATGGACCGGGCACAGTCAAGGATATTTTTGGTCGACATTACCATTCCGTATGACGAGAACCTCGTGAAAGCCGAAACAGACAAGCAAACAAAATATCTGGACCTCGCTCACGAGGTGACCGACATGTGGGGTGGTCTGCCGACCGAAATTATTCCTGTAGTCGTCTCTGCAAACGGGCTAATCCCAGTCAGCCTCTCGGGTCATCTGAGGCGGCTGGGACTACGTGGCGGACCGCTCCAGGTTCAAATGCAGAAGGCGGTGCTCCTCGATACCGCCCGCATCGTCCGCCGGTTTCTTTCCCTTTCCCCCTAACCCTCGGCCGTTTGGTCTCTCCTGCCGAGGGCCTCCATCTGGTTGGGCTTTTATTTATTTATGTACTTTTATATTTATTTTATGTTATTGATATTTATGTATATTTATTTTTTCATTTTCATTTATAATTATATATTTATAGAACCCAACCAGATGAGAAAACTATATAGATACCCCATAATAATAATAATAATAATTCATTTATTGCATTACTGTGTACAAGTTGAAGATGTCATATTATTAAAGGTATCAACAGTTGCCTCATCAGGCGTGCAATAGATTTACAATTTTCATAAACATAATATATATACTATTTACATTTAACAGATTACATTTAACAGGTTACATTTTGCAATTTACATTTAACAGATGATAGATTTACAATTAACTTCTAAGATAAAATATTTAAAAAAAATGCTTATATATGTAAGTATAATAAAGAACACGATATTAACTCTTAAAATTATAGAATTCATTTAGCGTATAAAACGTATGTTCCACCAACCAGTTTTTTACGAGGGTGGATTGAAAAGTACTCGGCCTAACCAAGAAAATAAACACATACTAAATCAGTTATATTTTTATTTTTCTACATAATCACCATCAAGTTCAATACACTTTTGCCACCTCCCCTTCCAAGCATTTAGACCGTTGAAAAAAAATGATTCTTCCTTAGAGTCAAAATATGCATCTACAGCTGCTTTGACCTCGTCGTTTGTCGAAAATCTTTGACCTCCCAAGTGCTTTTTTAGGTTAGGGAACAGAAAGAAGTCTGATGGTGCCAGATCAGGTGAATACGGCGGATGCGGTAGCAGTTCAAAGCCACAGTTGTGAATTTCAGCCATTGACTGTACTGACGTGTGAACACGGGCGTTATCTTGATGAAACAGGACTTTTCTTCTGAGCATTCCTCGACGTTTTTCTTTTATTTCCTCTCGTAAACGACGTAGTAAGGTGCAGTAGTAATCAGAGTTTATAGTCTGACCCCTTTCAAGATAATCAATCATAATCACACCTTTCGAGTCCCAGAATACTGAAGCCATCACCTTATTTGCCGACAAAATCGACTTAGCCTTTTTTAGGGGGTGGTGAACCAGGTCTTCTCCACTGTTTTGATTGTTGTTTTGTTTGCGGTGTACAGTAATGAACCCATGTTTCGTCCATAGTAACAAAACGATTCAAAAAATCATCTGCATCGGCTTCAAATAACTCCAAACAGTGGCGTGAAATAGTCAATCACGTCCTTTTTTGTTCAACTGAAAGCAGTCGCGGAACCCACCTCGCAGACACCTTGTGGAAACCCAACTCGTTGACAATGATTTTTGAGTTCGTTCATAAGAGATGCCTATAATCTCGGCTATATCTCTAATTTTTATCTGCGGTCTCCCATTATTAAATCAAGTACTTTTTTAATATTTTCGTCAGTAGTTGACGTCGAAGGCCTTCCAGAGCGGGGTTCATCTTTCACACTCTCTCTACCACGCTTAAATTCTGCTATCCATTTTTTGACGGATGAATATGACAGAGCACAATCGCCTAATGTACTGACCATGTCATCATGGATGGCTTTTGATGATAGCCCCTTCTTATGGAGGTACTTAATGACGGCACGCTGCTCGATTTGCTCCATTCGCGGAAATTATGTCCGATTACTTTGTTAATAAATTTATAAAATCATAACTAATTATCGCACACGTTTCGAACTTCACACAATGAACTAGTCTAAACTGAACTAAATAATGTGGGTAGATTTGATTTTTAGAATTGAATGGATCTGTGTTAGGCCGAGTACTTTTCAATCCACCCTCGTAGATTATGTTTGAATTTGGGTCCTTTTATTGTTTTAATACTATTGGGTAAGTGATTAAATACTTTAATTGCTGTTATGTATGCACTTTTGTCAAACAATTTATTTTTAATTTGAGGTAGATATAAATTGTTTTCGTAGCAAGGGCGTAGATTTTGCCGTTTTGAAAGTTTCGTTTCGAATATATATATTCCAGTTAAAGTTAAAAAACGTTTTTCTTTAAATAAATTCCTCAGGCTGTCTTTATTTGTTTTACGGTATATGATGCGTAAACATCGTTTTTGTAGTATAAACGTTTCATTTATGTTGGTTGAATTACCCCAAAAAATTATACCATAGATTAACAATGGATAAATATAACCATAGTACGCATTTCTACTAACAGATTCAGAGGTTGACCAAGAAAGTATTGAAAGAACATAGCAATAACTCGATATCTTTTTGTTAATCTTTTCTATGTGTGATTTCCAATTTAGGTGAGAGTCAATTTTAACTCCAAGAAAGCTTATATTATCTACTTCCTCTATGACTGAGCCATCAAATGATATTTTTAAATGGATTGGTTCGGTCTTGTAATTTCTAATTTGGAGAATTTTAGTTTTAGTTACATTAATTGTTAGGTTTACAGATTTTAACCAGGACACTATGTCTTTTATGGACTTATTAATTTCACTTTCAAGTTCTGAACTATTTATTAGCTTACTAGTATAAAAGACTGTAGCATCATCAGCAAACATTATTGTTAAATGCTTTGTGATTTTAAATATCTCGTTGATATATATTAAATAAATAAATTTTGACTTAATTGTTTCAATAGTTGTAGTATTACTATTATACGTATTCAAAATAGTTAATAACATGATATATATATATATATATATATATATATATATATATATATAAATATATATATATATATATATATATATATATGGCTTGATACACAAGTGTTTATTTTTATTCACTAACACGATGGCGGCTATCTCAATAGTCGAACTCACGGACTTTTTAAGTCGAATGTGCCCCGACGTTTGGGCTACGTTCCTAGCCCAACGTAATGTGCCCACCGCTGAACGCCTCGTACTACGGATGACGACCCTATGTTGCCGAGCACCGGGCCCTCGACACCTGTGGCCAAAGACACAGTTTACGACGCCGCGTCCCACGCGCCTTCTGCGCTCTCCACCCGCGGTCCCTTCCCGTTGTTTTCGAACGCCGAATCAGGCTCCGAGATGGAAACAGATAACCACCGGCCCGAAAAACCCGAAGACGAAGGCTTTACCTTAATCCCGGGTAAAAAGCGAAAGCGAAACGCCGCGAAAAAGGGAGACGAGCCTCACTCGGCCCCTACGTCGCCCAACGCCACTCCGGCTAAAAAAGTTCCTTCCGCGCGCAACAGGACCGCGAACAAAGCTGTGAACCCGACTCCTCCCGTAGTAAGGAAGAAAAAGCCGCCGCCTCCAATAATTTTGCTTCCGCTGGAGCAACCTATCGAAGTGGATAGACTCAAAAAAGATCTTCTGCCCCAAAGTCCACAATGGACCGCAGGGCTTTCGTATACACATCGCAACGACGGACGATTTCCGCGCTTTAACTGCGCATTTAAAAACTCAAAATCTGAGCTTTCACACCTACTCCCTCGCGGAGGACCGTAACCTCCGTGTTGTAGTTCGCGGACTCCCTGAAGAGCTCGAAACCGAGCACATCCTAATCGATCTTAAATCGCGAAATCTCCCTGTTAGAGAAGTGCACAGGATGCACCACGTGACCGACAAAAAACGGTACCTAGATCTTTGCCTTACAATATTGGACCTGTCTCCGGAGGGCAAAGAAATATTCAATATCACCCGGATCTGAAACCTCACGGGGATTGTGGTAGAGTCCCCGCGCAATAGGGGCATCGTTGGCCCATGCCACCGATGCCAATTATACGGCCACTCGGCCAGAAAATGTTTCGCCCGGCTTAGGTGCGTTAAGTGCCTCGGCGATCATGGCACACCCGACTGCCCCCGAACGCCCTGTTAGGAGGGCCGCTCTGAAGGTGTTTTTAAAAAAAACTTTTACACCCAATCCCAGAAGTTCTTTTGGTTTATTTCCCCAATATTAAATTAATACAAGAAATGTACAAAATCCGCGAACGGCGTATGCGATATGCACTTAATATGGGTTGGAACTGCACTGCATCGATTACCTCAAACTCTAGGCTTTTATAATAAATATAATAATCGAGTCAGCGCTTTTATCTAACTAGGGTTGGACATAACATCTCCCCCCTTTTTGACGGAGCTCATCCTTCTTTTAAATAAGGGATGAGCAGAGTCTCACAAACGATACAGTGGAAATAAAAAAATAATTTGAATACAAAAATAATTGTAAAATAGAATTGTTTCAATTATTTGTTATTATTACAAAATCAAATTGAATTGATACAAAAGCATAGTAAAATTAAACTATTCTTAAACAATATCTACATAAAATTATAAGAAATTATTTATTGAGATTATGAACTAGTAATATAGTATTTTTATAAGATTCAGTGAATAATGAAATAGTAGAAGATTCAGTGTATTAATGCTAAGATTTATGTTTTATTTCAAATACAAACATTTAGTAATATTAATATCTAAGACACAGTGTATAAAACAAAATATAAACTTATATTCTAATGTAACATAATGCTTTATGAAATAAGTATAGTAAAGTAATATAGTTTTTAATTATTACATAAGTTTCGATTTGATAAGTGAAATTTACCGAATGTTCTTTTCATTTGGTTTTGCACTGGCATATTGGGTAAGGATATAGAATCTTTTTTATCATCGTCTGATGATGAAACTTCAGTTAACTCAATAGAATTACTAACTTTCGATTCGTGTTTAACAATCCGTCGTGTATTGCACTGATTAAATATTTGTATGCAGCGGCAAGAATCATTATTTCTCTTAATAGAGCAACAAAATATTTTATAGGAAATATATAAAATTATGCAAATAATCAAAAAGTATGTAAATGATGAATAGTATTTACCATATTTTATCATGTGAGATTGTTCTTGAACTCTATTGATCTCATTTTCTAAGTTATTTAAGGAATGGTAAGAATATTTCAGAGTTTCCATGTCTAGGCTAGTTAAAGATATAGGAGATAAGTATGGAATTGATTTGTTTAAAATTTCTTTATTACAACAATCGTCTTCTGTAATATTAAAGTTTAAATTCATTTTATTTTTGATTTTAATAGATTTAGTTGTAGATGGCATTAATTGAATTGTCTTAGAGAAACCAATACAGCTTTCGTTTAAACTTAGGATACCTGTCCCTAAAATAGTGAAATCTTGTATTATATTATTACATTTTATAGTTAATTTACATTTCTCAGACTGTACATAGATAAACTTATTATTATTTATTTTATACCATACATCGATTTGTCCATATAAAAGTTTAGAGTTACATTGATGAGGTAAAGATAACGTTACTTCGGTTAACAATTTTGTTTCACAACATGGATTCTTTATTGTAGAAAATATAGAAATTAAAGGACATATAGAATAATCATTATTAATAATATTACAGTCGTTTAAATTATCTAGCAAACTATAACTAAGTCTATCTTCTGTTATTCCAAGATAAGGCTTGGTAGGTTGGATTAGAGCAAAAGAGTTAGGATCATTAGGATTATGAGGGGTTGGTAAAGGTATGCATTTGTATAAGGTGAACTTTAAAGAAGAAATCAGTGGTATGCGTAATATGAAAATTATTCTTCTATTATAATAAAAAGATGTGAGTTTTGAAATATCTATCAAAGTATGTATATTTTCAATCGTTAATGGTACTGGAAAATCTAATCGCTTGTTTATATAATTACTCTGTTTTAAAAGCTGCCGAAATAAGTTCGTAGGAGCTATTACACTAGGATGTAGAATGTTTGCTTTAGAAAATAAGATAGAGTTTAGTACATTATCCAAGAAATTAGAAATAGTGGCTAAAGAGCTTTCTATTATATTAAGTAAAGCATATATTTTAGTAATATGTGATAATTGATTATTATTTCTGACAATTTGGGATAATACAATATTTAAAGAATTTATTTGAGAATTTAATTTATTTTCATTCATATTTAATTTATATATTGTTGAGTTAAATACATTAATAGAAGATTTAATTATGTGAATATTATCCTTCATTAATTTTAAAAGTTCGGATTCGCTATTTTGACAAGCGCTAATGGCTGCATCGTATTTTCGTGCATCATCAGCATCTAAAGTTCCAAAAAAAGAATTTCAAAATTTCTCCACCGAATTCTAAAGCTCGTTTATGCCTTGTTTGTTCCTCGGTAGGGACTATATGCGAAAGAGATTCGAATTTAGCAAAATTAGAATTCAATAATACTTCAATAGGACTTATGATATCATTACATTCAGCGAAACCATGGAGTTGGAAGTTTTCGCAGAGCGTTGCAGTTTTAATTATAAGCGAATGTATATTCTCTAGATGTGGCTTAACTGATACTACGTCTATATGAGTTACAACATTCCAAAAATCATTATAAAAATTAATTGTAGTTATTTGATCGAAATAAATACCTGGACTATTATAAATAGGTAGAACTTGAGTTTCAGCGTTGAATTGGTGGCTTATGGCCCTGAAATAAAGTGAAATTAAGGATGAGCTGGTTTAATTTCATTAACATGGTATTTCATGTGCTTATGACCTATGAGAAGGGTTACGTTATGTTTGCCATTTAATTTAATAATTTTATAAGGACCTTTCCAGATAGGAGATAAGGCTTTGCGAAGTCTGTGGTGGCATTTTAAGTAAACCATATCGCCTGTTTTGTAGGATATATCTTTACTATTTTTGTCATAATAATTTTTCGATGTTTCTTTATTTTTAATTATGTGTTCTAATGCTTTTTGTCGACTAAAGTTCATGCGGTATTGTAATGCGCGGATATATTCATGATAAGTAGTGTCATTGCTCGTATTATATAAAGAATTTGGTATTGTGGGTTTATGCCCATATAGCAATTCATAGGGTGTATATGTAATAGTGGTATGAGGGGTAGTGTTGTAAGAGAATACTGCGGTTGCTAAGTAACAATGCCAATCATTCTGATTTTCATTAACGAAAGATTTCAGGTATTCCTTGAGTGTAGCATGACTACGTTCTAAGGCACCATTTGTTTGGGGATGATAGGGGGGTAGCATATAAGGGTTTTATTTTAAATATTTGAGTTACCTGTTTTAAATAATTCCGATGTGAAACATGTGCCGAGATCCGTTAATATCGTTTTAGTAATTCCAAATAATGAGATAAAATGAACTAGTGTACGAGCTACTTCATCGCTGCTGGAAGTTATCATTGGGTATACACATAAAAACTTGGTTAGGTCATCTTGTAGAGTTAATATAAATTTAAAGT